CCTGATAGCAGATTTGAGCATATACATATCGACATTGTAGGACTACTGCCGATTTCAAATGGCTTTAGTTACATTTTTACCTGCATTGATAGATTTACGCGATGGCCTGTAGTTGTACCCATAAAAGACATTTCGACCGAAACTATGGCCAAAACCTTAGTAGAGCATTGGATATCTCATTACGGTGTGCCTGCAAATATAACAACCGATCGAGGAGCCCAATTTGAGAGCCAACTCTTTCAACAACTCACTGAACTCCTAGGAATCAAGAGTATTCGGGCAACATCCTACCATCCGATGGCGAATGGTATGGTAGAAAGACTACATCGGCAACTCAAAGCCTCTCTTACATCTGTTATTAGCAATAACGATTGGGCCAGCAAGCTCCCATTAGTCACGTTGAGTTTAAGATCAACAATTAAACAAGATATAGGGTGTTGCCCAGCAGAGTTGGTTTACGGAACCACTTTACGTCTACCAGGAGAGTTTTTCACCTCAGGTAAAAGTGTTCCAACTGATTTAGCCAACTATGTACAACGTCTAAAGCAGCATATGAGTAATCTAGGAGTGACACTTCCGAGGCAACATCAACACCGTGTGTATATACCAAAACAACTGAGCGACAGTACTCATGTGTTTATCAGGAGGGATAATGTGCAATCTCCCTTACAACCGGCTTACGATGGTCCATTTAAAGTTATTAGAAGAAATGATAAAACTATTACAGTAGATAAAGCCGGAAAAACGGATGTAATTAGCATAGACCGAGTCAAACCAGCTTTTATCGAAGCTGACGATCAGCCAGTATATACAGATCATTCGAAAACCGTCGAGTCACTGAAACGTGAGTCTCAATCATCAACGACATCGACGAACAAAAACGAAGAGAAACCAGTAACGACAAGATATGGTCGAAGAGTAAGATAGCCTCAACGATACATAGCTACGATTTTGAACTAATAATTTCTTTCGCATCTTCAGATGTAAATTTCTTTCCTCTTCGTTTTGTATGTGCACATCGAAAACTTTAATTTATCTATTATTATAGTCAACAAATTTTGCATATTCTAATGTAAATGTATATAAACCTTGACTAAAAACACTAACATTATTTTAATCTGTTATTTTATCTGGCCTTACGCACATATACGAACTCAAGCTAACACGTACTTGTAATAATTCACACGATAGTTCCGTCATACATCTTAATTTCATAAATTTCGACATTTACTGTCCTGTTAAGTATAACATATTTTAAATTCGCAAACACAGACACTATTTTGTATCCATGTTCGCTTGTGGGGAGCTATTATAGCAACCATCCTACAATCAATTTCGATTATAGCTAATTTTGGTTGAGCCCTTTTTATAACCTACCTAACAGACATCATCATTTGGGTAGCAACAATTTGCATATTCTTTGCACTGCTATACCACTAGAGCACATGACACTCTATCCGAAATGTTGACTGCTTAAATATCATTCGATGACTCATACTCCTCCCCATATGTGTACGCACGCAAATATTATTATCAGCCTTTGTTTTGCTTTGCTGTGCCCTTATTAAATTTGACTACAAATTGCCTATGTAATTGTTTGCTATTCGCTTGCTTGCTTCTCGTTCGTTTCCTTCGCTTGTTTGCCTGTTCACTCGCTCTCTCGCTTGCCGCTCGTTCGCTCGTTGATATTCACTCAAGTGTTGTTAGCTTTTTGATGTGAGTTATTCGACAATAAACTGTAGTTGCTGCTATCCTTCGTCTTTTAATTTTACGCACCGTTAAGTTTAGAATTATAACCGTTATCGAAGTAAACGATTAACGAATCGCGGCACTACACCATCTTCCGCTTGGACTGGTTGTGCCTGATGCATGTCGCACAACATACCTACAGTTGTCATTATTACATATCAGTAACTACTTCCTATCACACCTATTATCATCTCCATTCACCTCTTTATTCTTGTACTTCGGTCTCCTGATATCGCCTGCATTATCAATCATTTAGCTCAACTACTTATTTATTTGTCTGTTTATCGACTGAAACAATCATCTATTCCTGTTGTTTGAGTCCCCCCTTTATCATTTTTCGTATTGAAGTCAACCGACCCACTGAGTAGTAATGTGATAGCTGCTGATATCAAGAAACACAACGGCCCTGGAACAAACTCACTGACTCAAATTACAAGATATAGAAACACATAAATAACTACCAAACCGACTGGAATTAGTGAAGTCAAGTGGCTAGACTACAACCCATTGGACGTTACCAATTATCTAGAAGCGTACCGAAGCAATAAGTGGGCGTGAAAAGATCAGCTTACACAAAACGTGGTAGGAGTAAACCGAAATTACATCAAAATTATGACAATAACTGGTTATAAAAATCAGCGAATAAAAGTTGCTAATGGCGATTCATCAGCTAGTGATGCTGCAAATCAAACTTTTGACAGTTCACCGGCGGGCCTATTTGAACAACGGACTAATTGGTAATGGTTGCTGGACACTTATTCGAGCAAAAGTAAATAAAGTCACAAGTTATATCACAGTTTAACTCTGGAGTACAGAATACGACGATAAGTTTTAAGATGGAACATTTTTAACATCATTTGGGTGGTACTTGATAAAATAAATTTCACTGATGACAATTCATGTTGTTACTCACACTGCCCCATACAAATATGTGTCCGAGAATAGTTATATTAGGTTTGTGAGACTTCTATCTTCTAATGAACCACACATAATTAAAGCAACGAGGCCTGTCTTGGACCTCGGCTATACTATTATCATTTGGCAACCGTATACTTCTATGTGTGACTTATATTGTACAGTGGTGGGCATAGATAACTCTGATGTGATTGCAGCCTCAGAAACATGGTTAAAGTCCGAAGTGTATGATAGTGAAATTCGATTGCTTGGTTTCTAACCTAGTACGTCTGATAGACTGAACCATATGAGTGGTGGGGTTATCGTATACACGAAAAGAACCCTAACCATACGAATTGTCCAGACAGTGGCACACGGCTCAGGGACATGTGAACTGGCGCGCTGAAGACTGAAATGTAAACGGCAAAATATTGAGTTAATTTTAGTATGCCGTAGTCAGGAATGTGCAGTGAACGACTTCATCTTAAGTAAACTTAAGTCCCGGTGAAATAGAGGTTGAAGCCTTATAACGGGTGACTAGGAAAGCTGGGGAAACTTGGAAGTAAGGCCATCAGCAACATCATTTGATTGCAAATTGTTAGAAACCACAATTGCCTTAGCTTTGTTTCAGCACACTAGAGATCCCATCAGATATAACTTACAAAACTCTTTATCCCACTCAGACCTGATCTTTACACATGGTAATGTTGTCAGTCACATAACTTTCCTCCCACTTTCATGAAGAAGTGACCATGCAGTCATGTTATTGAAGTTTATGGCTGAGATGACTTGTCAAGCAGTTGCGCCGGTCCATCCTAACATGTGGAAGACGGACATGGAGGTGATAAACTTTGCAGCATCAGCTGAAAACTAGAGAATCGACTCAGAAGTGTTAGCAGAAGTGTTATAGATTCGTTTCAGTCAGTTATACAACCAGATAACTCAACCATATATACCCTAGACAGTCCCAAAGAAGAAGAAGCCCGGCCACCCCCGAATAGACGGGGATATTCGACGTTTAATTAGACAAAAGGAGAAATATTGGGACACCATCATCAGCCTCGTCACAGTAAGTACGATGGAACACTACAGGTCGTCAAGAAATAAGTGTATAACTAAAATCAGGGAAAATCAAAGAAATTATGAAATGCAGTTGGCACAATCTGGAATGAAGCAGCCCAAGAGACTATTCTCGTGCAGAAATTACAGAACAAGGATGTAGAAATGGATTCTCAACTTAATTAAGGTAGGGAGTGGATCTAAAACGATAGGGGGTGATCAGGAGAAAAGGTTTATCTTGCACAAGAAATCGCCTTATGGTAAGGGAGTAGTGGACAGAGGTTCTAGACAATGGGAAATCAGTGGATATTGTCTACATAGACCTCAGAAAAGCATTTGATAAGGTGCCGACAAATAGACTACTCTTGAAGCTGGAAAATCGAGGCATTGCCAGACCTCTCCTAGAATGAATTAAGGATTTCTTGGTAGGTCGAAGACAGAAAGTAAGAATAAATTCTAAGTGCTCCACCTGAAGACCAGTACTTAAAGGAGTACCTCAAGATTCTGTCCTAGGTCGTTTACTTTTCATGCTGTATGCAGATGGTCTCCTAAGTATAGTTTAGTCCCCAACGTGACTATACGCTGACGATGTAAAAATAACAGGAGAGGCAAATGTATGTGCACTGCAAGCAAACTTAAATATTGTGATTAAGTGGTCTAAAGAGTGGCTGATGCCTATTAATGAGGCAAAGTGCGTCAACATGCACTTTAGGGGTACAAAGGTAAATAGGTACATCATACGGGGAGTGCCTGTACCTATGGTCCGGTCTCCCCAGGGTCATGGGGTGATAGCAGTAGTTATAGGTGTCTGCACCCCCAATCGTCTCATTCAAGAGAAGAAAAGACACTGACAGAAGCACAACAAAAGAATAATAACACAGGCTCTTGGCTTTTTGTCCTTACTACACAAACCTGAAATCTGAATCTACCTGAACTTCGCATTCCTCTTCAAAATAGGAGCGCGCCGTTTGTGGCTCTACGGCTTGTCGATTTGCTACTCGCTAAGATGGTGGATGGAGATATTACGCCTGAGGATAAGGTATCGTACTATTCATATATGGCTAATTCAATTATTTTGTTTTAAAGGCAGATATATGTGCTAGATTGGTTTTGCTTGCACCACCCTGTGAATTTAATGAAGTATTAGATGGTAAGATGTACGAATTGCTCACATATTCATTCAGATATCCGTTGTTTCGCTGGTGATGATCATCAGATTCAAGAGAAGCTAGCAGCGTAAGAACAAATGTATACTATTCAACTCTTCTAGATCAGTAGCGCAGTATAACAAGGACCAAATGATTCATGTGAAGTTACCAAATTGCGAGTATCCGACTCTGATTACTTCATACGCAGACTTGGGAAATGGATATTTCATGTGTCCTAGGTCGCAGTTGACATTTCACTTCGACCATCTCAAGCAGACAGTCAGTGATGTTAAAAGTTTTGACAAGAGTAGCTTTGATAATATAGACTGTGATCTGGAGAGTTGGAGGCGTGCATTAGAAGATAGCGCTACTGTCTATGTAAACGAACATTTCCCTGATGGAGCTGTTGAAGTTTACGCCTTGAGGTCGAATGATGGTGCACGCTCTCTCGTTATGTGCATTGAATCTCACTTCAGTAAACATCAATCGTAAGTACTACATTGTTCATTCCCATATTTTTTCTTTGGTTTTTCTATACATTTCTAGTCATGTAGTTACTTTTACCACCCCTTAAGAAGCATATCAGTTCTGAATTCAGTACTTTAATCTCAACGTTGTTCTAAATGACACCTAACAACATAGTGCATTTTTGTTTGATATCCTTACAAAGCCGTAGTCTGAATGATGAGTTCTTTTGTTTTCCTAACCCGGTTATATAATCATCTAAGCTGGTAAAACCTAGTGCTTTGCTGAGGCACGACTGTAGATTTTCGTGATAAACACTTGGTCTTTAGTGTTGAGTTCAACAACCAAATAAGCCCATATGCAACCGACATAATGTATTTCCCTCCTTGCTCTGTGTGTTCATGCACCAAAGTTGAAAAAGTCCTTGGTACTGATCCATTTTGTCTCGTGTCCTTCATGTGGAGGTATTCTTCTACCCCATCAATTTTATTTCCTATATCTGGATTTTCTCATATATTTACAGTTCATCATTACTTGACATATCTCCAGTGTTAATAGTTCTAGTTAAATAAGCAAGATAGTTAGCCTCTTAAAACTATCTTCCAACATTCATAGCACGGCCTCCGTGAAATCTTACTAAACGCCCACACTCTATGACCTACCTGGCCCCAAATGCCTTGGTACGGTCGACAGTGGTGCGAGTCAGCCTTTCCTCTCCAAATGCTATCACATCGCCACACGTATACAGTAACTGTCAGGGAATTCCTACCCACTGCCTTCTCGGGACGGGGGTGTTTTCTACGAAATTGAGAGGACGAAAAGAGGATATCCGGCGCTTTAACCAGGTTGGTGGATACGAAGGATCCACCCCGAAGGGTTGGAAAACCCTAATTCCAAACCAATGGTGCATATGGGCTCCAGGATCCTAAGGGAACAAATGGCGTATGAACCAATTATTGGTCACTGTATACCATGAGACTGCATCTCCTAACGTTGTTCCACTGTCTTGTGGATTAGACCTCTAGGTCAAAGGCTCGGTGAATGACTCCTTAAGAAAACTATTCGCTTAGGTTTGGGCACCTGGACAACATCCCAGACCTCACACAAATCAAATTATTTGTTTGACACACATATATTTGGTGCCTTCTTATACCAATGTTTGTGTTCAAACAAATAAGTGAATAGATCTCACGAGTGGAGCATCAGTGCGATTTTAAAGTCAGTTTAAAGTCAGTCAGTCAGCTACGTGTTTAAAGTGCAAATCTATAGATGATCCTCAGTTTCTTTGTCATAAAAATCGTGAATTTTATGCATGTTGTATTTTCTGTATGATCATTCTGCGTAAGTTTACATCGTTTTATGGTAATAATGCATTTTTATTCACTAGGTTTTGATTAGTCAGTCTCAGCACTTAATGCTTCACTATTCAAAAATTTGTAAATGTCGGGTGCATTATTAGCTCTCACACCATGGGTTTAGATCTTAGCCTGGTACGAAAGTTTGTACTGCGCTCCTTATTGGTTATTTATGGTATTTAGTAGAAACATCACGAAGCGATGTTTCGTTCTGCCACTTAAAATTGTCCTTTTTTGTAGTGCTGTCGAAGTTTGTGCCTCTGCTTAACTGGTCGATTGTAGTCATTGTGAAGCCTGGTATGCATCAACCAGTTGCCACACTATATGAGTATAGCTAGGTGAAATTAGGAAAATGAATACAAAGGTAGTAGAATTATCGCTGGTAATAAGAATATACATTGAAGACATGGTTCGAGCATAAAGGACTAATTCGCGAGACAAAAGATGTGCAACAATTTTAAATCTCAAGATCTAGGGAATGATAGGGTGAATGCGCCTGTGTCATCGTGGCCAAAGCAGAACGATGTTAGCCACTGATCGTGGTTATCCTGTGGTTCCAAACAAGCAATTTGTATCCACCAGCAAGACTCTGACCAAGTCATGAACTGATACTATTTCATGGTTTGGTCTCAAGCTTTCTCCTACATGAGTAGGAGGTAGAATGTGATTGACATACTTAACATGTTGCGACCACGTCAGATTCATAACCCCATCAACTGGTTTTCTATCTGTGTGCTTATTAGAAGTCCCTAATCACTCGTTAACTAGAATCATTTTCACAATAAAATAATTTATTTCTTAATGCTTGTCAAATGTTCATAGTTATATGTTATAATGGCGATATGCATGTATCCTATTTTGCATGAACTTGTAGAACTGGACGATGGCGATCCGAATGGACTTTCAAGCTAGTTGGACAAAAATCGATGGAGTTTTCGGTTCATGGTGTTATTAAGGTTCAGGTTTGTGAATATTTGTGCTTAAGTTGTAAACTGGGTTCTACTGTTTTTATTGTCCGGAACCTTGTTTTAAAGATTGATAGGGTTTTCGAAATTTTCATTATTGGCTGAATAATTGACCGAGAACTTGAAGAGAATGGGCATCGGTGTGTACTGTGTCCATATTTATAGTTTGGGTATTATAATTCGTCTGATTTTTTGTATTCTGAACAGCCAAAAGCATGTTTGTAGAGGAAACGTCATTTGTTCTTGTATTTCCCAAAAGTAATGCCTTTGGAAAGCTAGACGAAAATAGGATAAAGGAGCAACCATAACGAATAGGACTTCGTGGCAAATCTAGTATCGGCTCGTAATAAGCTATGACTCAACTAGTGTGTGCCTGGTCCTACGTCGTAGCTGACTGACGTACTTTGGGACTCCTTTTCACTAAGCGATATCATAAAACCTGTATAATATTGCCTTAAGGTCCAGAAACATAGGTTTGTCTGTTCCAGGACCTAGTTCATTCAGCAGTGCAACTTCACTCTCGAACCTTCAAATGCTTTCCTTATAATCGTTACTGTTTTACAACCGACGTGCGCTGCATTATAGGACCTGTATTATGAGACCATCCTATTAGTTGTTATTAGTCTACGGATGATGTATTGAGGTGTAGATATCTTGGATAAAAGGACCTTGATAAGCATACCAATTGTTAATGATCTTGTGTGATATGGCTCAAAATTAATTGCAGTAATGGAATTAGACTAATTCTTGATCTTCCCACAAGTACTTTTGGAATTTGTTTAGCGCTGAGATCTAGGATCTGAAACTTTATCTAGTACTTGTCAGCCAGATGCATCTGCATTTCACACCAAGAATCAAACCCAATATATGCCTTGTGCAAATGCCACTGCCTCAGCCACTAACTTATTCAATGTGTGTAATTTATTACAAGATTTCATGTCAAGTTATACGGAGATCTTCACAAAAGTCTTTTTATTTATGGAATAAAGTATGTTGTAAATTTTATATATTTTCATTAGTTAACAATTCATACAAAGTCCTTATTTGAGTTTTAATTTTTAGGATATATTACTGTTTTAATCCCTTTTTTGATAAAAAAAAATGTAGACACATTTATACGAAGAGGGGAATGTTCAATTGATTTCATCCAAAGAAGTTGATTTCATTGTCTCTGAATCTCTCCCTAGAATATTTGCCAGGGAATCAATAAAGAGAATAAAAGAAGCTGACTGTGCATATCAAGTAAGTAGTCCATGCTTATCAACAACAAGCGTTTTATGGCTTATTAATGAGTATATGAAAATTAATCATATAGTCCGATTCCATCTTACTTCCTTCAGATTTGTCATTTTCAGACTGACCATCCACTTTTCAGCTAATCTTCAAATACTAGAAGAGTCTGAATATATGCATGGTATTACTGTACTACTTGAAATATGTTAATTAAAGAATTAGCCGGATTTAGTTCACAAGAAGTTTAGACGGTCGTTGGTTGTAAAACTAAAGCATTCTCGCCTATTGCTTCCAGTACCATTCTGATGTGACGACTAAATAGAATTGCTAAGGTGACCAAACTACTGGCGGTTCACTTAGCCTGTTCCCAAATCTCGGGTGGCGAATAATTATCAGGAAATTAAAATCAATAGCTAATTGACAGAATACATATGTATATATCATTTGGGTGGCGACCTACTGTAGTTAAAGATCATTAGACCACCAGATCGAAACCTGCTCTACTTTATTCAGTTTAAGAAGTTGATTTGTGTCGTTAACCTTCGTACACAGAAAATGCTCGACTCAAAGCTGAGTACTATTATAATGTTTTACCGTCTGAACATTCTTGAACACTTAAGTTGACTGTATCGAGATCACAATAAAAATTCAAAGCGTTCCAGTAATCCTTACAATAAAAATAAAATTGTAAAAGCATTAAAATCCGTATCAAACTAAAATGAGAATATCCTATTACCTCGATTCGTCGTCTATCTCTGTTTAGTTGAAAATAGATTAGTCAGCGTGTTCCCATATGAACTTGATAAGAGCTTGATAAATGAGTTCCATCATAAATTATCAACCAGCAAGCTATTGATCATGAAGTTCGCGTAGCTAGCAGTGTTCTTTTATTTTTATCCGTTGTGTCGACTACATACACGGCTTTTCCCACATTCTAGTGCGGGTTAAAAAACAGATTATCTTATTTTTAATTTTTATTCACAACCTACCCATATTATTCTTTGCAACTGTTGCATTAGTATAATTAAATTCAGACTTTTGTACTTCCTTCATCTGAATTTAATGGTTTCCTGAGTCATCCTTAAAAATATTGGATTTTCTGAGCTGGATAATTTAGTCGTAAAGTTTCCATTGTCTTTCTAGGCTACATCATTAGCACAAATTTCAAATGGAAGTGAGTTATCTGAATTCCTACACGAGTGACTGACAGTTTCTGTTGAAATAGGATTTAATTAGTTGTCTTCCATTATTGGCTGGTGTATAAACCAATCCAAACTGAATAATGCACTACCTCCGAGATTCTCACCTAACTCTACAAGTTATAGTCACCATCTCCGAATCACAAACTTTATGGATATTGTCTTACTACTTAACATCTGTCTGGTCTTATCAAAGAGAATAAAGTCAGCTGATAATGTGATTTGCGTAAGGAAACGACAACGTGATCCAAGTGACTAGAACAATAGTCAACACATTCTAAGCGACAGTCTTTTTGACTATTATAGACATTAATACTTCAACTCTTTCGCTTTGTATTATGTTCATTTTATCTTAATACGCTGTTTTTATGTGACTAGTTAGCCCATCCCACTTAAGTGCCACGTCGTAGGTTGTTTATTACTGACTAATCACTATATATACTTTTTTCCCTAGATTGCCATTGGCGAGAACTTCAAAACTATGTCCGACACAACTTTCAAAGCTCTTCGGCGGCAACTGCCTTTAACTCGTTCCAAACTGGATTGGAATAAAATCATCACTTATCAGATAGGTAGCGAATTATCTAGAGCACCACCAAATTAAAATTATCAGTTGAAGTTAATTTTCTTTTCACTACACACACACACACACACTACTCCTTTTGGCCGATAAGGTAAAATTGGAGACGATTTAATATATTTTGATTTTTGGTGTACAATAAAAATCAAGGAAATTACGAATATTTTGCCTACTCTCTAATGAATTTAATATTATTGAAATATATATGTTCTTTTTATGAATAGTTTACTAAAAATAAACTTTACCACTATAATGATCAGGAATTGTTTTCAGTTTTCTTTTGCAACTTGATGATTTGTCCAAGTCGTCATGTGTATTTTTGTTTGTTTTCCTCTTTCTTTCGTTACTGTTTGATACATCTGTATTTTTTAAAAAAGAAAACATCTCTAATTGTGTATGGTAGATGGTACATTTCACCATTAGTTTCATTTGTGTTGATTCGACATATATGTTATAATTAATTAATTGTACCTAGTGTGTCTGTTCTCTGAGTGATTTTAACACGGTAAGTATTTGCAGCTGAATATATAATAACAGAATCTTGGGTATTATGCAAGGTATTCTCGTAGAAGTAGTGAATAGTACATGTTTCTGTTTATTTTCTCCTGGTTGATTTCCACATATTTAATGTGTGCTTGCTCATGCTGTCAATCCTCAGAAACTGTTTCACAGTTTCATAATCGCATAATCCTCTTATATACTTAATCCAAATAGTTACCGGTTGGTGCAATGAGCTAGTTTAATTGATTTGTATTGGTTATCTGAATCATCTCATTGAAGCTTAGGACTGCAATCTATCAGTTGGGATCCTAGTGATCGAATGAACATCAAATCTGAGATGCAGGTCCATCCGGCTGACGAATTCCAAATAGGAGGGAACGCGAGTCCTAGATTCCACTTCTATCCACAAGCCATCTGTTTATAAAGAGGGACATAATGTTTTGCGTTAATTGTTCGTTCTATGTTTTTTCGTATGCGTCATTTTACTGGGTATATCACCTTTGAGCTTTAATTTCAGTAATATAAGTTTTCCCTTTGCTATCAGTGAATTTGTTAGGAAGTTTAATACTCGTTTTCACTGAGTAGATCATAGTTCTCAGTTAGTTTGTCCTCAGTGCTTTCACGAAAGCAAATAATTTTAGACTCCTCTACCAAACATTTAACAAAATTTCACTCAATGTAATTATTAAATACACTAAATTGTAGGTGATAGACTGCCTTTGTATCCCATTGTTCCTACATTAATTGGACGTGAATTACATACTGAGGTATTCTGAGTGGAGTAATTTGTTTTGTAAGTTTCAGCGCTTTATGGATAAGAAATTAACGTAAAGAACAACACAACAGGCTAATGTAAATATCAAATTACAAAAACAAACAACTGTACTGTCCAAACAGGACCTAAATGTTACATATTCACTTACATTTCTTTTGCGAAAACATAGTTATCGGTAATAAACACTGTTGTCACAAAAAATGATATGGTTTATTACTCTACGCACCCACAAGTCATTATCACGAGCGAAAACTATTTCGACACTACCCACTGACTTTCTTATTGATTATTCAACAATTAAATGGTACACAGCTCTCTTCTTACCAATCTTATCATGAAAATAATGATTACATAAGCTCTTTACTGTATTTGGTAGCTTACATTTGCCTCATGGGAAAATAATCAAGAGAAATGGAAATTTTAGAATAATTATGTAAGAAATTAGTGTATTTATATTTGGCCATTCATTAAATACGTGGTGTGGAATTTTTCTGTTACTCTTATTATATATTTTCCACGAACTGAATGTTATATATTATTTTGTCCGTAAGCTACCTCTAATTAATTATACACTTATTATTCAGTTTTGTACCACTTGACTTAGTTATGTATAGATTGTGATTTCTCATTTGTGGTACGTTACGGTCGTGTAGTTAATGTATGCAACTTTGAATTTTTGAATTAAAATTAAAATACACTGATAGAAGGTAGTTCTGTCTTTGCAATCTAATTAAGAATGTTAGTCTTTCTGGTCATTATTCACAGTCGTTGTGTTATTTCTTAAACAGAAGCTCATTGATATGAACTATATCATTACCAAAGTTTTCTATCAAACTATCCGATCAAACCAGAATTACGAAAAATTTTAAATCATAAAAACACCTAATCATGTTCACAATCATATCATCAGATCATAATTACTTTGGTAGTTATTCTTTCTAGTTGAGCGGGTTGTCAGATCAAATATCTTAATAATATCGATATTTTCTACTAAAAAACGTAACAAAATATTGAATATTTAACATAAACTGCACTCTTATATACTGCCATTTTCGTCGGTGAATAATCAATAGGTATTAGTTTACATTAAAATTATTCGTAAACTCTACTATTTTTAGGTTAGTAGTCCATATATATTGACTACTTACCATATCTTTTTTAAAAAGCAATATTAGGTAGGTAAATAGTAATCGGAAAATACATAAATTGTGTCAAGTAGTTCATGGGTATTAATTACAATATTCACATATAGTAGTGTAGTTCACAAAAACTCAGGTGACGATGACCAGTTTATTGTTTAATGAGAAATTACAAAGTGGTTTAGTGAAGTGTGAAAATCATGCATCGAGAAACATCATTTACACATCTTTGAATAGTCTCTTACGAACTTCATTCTTGCCGTTATGTTGATTGCTTTCAGTTTCCTTCTCTCCTTTTCATCTCAACCTACTTGTCTCAGACATTCTGTAATGTGTGCTATTTGTATCGAAATAAGTAGTATATAACGCTAGTCAGGAATAGAATGTCTGTCAGCAGAATATCGAGGAGGAAAGAACAGGAACATAAAGTAATTGGTATGGAAATGCATGAACAGTAAAGTCTGAGACAATTAACGAACATTTTGCAAATTAGGTATTCACTGTATGGTTCTCAGATTTTACTAAGACATTTTGTAGCTTTGAATTAGAATGCATTTGGTTGTCCCCGCTTGTGTTCTCGTTCACTACAATTCCGATTCCGACTAGCTTTACATACTACTTATATCTGCAAACATAGGTAGCATATACCACAATAGTATTATGTTAAGAAAGCCTAATCATTTATCAATGTGTGTGCGATGTGCTGGGATGATCTTTCAAATTTCTCGAAATCGACATGACAAGCTCAAAAAGACATTAAGGATCATTTTATCCAATCAGCGTTTGATTAGAAGTTTTGTTAATAACATAGCGAAAATGAAAAATCACATTTAGAGATTCTGATTAGCTGAATAATACACTGCTGCTATATTTAGCAGTATTCTAGAATTTCCAGTAAAAGTCAAGGGCTTTTAAAATACTATAAAAATCATATGTTTTGTGTACAGGAACGAACCTTTGGAGTAAAGTGTTTCCCGCATATTTGTGCCTTTTCTCTCTCGTTCAAGTCGCTGTGTAGTTCTAGCTTGGGGCTTACGAAATTAGCTTAGGATCCTAATATAGCGTTCAATCAACAAGACGTATCACGATGTCTGGAAAAGACTTTAAAATGTAAGGTAAATTCTGTAATTTTCATTCTTCGGGAATTTATCTTGATACTAAATATCGTTGATATTATCTAGAACGATGCGATTGTTCTTCTGTATACTTATTTTGATTGAATGTAACTGAAGTTATGTTATGGATGGATATCAGCTACGGTGCGATTGGAAATAAGAGAGCACTGAGTAGACGTTCATTTCTAGCATGAAACTTTAGCAGTGAACATACGTGGTTCCCCACGGCACCGAAATCAAGTCTCTATAAGAGTGCTTAAGACACTGAGTTTAGGCTCAGTGGTCGAGATTACTGACTTCGATTTTCTTCTCTGTAGTATGGCAAAACCTCTCACCGAAATTCATATTAGTAGTTGATCAACGAACAAAACGTATTTGTTTTGAGATAAAGGTCATGAAGAAGAAAATGCCCCACATACACAAGGAGTTGCATTGATGCTGTCCAGAAAAGCACAAAATGCACTTATAGGATGGGAATTTCATGGACCAAGGATCATCAAAGCCTCCTTCAAAACAAAGAGAGAGGGCATTACAATGAACGTCATTCAATGCTATGCGCCGACGAACGACTACGATGAAGACGCTAAAGACCTATTCTACGATAGGCTGCAGTCGATCTTCAAAAAGTGCCCAACCTAGGACCTGACCATTCTGATGAAAGATTTCAATGCCAAGGTTGGAAAGGACAACACTGGATACGAAGACGTCATGGGACAACATGGACTGGGAGAAAGGAACGAAAATGGTGAGAGATTTGCCAACCTGTGTGCCTTCAATAAACTGGTCATAGGTGGCACCATATTTCCACACAAAAACATACACAAAGCCACTTGGATTTCACCGGATCACACTACACAGAATCAAATCGACCATATCTGCATCAACAAAAAGTTCAGGAGGACGATGGAGGATGTGAGAACCAGAAGAGGAGCTGATATAGCATCCGATCATCATTTGCTGGTCGCCAAGATGAAACTAAAACTCAAGAAGCACTGGACAACGGTGCGGACAACATCACAAAAGTTTAATACGGCCTTTCTTCGAGATGCTGACAAACTCAACAAATTCAACATAGCCCTCAGCAACAGGTTCGAGGCCTTTCATGACCCACTCAATGGAGAGGGGACTACCATGGAGAGCAACTGGAAAAGTATCAAGGAGGCAATCGTTTCAACATGTCAAGAGGTTCTGGGCCAAAAGAAGCACCATCATAAGGAATGGATCACTGTTGGTACACTGGATAAGATTGAAGCAAGGAGGAACAAGAAGGCAGCAATCAACACCAGCCGAACCAGAGCGGAAAAAGCCAAGGCACAAGCCGAATACACAGAGGCAAACAAGCAAGTGAAGAGGAGCATCAGAACCGACAAACGAAAATATGTGGAAGATTTAGCAACGACAGCGGAAAAGGCTGCAAGAGAGGGAAACATGAGACAACTGTATGATACAACAAAGAAACTTGCTGGAAATCACCGTAAGCCAGAAAGACCAGTGAAAAGCAAGGAAGGCAAAGTAATCACCGACATTGAAGAACAACGAAACAGGTGGGTAGAACACTTCAAAGAACTCTTGAATCGACCAGCTCCACTGAACCCACCCAACATCGAAGCAGCACCCACGGACCTCCCAATCGATGTTGGACCACCAACAATTGAAGAGATCAGCATGGCCATTAGACAAATCAAGAGCGGCAAGGCAGCGGGACCAGACAACATCCCGGCAGAGGCACTGAAAACAAATGTAGCAGCAACTGTCAAGATACTACACATCCTCTTCAGTAAGAATTGGGATGAAGAACAAGTACCAACAGACTGGAAAAAGGACTTCTTATCAAAATACCAAAGAAAGATGATCTTAGCAAGTGCGAAAACTACAGGGGCATCACTCTCCTCTCAATACCAGGAAAAGTCTTCAACCGAGTATTGTTAAACAGGATGAAGGATTCCGTGGACGCCCAACTTCGAGATCAACAAGCTGGATTTCGTAAGGATAGATCGTGCACAGATCAAATCTCAACTCTGTGGATCATTGTGGAACAATCAATCGAATGGAATTCATCACTCTACATCAACTTCATCGACTACGAGAAGGCATTTGATAGCGTGGACAGGACGATACTATGGAGGCTTCTTCGACACTACGGCGTGCCTGAGAAAATAGTCAGTATCATACGGAACTCCTATGATGGACTAAACTGCCAAATCGTCCACGGAGGACAACTCACCGACTCGTTTGAAGTAAAGACTGGTGTTAGGCAAGGTAGCTTACTCTCAACGTTTCTCTTTCTCCTGGTGATCGACTGGATCATGAAGACGTCAACGACTGGAGGAATGCACGGGATACAGTGGACAGGCAGGATGCAACTTGACGATCTAGACTTCGCGGATGATCTGGCTCTTCTATCACAAACGCAACAACAAATACAGGAGAAAACGACCAGTGTAGCAGCAGCCTCAGCAGCAGTAGGTCTCAATATAAACAAAGGGAAAAGCAAGACTCTCCGATACAACACAATATGCACCAATCAAATTACACTTGACGGAGAAGCTTTGGAGGATGTGGAAGCCTTTACATATCTGGTCAGCATCATTGATGAACACGGTGGATCAGATACAGATGTGAGGACGAGGATCGGCAAAGCAAGAGCAGCATAATTACAACTGAAAAACATCTGGAGCTCAAAACAATTGTCAACCAACACCAAGGTTAGAATTTTCAATACAAATGTCAAGACAGTTCTATTGTATGGGGCGGAGACGTGGAGAACTGCGAAAGCCATTATCCAGAAGATACAAGTGTTTATTAACAGTTGTCTACGCAAGATACTTCGGATCCGATGGCCAGACACTATCAGCAACAAGTTACTGTGGGAGACAACAAATCAGATTCCAGCGGAGGAAGAAATCAGGAATAAGCGCTGGAAGTGGGTAGGGCACACTTTGAGGAAATCACCCGATTGCGTCACAAGACAAGCCCTCACATGGAATCCTGAAGGTCAAAGGAGAAGAGGAAGACCAAAGAACACATTACGCCGAGAAATGGAGACAGACATGAGAAGAATGAACAAGAACTGGAAAGAACTAGAAAAGAAGGCCCAGGACAGAGTGGGTTGGAGAATGCTGGTCGGCGGCCTATGCTCCATTGGGAGTAACAGGTGAAAGTAAGTAAGTAATCAATTATATATGGGTCTGTTATTTCCAGTTGTTTATATTTAGGACTGAATTTGATAATATGTAATTAATTTGTAAAGTATTTTATCAAGTAATCATGTAATGCGTACATTGTCATTCATACAGTTCATAAGAATATTGATGGTATTGTAATGAACGAAAACTTAGGTGGGGACAACCTAATGTATTTAATCACAAAATTACAGTTATTTGGTAAAATGTAAAGACTATACGTTCAATCCTTCATTTCCATACCCATTACATTCCGTTCCCATTATTTCCTATTCGATCTTCCCAACATTCTGCTACCAGGTTTTCCACTTTCGATTGGTGTTACATACTACTTATATCTATCGACATAAGTAGTATACACCACAATATCATTAATGGAATCGAGGGAGATGTATAATAATGAAACTAATAATCTAGATTTTTGACGAGGCAAAAGTAACATTTTTACTGTAGGAAAACCCATTGGTTTTGTTCATTATTTATGAAATAAAATGGGCAATATTATTTCTATCACACTTAATTAGTTGTTGGTTTGGAAGCCGATGTGCTCATTTATGACACTTCTGAATGTCAGTCACTGAAAGACAATAAGAAACTGTCACGAATTAATATTAGTTCAAGTTGTCAAAAAGTATTTCAGTATAACAAGAAATGAAACTACTAAAACGATAACTAGATAATATCCATTGAAGTATAAAGCTAAATGTGAGGAACTCATGAAACTGAAACTTTAAAAGTATAGAATAAAACTAAGCTTAATTTTTAGAGAAAGATGAAGAACAGATGCATCTACGACCAATGTCGAACTAGAGAACTGAATATTTCACAGTATAACCGCGAGGTTCTGTCAGGATACCTACAATTTCCCTCGCTACTTAAAGGTATAGCCAATAATTAATTCAACTGACATGGTAAATTTGTCTGGTTGCGTTTTTTTGTCATCAAACCCACACGTATACGAGTGAGCATTTCATTTCAGGGCGAGCAATATATAACTATGTGTGATATATGTCTCAACCACTTAAATCAGTTAAATGTCAAGTTTCAACAACAACTTGAATAGTATGTTATTGGGCCTTATAACCAGCTTCTATGTTATTAAGTTATATCACCATACACTTTCAAAATTTTGAAGAGATCTATAGTTGAATATATAAGACATCCAAATATTTTCAACCTTCAAAGTCCATATTTCATAGTTATAAAATAGTATAGAGTAGAATACTTCATTCATCTTTACGTATTATAACAGAAGTAATTCAGAAAGAATATTTCATGAATGACTAGTAACACATACAATTTTTAAATTTGCTTAGTATTGTTTGTTTGAACCTTCCCATTGATGTTTTTTAGACTGCAACTGGTCAGTCTCTAATTAGCATATGTGCGTATTGCCTCGATACAGACTAAATTCACCAGCATGGTAAGCAAAGATGGCTAGTGGCTAGCAGTGGAATCCAGTTTGACGCGCGTTTCGTCCTATTTGGGACTCGTCAGCTGGATGTACCTGCACAAGCAAGTGACTATCAGGACTCAGTGGATAACGCAATGGCGTTTGAAGCGAAAGGTACTGGGTTCGAGTTCCAGAGTGAACATTAACTCTGAGATGCAGGTACATTCAGCTAACGAGTCCCAAATAAGACGAAACGCGCGTCAAACTGGATTCCACTTCTAGCCACTATCCATCTTTGCTTACCATACAATTTTTGTTTTAGTCAATATATTTTGTTCAATGATTTATAAAATATAAATTAAGAAAATGTTGTGTTCGTGTTTATTTATTCTATTCAAAAAAGTAAATGTTTGGATATTTGCAAACTGTAGTTATATTGTTAAGCGAATTCGAAATGTATAGTTGTTTATAATTCAGTTTTCAATATGTAGATAGATAGATAGTTAAGTACTTTATTTGTTTACATGTTTTAACGAGTGAGTATCCAGGTAGGTGAATACACAGAAAAAAAAACCAAGACCAAATATCCAGTGCAGAATAATGATAATATTGGAAACACCCAATTGTAAATATGAAATAAAAAGGAATGAAATATAAATGAAATAATGAGATCAGTAAGTAGAATAATTACTTTGATTTTTGAGATCATTAGTACATGATCAAGTACAATTGGAGGATAACATATACTCAATTATAATTTAAAAGGGTTAATGGGATTTCATAAGTGTCCATATTGTTCATATGCCAGGTCCTACGTTATAGCTGACTGACTGACTGACTAGCATATGTCACAATATCAATAATAGTTTATCAATAATAAATGCAATTTTATTAATTTTAATCAACTATTACACGAATAGAATCTTCAAATAAGGCTATAACCAGCATAATTCCAACACCAGTTGTTAAACCAGCTGTTTGAATAATGAATTGACCAATTCGTGTTTGACCTGGTCTTAATTCAAGTGAATTAAGTTCAGGTAACTAGAATGATATATAGAAAAGATCAATATATATATGATAGAATCAACAATATTACGAATTTACTATAGTTGAAAGCGTGAGTCAATTGAAGCTAGACCACCATCGAAAACCTGGAAACACTGGATGGCCGTTTCGTCCTATTATGGGATTCCTCAGCAGTGCGCATCCACGAACCCACTCTCGCGAGCGAGATTCGAACCCAGGACCTATCAGTCTCGAGCCGAAGCCCTTAACCGATAGACCAATTGTCTTCAGTGAGTTCTTATCTCACAACAGACGTGGTTTTGAACTCCACTGGTCACTGCTTCTCACTAGAGCTCCTAGATATACTTCTCAAAGTCACTGGTGAGCATATGATTACGAATATTACGAATATAGTTGAATTAATTCATTCAAAAAAGACAAAACTATATCGATATTTATTACAGTCACAAATAAAAAGGTCAGTTAAATAAATCTGTTAAAGAATCTAAACCTATATATAGCTATTACGTGTCAATTAACAGAAGCTTATTTTTGGGTATTGACAGAATTTAATATAATGAGGTTGATCTTTCACTCGAAAATTAGATGACTATTTTAAGCCATCATACACATTGGATACTGACGTTTCATTTTTAATTTTGCTGTTGTTGTCATTGAGAGGATTTCTGTTATCTGATTAATGACAAATAAAAGGAATTCTTGAGATTAGATTTAGACTTAGTTGTAACTTGTCATCATGGTACATTATCAATCTTTAGCTGAATCATGTTCTTCATGGAACTGGAATCCATCTTATCGGAGCCGTTTCTGTTAAGCTACTGATGATACAAATAATATATTTTGACATTGGTTTAAACTCTATGGAAATTGTCACTTCCGCTACCATTCCAGGCAGACCATGGTGACGACTCTCAGGTAGCACAAAAGTATGTCCAGGTCTCTGAACCCATTCTCTGCAATCACCTAACGTTAAGCTAAATGCATCGAGATGTTTATGTTTGGTGACTGTATTATTATTTGATTAATAGGATTTGATTAGCACTAAGAGACTAGTAATATGAGACTAATTACTTTAATGTCATCAGTTAGTTTGTGAAGGAATTCCCAGAAAATAGCAGTTAAAGATGTTGCAGATCTGTGACTCAAACAACACTTGCTCTGAAGGATTGTATTTTTTAAGTATGCGATAATATGAATTTTAACCATTCTTCACTGACTTATCAGTAGTATAGTAACATTTTTTATTGTGTTATTTATTATTGCATTATCTGACTAAATGGTACTTCGTATGACTAATAGAAGCTTTCATTTACACATATAATTGGAAGTATTTAGAAAATTGGATAGTTTAATGGATGAGACTAGGCTTTATATAATTATCAGAAGGGGTTTTGTAGAGATTTAGTATTTTCAATTGACTCACGCTTTCGATCTTCAAAAACATATGCCATTCTGGCTCAATTTTGATATAATTGTAGCACTTATATGGTCAATTAATGGCTAAATTTCCAATCCTTATTCAACATCGAAAACGATGCTGATAACCTCAGCTAGGATAGATAGCTAAAAACCGATGAAACAAAGACTATAATTGCTGTTTTCTTCTATCGATTCGGTTGAACTCTGATGGTCGGGGCTTCTCACTCGAACTCCGAAAATTACCTCTCAAAAGTAGTCACCAGTGACCACATGATGATTATCAGTATAGGGTTGTGGAGACTGTTGAGTTTTTTAATTGGAATCATGAATCGATCAATGCTAGACCCTCATTAAAAACCTGGAAGCACTGGGCGACCGTTTCTTTCTCGTATGGAACTCCTCATCAGTGCATATTCACGAGTACCATAACCCTGTACTGATAATTGCCATATGCTCACTAGTCACTACCTTTTGAGAGGTAATTCTCGGAGTTCGAGTAAGAAGCCATGATCAGAAGAGTTCAACCGTGTCAAGTATGAGGCAGTTTTTTATCGAATCAATGGAATATGTCTAACAGTATGAAGATAGAACTGATCAAATTTCAATCAAAATACCAACAACTGAATAATTTAATTAATTATAAATTCAATCATAATTCTTTTCTTTTTACTTACCATATCAACAAGTGCAATATAAATAAATGTTCCAGCAGTAATTGCAAATATCCAATAACTTGCAGATTCTACATTACCAATACCTATACCAACTAACATTCCAAATAAACAAAGAATTGATGAAATAATATTGAAAAACATTGCTTCTTTAATCCGCATACCAGTTTTTAAAAGTACAGCAAAATCACCTATAAATAAAAAAAAAAGAATTAAGATTAATGATTGTACAATGACAGACAACAAAAGTGTTTAAATTCTTTGTATAGCAACATTCTATTATTATGACTTTATCATTATCAAGGATCATTATTTATTTTTCAGCAGTCAGTCAGTATTTAGTTATGATTAAAATGTATCACATATCAAGTAGTGGGTGGGTTATCAAATTAAACTTTAATAATCATTCAAGAAATCAATATCCACTACTAAAGAGTTGATCGTAATTTGTTAGTATACTAATAACCGTAATAATTAGAATTAAGCCAAACCATTAGATATCCTTTCCACGTCGTGCATTATTTGCTGACTCTGGGACTGGTTGGAATAAGCGGAGAGGTGGTCAGTGTATAACATGGTGTCGTGGTATGAAAGAAAAGTGCAAAGGACTAGCTTCTGTTGGTCCTTCACGACTCCCTGGCTGTGGTCCGAGAAATGGTGCAACACAGTGGCTAGAGACGTTATCAGATATGGTTCAGAATAGAAGCCAGTGGCGAGCCTGCTGTAACCTTCTTTTACTTTCTACATAAAGAGTGGTTTTAACTTTCCTAACTGAGAGAGTTCTTCTGGTTGTACATTTCAGTTCCCCCCATCATCACTGTTCTCTTTTTTCTCATCCTATTTTTTTCTTTTATATACGCATCTTCCCCATTTCTCTTCCTATTCTCATTGTTTTGTGTGGCGCATATGTATATGGTAACCTTTGTACTAATATGTATGTGTTTAAATAAATAAAATCAGATATCCTAATGATCTGTCATGACACAGGTTTTTGATTCAGTTACAAGAAAGTCGTCTACAGATTTCTTTACTTTGTAGTCAACTGGAAATTTCAATAACATGTAAACTTATCCAGAATACTTTATTTCATGATGTTGGCTAATTAATTAAAATTAGGACAGGTTGTGGAGGTTGTTGAATTTCACTGAAACCAAGGACCAATCTAAGTTAGACTACAATTGAAAACTTGTAAACAGTAGAAGGCTGTTTCGCCCTAGTATGGGGCTCCTCAGCAGTAGTCATACAGAACCACCACACAGGAGATCGAATCTAGGACCTTTGTTCTCAGGTGCAAGCGCTTATACTTTAAACAATTGAGTTGGCATCCATCTGTACCGATGTCTAACCCCCAATCAATCCATGATATTGTTGTTCAATACTTCCAGATTTTCAATAGTGATCTAACTTTGGTTCATGATTTCAGTAAATTTAGGATGGTTCATCCTATTTGGTATTTCATACAAATTGAAAAATGATACATTCTATAAAAGTGGTGCTTCCTAAGTAAGATATCATTTATTTATTCTCCTTTTAATGAAAATAATCTTCAAGAAAATACACAAAAATGAAATTGGTGAGTTTTTGTGCATTACGTGACATGGTATTCTAGCAGTCATGAGTCAGATTATCTCTAATGAAATACCTTTTCAGTGTTAAAGTGATACAGAGTTTATAAAATAGTTTGATTTACGCAGTACAAATTCATGAGATGAATCACAAACATTATGGTGGGCAACATTTAAAGTACATGTTTGTAATTACTCTTTTCCACTTCATCTAATTATCAGTTGTTAGTATGAGCAGTTTGTCAAGGTTGTTTGATTCTAAATTACGTGATGTTATAAAATAACTTTGATCAAACATTAAGTGGCAATTACAGGACATTGAACATTTGCTATGGTGAAGAAGAAAAACCGAACATCATCTAAAACATGAACTGTTCCAGCTGCGAAAAACACCACATCGCACAAAGTGGACACCCTCTTCATCTTTACTTACATGAACATCAATTAGCAGTCAAAGTCCATGACATATCTTCGTTTACATCAATGTATGTGGACAACTATGGACACACATTCGACTGGGAAAATGTTGAAATCTTGGATAGAGGCAATTCTGAAAACACTATAGAATTTTTAGCAGCTTGACACTCAGGTCATGCAGTAATTCACAAACACATTGAAATCGATCTAGTTTATCAAACAACCAGAAAAATCGTGGACGAATATAGGACTAAGAATCAAATCAATGGGAGATACTATCAAAATAAAGTCGACAATGACAGGTTAAATGTCAACAATAGACAATCAAGATTGAAGTCTACAGGACAAGCTGTGATTCATATGTGGAGAAGCTCGAACAAGTCACTTTTACCTGAAGTTTGTTCTGTTGCTGTTATTCAGAAGAACAATGAAAGCTCCGCGACTAAATCATTCAACTCAGAGAACAAAACTCCAAGTAAATCACTGGACAATTGCTCTGTCCCAGTTTGAGACTACTTATTATTGGCCATTTTTGACCTCTCCGAGGGTGTCAAACCTTAACCTGACCTTCAGGCCCCAATTATTAGGATGAAAATTACCTAGATTAATTGGCACACGTACACCAATTATCCCAAAACATAACATTTGAGTCTTTAAATCGCCTAATTTTTGTAATCGAATAGCGTAATGTGAGGATTGAATGACTATATTACCACTTGGACCAAACGTACAGGTATCTACTAATATATTTTAAGTAATATTGCTTTAGCAGCCGAAAATGTAAGATGATTGTGAGAACTGTGAAAATTTTGGTAATTTATTATAAGTATCGCTGACACGAATACATGCGGTAAAAAACGCAGTCTTAACATGAGAGAGACAAATTTTGTAGTCGTTTCACATGATAGCTATTACAAACGATCCAACTTAACGTATATTAATGGAGTAGACAATGAAACGATCTGAAAATCTTAAATGAAGTACAAACTAACGGAAATGGTAAGCGCGAAGCCTACGTTATGACAGATGTTCTTGACTGATTATGATTATATATATCTCACTTTAGTATCTGTTGATAGAATGACTACAATACAAACATTCATAACTATTTAAGACTGAGATCATGTTCATGGTTAGAGTATAACAACTTTTTAGCCATTCTATCATTGTTTTTTTCATTTTGTAGGCTGAAATGTAGCCTTTTTTGTACAGACAAGTCAATTAAGCTAAATTTATGAAGCCTGGAGAACAGTTCATGTGATCCCATCTTACTGTAGCGGACGCTGCTAGCAAGATTGTTTGTAAGTAGTGTGTAGCGGAACGTGGTGTCGAAATCGCAACAGCTGTCGGATGGAGTGAAGAACTTCGGTACATTGAAAGCTAGGCGTTGACATACCCGTTAAGTCCAGATAAGGAGATAGTTCAGACTACCGAACACACCGAAAGATGTAGAATGAAGATTTAAGACTATGTATATGTATGAATACTTTGTAACTTCTCAAGAATACACATTTCTCCTGACTGTTGTTGTATTCTACATTACTGATTTAACCGTAACAGAAGTGAAATATATATCTCTGAAACTTAAGGGTTAGGTATATAACATTCATTGTCGAAGTATTATGTGATTTTTAATGGCATTTAATGTACTTTTTACATTACCTAGCTCGTGCGGTAGTTCATGGCAGAATACTGCAACACTTGTGCTAAGACCACCTGAAATGCTTTGAGCGAACGCAGCACCTACAAAAAAACAAGCAAACAAAACTCGTATGACCAACTAAATAATTCTTTTATAAATAACTAGGTGATAAACTGTTTGAAACAGTTGTTTAATCCTTGTTTCCTAAGACAATCAGGAATCCTTGATAATTGTTTTATATTGGCCAATTCAAAGTACAAGAAAAATCCACTGTCAATATAGTGAATGTCATAAACAAGTCGATTTGAGTGTTTTGAATTCAAAAGAATGTGTGTTTGAGGCTGATTCAAGTTTGAGTTTATTTGGATTAGTTAGTTAGTTAGGATAGAAGATCCAACACGTCATTTGATGTAACTGCGTGTTAGTGATTTTCACTACTAACTGATATCACCCAAAGAAACCTCGTAAATCATGAAGCACTGTAAAGTTCGTAGACTTTATAACAATGACTAAATAGATTTTCAAAACAAGCAATTAAAGCTGATAACATCGGTCAATAGCATCTAATCCAGTTTACACAAAAATCAACTGATTTACAGAATAAACATAAATTATATTAGTGCTAGGTAATTTGATTTCTAGGTTGATATGTTTGACACAAGACAGTTGATTAAAAGACATTTTAATATTCAAATGTGTGATAAGTCGTGGGATGGAAACAATTGGGGTATCACTAAGATCCGATTAGAAATAGACAACTATTTTATTGTAGTAGTGCTGGTCGGTGATCCTGTGATGAACCGAGACAAGGGGATTTGGGTTGCGCGATGGTCAAATGTATTATATTCCTAACTTTAATCAGTTCACGGCATAGAACAAAGACTAGCAAGTTCAATCAGTATGTATGTAATCAGGTACTGGAAAACTGACTGATAACAGACTATGGTAAATACCATTAAGAGATTAAACCTGTTTTCATTAAACATTGGTTAATTTGAAACACAAGTGTTAACGTTTTACATCGTAACCAGTGTAATACGAAACTGAAGCTAATCAAAACTGAGGTCCTCTGTATCTGACTCCAATAAGTAATATTCCGTTAACTGAGTATTTGTTCAGGCCTAATCTAGTAGTATTATGAATGTATTCAAGATTATGCAAAAGCTGAAACATCAATTTTAGGGATAGTATATTGTTAACGATTGATAAAACCGGCAAGCAAAGCAGAAAGCAAGCACAACGGGAAGTGAGCAAGAGAGAGAGACAGCAAAGCGAAACGAACCGGAGAAGATATGTGAAACAGCTCACTTTAATTAAAGGTTACTCAATATTTATAGTCAGAACAAAAATAAGCTACAGACATGTAATGAGTAAGATAAGGAATACACACACATACACTCACATAAAAACAGTCAAGGTTGATAAGCGAATAAGTAACAAGGTCAAAATGTAATTGAAGAAGAATGAATAAACTGACCTGTCCGGAAGCTAGGACAAGCTATGTAGGCTTGACATAACAACCGACATTACAACTTTTATTTTCACAAATAATTATGTATCATTTACATCATCTTTAATCTATATAATTATTGTTTCTTTCCTGTACATTTTTATCCATAATCAAATGTAAACCAAAAATTCAGTAGGTACGTAATTTAATCGTTGGTTGGAGACTCTATGTGACATGGTTCAGAATCGATCACAATGGCGTAGGTGTATACACTCTTTATCTTCCCTTAAACCTTAAGATTAAAATTGCTTCATAAAGTTCTTCTTTCCTATTCTATATCTTTATATACTACCACCACTAAATTAACTATTTCTATGAATCCGGTGTTCATCTTGTTGTGCTAATGAGGTATGGCAACTTGGACCAATGCATATGTGTGCCTGGTCCTACGTTGTAGCTGACTGACTGACTAACTGATCCATCTTTTATTCAGGCATTAATTTTATCACTAGATTCTAATAAACTCTGTTTTATCACTATACTACTTAAATAACTGTTTTAAAGTGACTGGTCCTATTTTATTGTTTAGATATCATTTTGAAATTTACGAATTCTTAATCATACTACTATTCAGTCATTAAAATAATTCTTATGCAATTTTTAAGTAGTTTGTACACAATCTCACATGGTATTTACTGATATTACTGGTTTCATGAATACCTGTCTATTAGTAAAACGTAGCTTTCATGTTTGACGGTGTGCCAGAATATGCCAGATCTTACAGTGTTGATAGCTAGCTAATTGCTAAAGATTATCAAGTTGGATTATCCTAGGTGTATCTGTATATTTGTTACGTAACGAGTTATCCACGGATGTTGCTCGATATAAACTGTTTTATAAACAAGAATGAATAAACCCTAAATTTTTAAGGAAAACTACAAACTTTAAACCTGGTATTATTATCAAAATGTATCACAGTATAAAACTGACCGATTGCCATCCCATCTGTAAAATTATGTAGACCATCACCCATAATTACCATCCAAGCCACTGCAGCTACAGATTCTGGAACCTACAAAGAAATAAAAATATACTAGCCATTAATATAAAACTACTCAGTTTTTTCTTTGTCATAACATCTTCAGTAATGGATGATCATGAGAATTTGTGATTTGTAAAATTATTCTCCTGCGTTATTCTAAATTATCTATTCATCGGATTTTTAATAAAAGAGATTGTCTTGTATAGGACTTTGAAGTCATTCATCAGGATTAGTGGCTAACCTTGTGATCATATGGTCAATATATTCTTAGACAAAACTGCAAAATCTTACATACTACTATGGAGTATCGTTTTATCAAATGTAAATCATACAACTGAGCAGCAATTATCTTTCGGTAAAATAACTCTGAAGGTAAATTAAGACCTGTTCACATTTAAATAAATAACTATGAATAGTAACCATAAATATGTTACAGTACAAAGAAAGACCAGGTAAAACTTGCTTGTATGGAAGATTTACTAATTTTTTTTCAAATATCTACCATTGACATAAGAGATCAATATTACTACCCATTAATATATATAAGGAATAAGGATTAGGTGAAGTCTAGCCGATATTATAACATCTCCAAATATTACTGAAAAAGTAAAATTGTGATCTACTTATATCCATGTAAGTAGTATATGGTGATGGTCAGACATAGAATGTATTTTGGTAGTAGATCGATAAGGAAAGAACAGGAATGAAGCGCAATCGGTACGAAAATGGGTGAAAAATGAAATCAGAGAACATGGACTGATATTTGCAGAGGGAACAGTGAAGATTGAGATAATTGATTGTCATTTTGCAAATTAACTGTTTACTGCATGGTTATCAGAATTTAGTGAGATAGTCTGTAATTTGTGCTTAAGTATATTCGATTGTTCCCACCCGTGTTCCTGTTTTCTACAAAATTACTAATCATAAAGAAACCATACACCAGTTTTACTATTTGGTTACATTAATCGATAGATATTAAATAGTATAACAACTAGAGTTGAATAGTCTGTCATTATGTTTATTCTTTGTTGAAATTAACATTGGCTATTTGGAGAAAGCACAATGTTATGAGACAAATCAGTCAATAGAAAATATAGAAATTATTCATTCAAACTAGAAGAAGAATTTTAGTAGCCCTAAATCTGACTACAGTTAGATCGTATGGTTGATTGTTAATGAAATATTCATGGCGTCAATCCTCGACAACATGATTATCGACTTAATCCGCGTTAGTGAATAACAGAATTAAATAAGCCAAATACGAGAATGGATTTTGCATACGTATAGTTCATATAATTGTTGATCTAGACAAACCAGCGAAGAAATGAAGAGAGAAGAGAGGAGCGAAATGACGAGCAGTGGAGAACGCGTGTGAGCCAACTCGATTTATGTCAGCTTGAATTGATAAGTTACAGATACGTGGTGAGTAAGATAGGAAATGAATACACATATGCTATTGTAAAGACGGTCAAGGTAGCTTAGCGAATAATTAACAAGGTCAAAATGTGATTTAAGAAGAATGAGTAGATTGACTTTTCCGGAAGCCAAAATAAGTTATATGGGCTTAACATAGCAACCGCTAATACAAAATTCACCCATTTTAGATAGAAAACTAGTTGCTTAAAGCGTTAAGTGTAAGATGTTAGAGGTATATCTTTATTATTGAGAACAAGCGTTTATGTATAAAGTTCAATTTATGTTTTTGAATAAACCGATAAGTGGCTATAATATTGGTAATTTATTTATTAATTCTACGGACTCAATAATTAGTTAATTACTACTTTAAAAACATCAGTAACTGGCTTATAGTAATCAACCTATATGAATTGACAGAGTATTATCATCAAATAGCTTCACTGTTTGCTATTTGTAACTGAGTTGTAATGGTCAAGATTGACCCCTTGTATGACTAAGATATTTACATTGGTTTTTACGCCATCCAACTTTAATTACCTAACATCGAAACATTGGACATGCGGGGCCAGATCACTTAGACTACTAGATACATGAACATCTGACTGCAAGCCGTATTCTTAACACCAACTTTGACAAGTACAAATGTCAGTACAGCTAACATTCTTCTTTTTGATGGGATACACAGATTACAACTAAAAATTATACATGAATATTAGGTTAAGGTAAAGTGAAAAAAAAAACTTGTATTTTTTACTTCGTGCGAATGACCATGACTATGACCATGTCCATGATCAGATGTGTTTACGTCTTCCTGATGATGATCTGGTAAGTCGATACGCAACTGAATATGATGAGAATTATAAAAAAACAATTAACAGTTTGTCCATATTTAAAATACAAGTTTGCTGTGAATTATAAAAATAGAGAAGTATTCCAGAAGCAAACAAATGTAAGCTAATAACAAGAGATATAAATATCTGGGCTTTCAAACATATACTGGTTCATGTTGAAATGGAAGTATTATGCATTGGTAATCTCTCAAATAGTTTTTATTACAATTTAAGACAATTTACATGATGAAATCCAAAATGCCAAGTCAATTGATCAACCTTTTTATCTTGTAATTATTACGCCCTTATTATACGACAAGATATTACAACCGCCATCTGTATTCTGTGAATGGTTTACTTAATTCCTGTCTTCATCGACTTGGATTAAATCTCTTGTACTTTCACTGTTAAAAGAACTTGAACTAATACAAATTAACTTTCAATTAATCTCTTAGGTTAAAAAGCTCAAAAACATATGCACTGTGCTTGGCAGTTTGAGGTCATCAGTGGGTAGCAATTCGTCTGGGATTTGTATGAGTAGACACTTGTCAGCAAAGCTTATCTTCGTTCATGAAAGAACTGATGCTCCCCTAGAGATTTGAACGCTCACCAAACAGTGATGAAGCAAAAGGAGTTAAAAATAAAGTATCGCTGACGTAATTTACTCAATGTAAAACTGAAACTTTTATATCGATTAGTCATTATATGCTAATCTATTTATTGTTTATCTAATTTTGAACGATGATGGAATCCTCTCATTCCACACAATTCTTCATCACAGTTAGATCAGTAATTAAAACTGTTTTCATGGTGTTTACGCGGCAAGACTAAAGAACATGGACGAGCCAATCAGAAGCTTTCGTGGGTTTTCAAGGTCACGGCGCTAAGTTCGGTACCTGATGCTTACGGTCGGTCAGTTTACAACGGATTTTAGAGAAAACATGATAATTAAGCGTCTACAAGATATGTTATCATAAGATTTTGGCGCAAAACTCAATTATACATTTGGACAGAGTTTTGGCATTATAGTTGATGTCAGTTCGTGATGAAAACCGTAAGTATAATTTCTAACCTTAACCATGAACTGTAAATCATAATTTGAATTCTTCACACGGGTTTATGACCCTCATTTAGTCTTAGTTATTACGTTTACACTCTCAGATTCACTCTAGCGTCGCTCAAATGTCGTCCATAATTCATAGTCTCATCTTTAACCCTAAACCTTAACCCTAATCTTAAACCCTGAACCATACCAACATACCAACAACACTGAAACTATGTGGTCGAGGCTGAAAGAATTTTCGGGACTTTATCATGGTTTCAGTGGTCGGCTACTATGGTGCCACAGGGATGAGTTCCTGTGCCGGATGCACTATGATTTTAGAACTTCTGAACCTATATCTAACCTTGATAAGTTTTTGATTCATGTAAAAGAACACTATCCCCTTTAATTTTTGAGTTTTATATAATATATCTTTACTGTATGCTAACTGTTTTCTGATTGGCTAATATTTCTCAAGGTCATTTAAGATTCGTTCAAAGGTCGTCCATGTTCTTTAGTCTCGCCGTTTACGCTTGCCGCAAATTGATCGACTGAATAATTCCACTGATATAGTTGAGTTGAAAGGGTTTAGTGGGTAATAGTTTAGTTTTTTAAAGGTAATCGAATTGATGATTGTAATAGTTAACCATCCACTGAGTGACCTGAATGTTCTAAGCTTGGTCCCTGATAGGATCTTTGTTATGCACTACTGAGAAGGACTAAACAACTGTCTAATACTTCTCGGTTTTCGACGGTACCTCAACTGAAACTAAATAACGAAGAATTTTACCTTCGAATTTCAGTAACAAGTAATTGTTATACAGTTTTCCTGTAACCATATTTCATTACTTCAAATTATTATCAGAAAGGGGAGATTGTAATAATTTAATAGTTGAATTCAGAGGTCGATTAAGGCTAGACTAGATTTCCATGGTGGTCTAGCTTTAATCGACTCATCAATTCAAATATTAAATTACTTCAAATAAGCTCGTATAATGGTGAAAAACTAGAATGACAATAAAACAAAGTTAATAAGCGGAACCATACTGAATTCACCTGTTTTTCTGATTCTTTTATCTTGGTCTCATTTTCTTCTGCTATTGTAATTTTTGGCAAATTTATTACAAGCTTTTCTTGATGTTGTTGTATATCTTTCTTTGAGCTGTTCTCTTCATTAACTTGCTTTGGTTTCCCATCAGGAAGGTCCAACTGTGCTTCATGTTTTACCAATGGTTGTTCTATACCATTGTCCTGTGAAGATCTTCTTGTAAGCTCATCATATTCCTCTGCATAGCTATAAAGAATGTCGATTGATTTCATTGCTGAAAAAATGATTCATATCACTGTCATGATTTTGCTACAAAATACATTATCTAAATGAAACTAATGAAGATGGTGCAGACCGTAATTTATTTTTCTAAGTTACATTTTATTGATTAAAATAGGACAATATGTCGAAGTACCCACAGTCTATTAGTATTGTATACTTTCCAAATTCGTACGCACATCTAAAGATTATTGTTACAGTTCATGTTTTACAGCCTACAATAATTAGTTTCACAATCATACAGTGTTTAGGAAATCGGAAAACAAAGCAGTGTTAACACTGAAAGTAATGTCCATTTGTAGTTGTAATCATTATATAAAACTTGCCTGATGAAAATCGTGTTTTTGCTTTTCACTGTCGGCTTCGTAATTGACTGACTTATATACTGTTTGAGCTCAATAATTTCGATCATCCGTCAATTATACTACTTCTAAAACATTATCTCCTGTTTACTTTTAACAAATGACAGTGATTCTTCACAGGTTAAGTTAGTACTTATTAACATCTAAAAGCCATTTTAAGTTGAAATACAATTCACAAAAATCTGCTTCAATCACTACCATAGATACAACAAAATAAGCAGTTTAATTAGTTTGCATGAAAGATTAATCTTACCTTTGCTACTTAGTCCCGTAACAAATACATCTTCATTTGCAATAGACATAGCACGTGATGCTCTTCTACATGATGTAGGATCAAGTTGTGATAGTCTTCTGGTTTGCCCAGATACTGCTAAAAGTCCACCTGGAGCCAAAGATGGTCTTACAGAACTTAAACGACGAGTTACTGGAGCTACAGGTAAATTAAGTAGTGCTCTTTCACGATCTTCCTATCAATCCAAAAAAGAAATTTGAAGTTTCACAATTTTAAACTGTACTTTCTGTTGAATAGAAATTTTGTTAAAAACTCCTTGATATGTTTACAATTGTAAACAATGTATATGCAATTTACGTTGAATCGTTTTATTTAAAGTTGTTAGCACGAAAGCTAGATATACTGATATATGGCCCGACGTGAAAATTTGTCTTTGATGCATCTACAAATGACAGGAAGGCTGGAGAGTACGATACATCTACATATAACGTGAAACTTACAACTAAGAACCTACAGACAAATTTTCACATTGGGCCATATAAATGAGTATTTTTAAGTTTACTTGGTCTTGCGGAGGAGATTACATTGACCGTACAATGCGACGGCTTTCTAAACAAACATTTGAACATTATCCTGGACGACTTTTGAATAGCGTATGTAGAACAATTAACAATACAATATTGGAACATCTTGTTATTCAAATCATACTGCCCCATAAGATAAAAAGAAATCTTTAATTACTCATTATTATTATTATTTCCACACTGTAAATTTATTCTTCACCTTTCTCATACTCATTCAATAGAGAATTATCCTTCACAAATATAATTCCATTTTATTATTACTTTCGTAAATACTCGATAGTTAAGCAGCTTTCTGTCGACATTACAAGGGATACACTACTTCTTTTAACTTTTCAATAGACTATTTTATTTGTTAATTGACTACAAATACAGTTGTACAGTTAAGGTAAATGATATTTGTTGAGAGAGGAATTTTTTTCATTGAATCATCTTTAATTCTTTATCGATTTCATATTTCATATAGTTGAGATCATGAGTCAATTGAAGCTAAACCACCATGGAAAACCTGGAAGCACTAGACGGCCGTTTCGTCCTATTATGGGTTTTCCATGATGGTCTAGCTTCAATTGACTAATGATTTCAACTATGAATTTCATACTTATTTAACAATTATAAAATTTCTTATCCAAATACAATAGTATGATGCATATCTTATAACAACTCTTGTTAAAATACTAAGATAGAAACATAAGTCAATATAAATAACCATTGTGAAATTTGAATAAATGATACATACTGTCTTATATTTACCCTTGTTCTCAAAAATGTCTAATGTCATAAATTGTGAAATTTTTGTTACGGATTTTGTATTCTTTAACTAAAGTTTTTGTGTGAGATCTTAGCTTTTTGTAACCTATCAACAATATCCAGCTGACGAGTCCCAAATAAGACGAAACGCACGTCCTGCATTCCACTACTAGCCAATACACATCTTTGCTTACAATGCTTGTCAATTGAGGCAATATCGAGGCAATTCGCACAGTATGCACATATGCCAATAACACACTGATCAATTGCAGTGCTAAACATCAATGGTAAGATTAAAACATATAATACCAAGTGAATTTAATGTTAGATATATCAGTTATGGGGTTTGATTTCAAGGTATTCATTGTAATTCTGGACAGTATTATCTCCAAATACTTATGTAGATATGAACTGTTTAATTATCCTACAAGCGTTAAATCAAGCGGTTCTGATAAACATGTATATGACTGGGTATCTCTTCTTAAATTTAGTCAGTCTCATTTGTCAGTCAGCCATTGTAGACTAGTCAATTTGATCGATCTCCAGGGATGTGATTGGTCAATTTTCTTCTCATGTATTGGTAAATACAGTTTATGCTTGTTACAATCACAGATTGACTGACCTGAGGTCAATGCTTTCAGAAATATCCTATGATTCTTTGAGTTTCCTCGGTCGAGGGTTTCAATATTTTGAAAATTATGTTCTCTTACACGGTTATCAGTATGGATTGATTTATGTGCTGACATATCATACTGTTTGAAAACTATTCTATGTTTGTATATGAAGTGATGAAGAGGAGAGTTCTATTTTGACCACTTTAAAGCTTAGTATATTTGATAGAATTTATGTTGTAGATTACACTGAAGTTACCGATTGCTATTTTGTGTTCCGAATTTTTCACACAATTATCACAACCTCTCTGTCTAATGGAAAATTAACATTCTATTGTTGTTAGCGCCTACCCACAAATTGAGTGGGTGAGTGTTAGGAAAACCCTTACAAAGACAAAGATTTTTGTCTAGAACTGTAAATAACGAAAGCAACCTAATAAAAAAGTCTGCGTTTTCGTAATGTCTACTATGTTACTCGTTTAGAAAAATCTTTTGTCATAATGTATGAATGAAAATTCGACATAAAACTCACTTTTTCAAGCTTTTTTTCAGCCCGATATTCAGAAGTTAAGCTTAATATTTTCTCCGCCATGAAAAAGAAATATACACCACCCAAAGCCACCAAACCTTTCAAAATTGCTATACGTTCGCCATTTTCTTCCTTAGATGATGTTTCTTCACCTCCATGATCATGACCTTGACCAATGCTTATAGCCTAAGTAAAAATATCAATATATTATTACATCAAATCGAGACTGAATGTGTTTACTACCTGATGGGTTTTATTCTGTAAACTATTAACCAAACGAGTTACTGATTTCATATCGGCTGAACATTACATTTAGCATGTGACTGAATCTATCTATTACTCGTTGCAACATAGTTCTTTTATTTTTAAAAAAACACCCAGGAAATTCATTAGTACAACGCAAGAAAAGACTTTAAAATACTAACCGCTAGACAAAGATATAAAAACAAAGTCTGCTTATGATTGAATGAATGAATATTAGACTGAAATAAATCTGATAGTTGAAGCTCAATTATTGACAATTAACTTGGAAACTATTGTAGAAACTAGTCGATATCTAAACTATTTCAGAGATATTGAATAAAGTATAGCAAACCTGATTACTTAGGAATAATATATTTGTAAAATCTCAGCGATAGGTTCCTATTTAATGTCTTACATCAACTCGGCGCTCAAATACTGTGAAACTATTCTCTCTAATTTAGACGAAAGTTCTTATACATGGACTAAGCGTATGTTATGTAAACTGTTCACATTCAAACAAAACAACAAAGTAATTAATTACCAAATGGTTTAAATTGTGAATATATATATATGTTAACAGGGCATTGACATTACACACAATATTGATTCAGCAGTTTATAAAACGAGTGATAATAATGTTACCTTGGCAGAAATTTCGGAAGACCCTGTTTCCAATACACTTTAAAATTGCCAATTAGCAATTCTCTGAGATTCATTTAAACAAACTTAACTGATCTTATGTTTCAGAATGAATGTCGTAACAAACCTCAAGCTTAAACTTTATCCATTACTGAGAATTGAAAATAACACTTTCCACTAAATTGAGTTCTAATGTAAACTATTGATGTATTTCAAGATGAAGCAAATGTTTGAATGCTATGATATTACTATGTTCAATTGAATTGTAAGAAAACAAATTAGTGATCATTTACAAATGTTAATCAGTATAATTTTATGGTATGATAATATTATTATTTGGATTATGTTTTGATGTACACTTACATGGGGAAGTAAATGTAGCATTGCATCACCGGTCAAAGTCCCAACAGCCAATGCAACCAAATATTGAATAACTTGATTGAAAAATACTTTTTGAACTAATGGTACTACACCAACTCCTAATAGTCCAACTGCACTTATGACAAAAATTGAAATTAATGAAGCAATCCAAACTAGAAAGATTTAAAAAGAAGGTCCAATCTTATGGTACTGATTTAATAAATAATAAGCAATATTTAGTGATAAGTTTTTGGGTCTTTAACGTCCTAATATCTGTAAGAAGTTGGTAGTTAGATCAATTTTCATATCATTTACATTCGATTCATTTGATTATCATTTCCAGTTGACTGAATAAATAATCACGGACATTTGGTGAATAACTCCGATTTACATAGTAGTAGACTTAGGACATAGGTACTCCTACGACTTGTCGTTTACAGAACAGATAATGAAACAAACTTCCAAGTCTCAACGCCTCATAGGTTACATAACTCGGAACCTTTTTAACAATGAATCACGTATTCTAATGTACAAAGTTTGTGTTCGACCAATCCTTGAATACTGTGTGTTTATTCTTAGTAGTGCTGGAATCAGTACAGAGATGATTTACACTTCATATTCTGGGAACTGATTGTACCTTAAATTATAAATCTACGTGTTATAAACTTGGGCTCGACCCTTTATGGAAGAGGAGACTCAAACTAAATCTTATTTTCTTCTTCAAAATACTTAACAAACTATCCTTCACATCCAACCAAGCGATTTAATATGCAAAAACTTCTCATTACGACATTCGTAACTGCTTGTCACTGGCTAAACAAACATATTCTAGATCTTCTCTCTATATGAATTATTTTACCTGTAATTTTTCTAGACTCTGGAATAATCTATCACAATCTGTCCGTACGATAAAATCTCTCCCATTGTTTGATCGCTGCATTGATGCATATTGCTCCTCTGAAAATGCATTAAATGTTCTAGCGCCTGTAAGTGTATTTTACTCCACAAGTGAGATTATAGGAACTTTAAGTGTTTGACCACTTATCTGCTGTCACTTTACATTAACACTGACCCTTGCTACCTTAACTTATTTGAATAATATCTAGCATGAACACTGGTAAACCTGACCGACATATTTCGGCAATCATTGCTTTGTTGTTCCGTGCTCTCTGTTTTAATTTTACTTTTTCTAGTTGTAGATAATTACCAATAATTCATCCTGGCGCTGGAAATAACCTTAAAGAACACCGTTCATAAATCATCAGGCTATCCTTTTAAGAAAAGATTAAAAGTTCCTTGCTGATGCATTGGATTGCTGTGATACATGTCATAAATAAACTACTTAACAATTGCTGAACTAGCAAACTTAAAACAATCTTATATAACATGTTTGTTCTCTACATCTAATGTTGCTATTTATATCAAATTGATCATGCCTATAAACTGGTATGAATTCTGTAATTATTATTATTTTCAGAATATATATTATCATTATTTGATGCGATTAAAAACCTGTTAAGATAGGTCCATAAAGACTATTTGTTTTAAAGATGTGTTAGTTTTAACAGCTGATTCGAAATACCAGAAATATGGGTCAGTTTGCCCAGTTTTTCACCATTAAACAGCATATTTTAAAAGTATATAGAACTCGTCAGTTATACTGTTGAGTATACCAGTTTGCTTCACGATACTGTCCAAAAAAATATCATCATGAATCAAATATTTCAAACCTTAAAGGACTATGCATTGAACTGTTGAGTAATGATAGATATATGGTGTTTAAAGAATATTACTCTTTAAAACTATTATCTGTCCTTTCTTATTTAATTTTGAATCGGATTTATTAGTATATTTTGATAAATGTGTTTATGGGTACTTTACATGACCTTTAGTGATATCGATCAAGTTAAAGGAACACTTCACCAATTGTTGTACAATAATGATCAAAATGAGGGGGTTTGTGGAAGTTAGAAAATAACACCGTTGGATGCCGACCAGCTCAGTGCTCTAGAGGTTAAGCGTTCTCGCGGGAAACAGAAGGTCCTGGGTTCGGGTCCTGAGTGTGGGATCGTGGATGTGTGCTGATGAGGATTTTCATACTAGAAAGAAACGGCCATCCAGTGCTTTCAAGTTTTCCATAGTGGTTTCGTTTTAATCAACCCATAAATACAGTAATTATGTAAAATCAGTTAGCTAACCTTTCGGTCGAATATTCCAAACATTGTAAGCGTTCAGTAACTGAAAATAATACAGAAGAGAAGATATTTAATAGGAGCTCTTTTTATTATTAGGAAACAAATTCAATTCTGTGTTATAATATTTATTGTTTGTAAAAGTAATTTACACTAGTGTCAATAAACAATGCGGACCCCAGATCATTTCCTGTAGATATTTGCTCAGACAAATTAATAAAACCATATATGTGTATATTTAGACCTCCTCTATCAAGTTATGTACGGTTTGACTCGGAGAATAACTTCTTGATTCATACTTATAGTATTGTAAGCAAAGATGGATAGTGGCTAACAGTGGAATCCAGGAAGCGTCTCTTCCTATTTGGGACTCGTCAGCTGGATGTAACAGCAACTGCCAAGATACTACACATCCTCTTCGGTAAGATTTGGGACGAAGAACAAGTACCAACAGACTGGAAAAAAGGACTTCTGATCAAAATACCAAAGAAAGGTGATCTTAGCAAGTGCGACAACTACAGGGGCATCACTCTTCTCTCAATACCAGGAAAAGTCTTCAACCGAGTATTGTTAAACAGGATGAAGGATTCCGTGGACGCACAACTTCGAGATCAACAAGCTGGATTTCGTAAGGATAGATCGTGCACAGATCAAATCGCAACTCTGCGGATAATTGTGGAACAATCAATCGAATGGAATGCATCACTGTACAACAACTTCATCGACAACGAGAAGGCGTTTGATAGCGTGGACAGGACGATACTATGGAGGCTTCTTCGACACTACGGCGTGCCTAAGAAGATAGTCAGTATCATACGGAACTCCTATGATGGACTAAACTGCCAAATCGTCCACGGAGGACAACTCACCGACTCGTTTGAAGTAAAGACTGGTGTTAGGCAAGGTTGCTTACTCTCAACGTTTCTCTTTCTCCTGGTCATCGACTGGATCATGAAGACGTCAACGACTGGAGGAAAGCACGGGATACAGTGGACAGGCAGGATGCAGCTTGACGACTTAGACTTCGCGGATGATCTGGCTCTTCTATCACAAACGCAACAACAAATACAGGAGAAAACGACCAGTGTAGCAGCAGCCTCAGCAGCAGTAGGTCTCAATATAAACAAAGGGAAAAGCAAGACTCTCCGATACAATACAATATGCACCAATCAAATTACACTTGACGGAGAAGCTTTGGAGGATGTGGAAACCTTTACATATCTGGGCAGCATCATTGATGAACACGGTGGATCAGATACAGATGTGAGGACGATGATCGGCAAAGCAAGAGCAGCATACTTACAACTGAAAAACATCTGGAGCTCAAAACAATTGTCAACCAACACCAAGGTTAGAATTTTCAATACAAATGTCAAGTCAGTTCTATTGTATGGGGCGGAGACGTGGAGAACTGCGAAAGCCATTATCCAGAAGATACAAGTGTTTATTAACAGTTGTCTACGCAAAATACTTCAGATCCGCTGGCCAGACACTATCAGCAACAAGTTACTGTGGGAGACAACAAACCATATTCCAGCAGAGGAAGAAATCAGGGAGAATCGCTGGAAGTGGATTGGGCACACCTTGGGGAAATCACCTGATTGCGTCACAAGACAAGCCCTCACATGGAATCCTGAAGGTCAACGGAGAAGTGGAAGACCAAAGAACACATTACGCCGAGAAATGGAGACAGACATGAGAAGAATGAACAAGAATTGGGTAGAACTAGAAAAGGAAGCCCAGGACAGAGTGGGTTGGAGAAAGCTGGTCGGCGGCCTATGCTCCATTGGGAGTAACAGGCGAAAGTAAGTAAGTAAGTAAGCTGGATGTACCTGCATCTCAGAGTTGATGTTCACTCTGGGACTCGAACCCAGTACTTTTTGCTTCAAACTCCATCACGTTATCCACTCAGCTACTGAGTTCTGATAGCCACTTGCTTGTGTTATGGGGTGAAGTTTAAATTCACTTAGTGTTATTTGTTTGAATAAAGCCATATTGAGGCAATACGCACAGTATGCACATATGCCAATTAGAGACTGAATAGTTGCAGTCCTAAACATCAATGGGAATATTCAAACAAGTAACACTAAGTGAATTTATATTTAAAGTATGTTAAAAAATGTTTGATCATATGAAGAACCTAATAAGTTCTTTGAGACTTAGACCTTGCAAATCAATAATCACGACACTTTGGTTTTCGTATTTAAATATTTAATGTTTAGAAGCAGTGAATAGCTCTTAGTATTTAAACATTGTCTGTTTAATTTCCATGCAAATATTCATCTTTTGCTTGATATTAATTATATGGTCAAGGCAAGATTCCGAAACAAAATACTATCCATTTACTTGAAATAATCTATCTTTCAACATTCTTTCGAACAACAATGTGTGTAGTAGAATCATGAGATGAGACAATACATTAAGATATCTTTTGTATTATACTGGAATTTAAATAGTTATATTGTAACGAATGAGAACACGAGTGGGGACAATAGAATGTATTTAAGCACAAATTACAAACTGTCTTACTAAAATCTCAACCATACAGCAAACAGTTAATTTACAAAATAACAATCAATTGTCTTAATCTTTACTGTTCCTTCTGTAAATATCAATCCATCTTCTCTAATTTCATTGTTCATGCATTATTGCACCAATCGTGTTTCATTCTAGCTCTTTCCTTATCGGTCTTCTGCCAAAATACATTCTATGTCTGACCATCATCATATACTACTTATGAAGATATAAGTAAACCACACTACAATATATGATATTCCTTGTATTACAACTCATTGAAACACTAGTTTATTATATGTTAAAACGATTTAATCAAAAATTTGAGGTTTATTTATAAAGTTCATTGTTTAATGTAATATAAATTATTATCAGAAGAAGTTTTATGGATATTATAGTAATTTTAATAGTTGGGATTATGAATCAATTGAAGCTGAGGAGTCTCACAATAGGATGAAATGATCATCCAGTACTTCCAGGTTTTCCATGATGTTCCAGCTTGAATTGACTCATGATCTTAACTATTGAATAAGTAATATAAATTGTTTTATTAAATTTACCATGTTTCCACTTTTTGAATTGTTTTTTGAATCCGTAACTATTTCATATAATTTCATACACATTAATTTGAAATTTTGTTCAGTCTTGTTATTACGATATTTTATGATGTTTTCATACCAACCTGGTTCAGGAGCATATGAAAATGTCTAAATAAACAATAAAAAGAAAAGAAGATAGGATTAAATAATAATAATAACCGGTTTTTTTTATGTTTGTCCCTTTATGGTATTAGGCATCAGCTTTTCAGGAATATTTACTTTTATTCATTGAGAAATGTATTACACAAGTTCGAACAGTTCCTACGAACACTTCTCGTAGTAATTAAGAAAAGAGTAGATTGAAAAATTATATGGATAACGAGATCAAAATGTGTCAACATTTTATAGAGTTATCATCTGTTGAACTACTTCATTCGATGACTTCATTTAGGACTAAAGAAATCATATGACAGAATACATTGTTTCTATTAAGAAGATAAAACATAATACTCAATGAAATAACATTAAAGATTTATTAAAATCTTCAAAATTTCGTCAAACCTAACAGCGTTATTTGACTTTAGACGTATGTGTAAACGTTATTAGATTATAGAAACTGTAAAACTATTTTAAGTTAGGAAACAAATCAAAAGTAATGACATGGAGATAACATGATCAGGAATGAGGTATTTATCCATTGACAACAATATATAAGGATCATATATTACAGTATGTACATAATTAATTTGATGTCAGTAAAAGTACCATCAAGCCTAAATATTTTGACTTCAGTATACTGTTGAATCATATCCTTACAATTCTAAGGAGCCTCAAAGTAAGATAAAAAAAAATACAGAATATTCAGAGTTATCTCATATTCAATGATTTATTTTGCTTTGATAAGCATAATTGATCAATAATTTTATAGCTCATTGTTTCCATACAATTTGACAAAGTATCCTTACCTATTCAATAATCAAAATGTAGATAATCCTTCATGTTTGTTTATTGTGTAAAACCCCCTGATGATTAGATATAGACTTTGTATACGTAAATCAATAATTTTGATGTTAAACCAGTCTATGTTATTCTTTATTGAATGTTTACAACACTATACTTCCTTTGATGGTATACTATGGATTCATGAACGTTATATAGAATATCTGATGTATATATATTACTATTATTATTAACATTTCGTTCACTGTTTCATGATTGGCATAATGGGAAGGTACATATATTTTATCGAAAAATTAAAATACATTAATAAACTAAAGCTCTTCTATCATATCCATTGAATTGTACTATACATATTATAGTAGAATGATAAACAATAAAGCTGTTGAAATCATTCAATGGATATATATATACACACAAATTACAGATGTTTATCTGTAGTCAAGTGTATTCATTTGTTATACATTATGTTCAGTCATTACATTTATGATATTTAACTATATGAAATCAATTATTTTGTCCTATATCAAATTAATGAATGACAGTTTAAGTAGTGAAGGATACAATTAGTATAGATTTATGATGCTCACTTGTAATAGAAAAAGCCGATTTCATTAATCTAACATTGAGGTTTGACATTACCAGATGTGGAATTATGGTATATTTAAATTCCTAGAACTTATGAATTGTAGCGATTTTCATAATCATTTCTATTCAACTGTATATTATAACTGAAAATGTCAAGTGTTTTAGTCAATGATCGGTTAGAATTTCAATCTTCATATAATTGCATTTTTTTAAAGTCTGTTTCTGTAAGTAATGAGTATAAGTCTAAAAAAAAAATTCTGAGATTGACTACAGAAGCTTGTAACTGTTATATCCCGTGGAGAATTATGAATGATATTTATGGATCAATATGATATGTATATTTCCTATTGTATAATTGCTTCATATTCGTATCCCTTTTATTATAAGCTTTATTTTGACCTATAGACTATTATTATACGATTTACCGGTTTTGAGTTATACCTAGTCCATTAATTACCGTTCCTCCTATTCACAGACACATTTGGCCAAATCTTCTACAAATGTTATTTTCTATTTTATGGTACGATGTTGTCAGTTTGTTTGTTATATAAACCCAGTATGTTTGAGAATAATGATTCATATTGCAGAGAATGTTATTGATGTTCTGGACTTAACTGTCTGGGCTAGGCAGAAAGTAGGACTCATAAGTGCTCAAGACTGCTCATATGGAATTTGTGCATCATAGGGCGATCGATAATTTGCTCCTCTCTGATTGGCGGGGATCAGCACGTTCATATATGAAACAGGGCACGCATGCACTCACACGTTATAACAGTAACTGTATTTGATAGTTTAGTTGAGCAATGTTTTACGTCTTTTCCAAGTCAAACAAGAATAACTAAGTCAGTAAGACAGTACTAGTTATTTATATTTCTGCTCACAATGTTAAAGTAACAGTATTCATTAGTAAAGAGAAGTTTACGTTGTTTACATCAAATTAAGGAGAGAAATGTCAGAGATATCGGTTAATAGTATGGAAGATGTAAGAATTCTTTATAAGCGAAGATGGTCAATGGCTAGCAGTGGAATCCAGTTTGACGCGCGTTATTTGACGTGTGTTATTTGGGACTCACCAGCTGGATGTACCTACATCTCAGAGCTGATATTCACTCTGGGACTCTAACCCAGTACCGTTTGGTTTAAAAGGCCATCGCGTTATCCACTTGGCTACTGAGTCCTGATAGCCATTTGCGTGTGCAATGGGGGGAAGTTTAAATTCAAGAGACTGATCAGTTTTAGTCCTAAACATCAATGGTAAGATTCAACCAAACAATACCAAGTGAATGTAACGATTTTTCATTCCATTCCTTATCTTTAAGTTATCTATATCACAATCCCAAGTAAACAAAAACATGAAAATTCGTCCAGCCAGATTTTTAAATGTAGAAATATCATTCAGTACTTCTGATCACATTCATGTATTATTCTAAGATATTGAATTGTAGGTTATTGTTCATTGACTTTTCAAGTGTTTTCATATAAAAGTAAACATTAAATGATGGTATAAAACCGTAACTAGACTCATATATATTAGTCAAAATGAGCTGAGCTTAATTTAGCCAATAATATATGATTTGCTCACTAATAGAGTATCAATTAGACACTATAATGCTTTATATGAATGACCAGTACTACAGTATTAAAGTCAGAAAGAAAAGGAAATATTTAAAATAAAACAATGTTACTTCTTGTCAAACCAGTTCTTTTTCTAACAGAATTAATTATCAGATCATTTCGTTGAAATATAAAGTTTCCAACTGTTAATCAATATAAATAAAGCCAGAACAAATATTGATGCAAAATAATATGAATTCATTATATTTCGTGGTTTCTCATCAACTGCTTACAACCAAATATGTAATACAGTTTTCGCATTGGCGTAATAAATTGTGTGGAACAATTAACATAATTGAATGTAAAGGATTGGAATGACAGAAGGTTATCAATGATAACTATATGTGCAAGGAAAGGTCAGAGATTATTAGCTATTAGAATGAAGGTAGCATAAAGGGTAGGTGATGTAATAGTTAAGTGGAGTTTAAACACAGATAAGATAAAATGTGTGATAATTTTAGAGATAATGAAGGAGTCATGGAATTTAAAACAAATAGGATGGGTATATAAGAACTCTCGTCTAAATAGGAGCGATTAGTTTCACAGTATTTGAGCGCCGAGTTGATGTAAGACATTAAATAGGAGTATTATATTTCAGAGGGGGTTTTGTGGAGAATTTAGTATTTTCACAGTTGAAATCATGAGTCAATTGAAGCTAGACCGCCATACTAAATTCTCCACAAAACCCCCTCTGATCTATAATCATATGCTCACTAGTGACTGACTTTAAGAGATATTTCCTTGAGTTCTAGTGAGAAGCAGTGACCAGTGAAGTTCAAAACCACGTCTGTTGTGAGATAGGAACTCACTGAAGACAATTGGTGAACGGTCGCTCAAAATCGTGGATTGGTTGAAGTTAGACATTAACACCGTTGGATGTCGGCTCAGTAGTCTATCGGTTAAGGGCTCCGGCTCGAGACTGGTAGGTCCTGGGTTCGAATCTCGCGAGTGCGGGGTCGTGGATGCGCACTGCTGAGGAGTCCCACAGTAGGACGAAACAGCCGTCCAGTGCTTCCAGGTTTTCGATGGTGGTCTAGCTTCAATTGATTCATGATTTCAACTGTGAAAATAATATATTTGTAAAATCTCAGCGATGGGTTACGTAATAATTGAATAGAATTTGAAAAGTTCATTGATTTAAGAGAGACAAGTGAGCGGAAATGTGTTAGAGAAAGGGTGGTTTAAGAATTGGGTAATGGAATAGGAATATAATAAAAACCAAATATTGATCAAAATAAAACTAATATCCAAAAAACTAAAACAAAACAACAACAAAAATGGATTACCAAGGTAGTAACAAGTTTATCACTGTCTCTTTTTGAATACATAGATCCGGTTGGAGTTTTTTTAATCGTGATACCTTCAGCAAACCGGAAAGCAGTTATATTTCTTTGTTTGCTAATAATTTTGAAAGCATGAGAAATATCAATGGTGTGCCCAGTGTCGAGTAAATATCGAGCTATTGCATTGTTGAGAGTCCTGGTCCCTCCCAATGCTAAAATTCTAATACATATTTGGTTGTAAGCAGCTGATGAGAAATCACGAAATATATGATGAATTCATATTATTCTGCATCAATATTTGTTCTGTCTTTATTTAAATTCATAAAAGGGAACTGATTGCATGAAATTTGTTAATCAATAAGTGATTAATCTTATAATAAATGATAAATTTGTATATAAATCTTTTACAGTATTATATGCTTATTGTATGTAGCTTAAAGGAGACTATAGGAACTTTGTATTCAATAAATGAGTTAAAGTATTTCAGTTCAAGTTAAAATATATGTTTACTCTATGATTGTCTAATGTCTTTATTGTGATTGTGAAATCATCGCTAAATTACCATTAATCACTTCGTATAACTGTAGGCATATACGTATGAGTTGGTGTTCACATTCCATGTAAATACAAGAATGTTTGTATTGTTTGCATGCGAGTCATTTGTTCTGAGACTTCTCATGGATATTTGTGTTTATATCTAACTTAACTAATGCAACTCAATAAATAGCTATTGAGAATCAATGTATTCAAGTTTCTGTTGTTTAGTTTCATTGTTTCCTATAGAAAACTGTGTTAATTTTTGTATTTAAGTTTACGATGATTATTCAATTCAATTTTACTTATTCACATGAATATTTAGGTAAGGGTGTTTGTATTGATCTACATCATATAAGGTTGATCTGAAACGCTTTAATATTTTTTCCGGAATAAAGTAACGATTTTTTAATAGTTGAATTTATCAGTCGATTTAAGCTAGACCACCATTGAAAATCTAGAAGCATTGAACGGCCGTTATATCCGAATATAGTACTCCTCAGAAATACGCATCCACGATCCCGCATGAGGGACTCGATTTTAATGTAAGCGAGAAATCTAGGGATATTTGAATTTTTTAAATAATCGTAAATAAAAAATTGTCATAAGAAATGAAATAACTAATTAGAATGAGCAGATTATGGTTATGGAATCGAATCTTAAAATTTATATATCATTAACTTTGTTTAGAGAACAGCTAAGAACCAGAAAATAATAAACATTCTTTTAGTCCTAGTCTGACATTCTTCATCAGTGAATCACCAAAACCTCTAAGGGGATTAACCTAAAAAACTTTTGGCATCGAGCCGATAGCTTGATGGTGAAATCTTATGGTTTACTTTCCTAACTTTAATCCATATGTGATGTTGAGTGACCATTATGTAGTGTATTTACTAAGTAATTGTCTCACTCTTAACATGGTTGCGCTTTGTTGGTTACGGTTACTTTTGCCAAAATTTAAGGAATTACCTAGTAAAGTTAATCACTGATAAACATATGTTGATTGTTATGAAATTTATCACAAGGGGGTTTTGCGGAGATTTTGGTAATTTTATATAGTTAAGGTCATTAGTCAATTGAAGCTAAACCACCATAGAAAACCTGGAAGCACTGGACGGTCAACTCGCCCTATTGTGGGACTCACAAACAGTGCGCATCCACGACCCCGCGCTGGCGAGATTCAAACCCAGGACCTACCAGTCTCACGCTGGAGCACTTAACCAATAGACCGCTGAGCCAGCATCCGATGGTGTTAATGTCTAACCTCAACCAATCCACGAAATTGCGCGACCAACTTCCATTGTACTGAGGTAAATACCTGTCTCTACCTGACATGGATTGGCTCCACTGGTCACTACTTCTCACTAGAACTTAAGGAATTACCTCATAGAGCCAATCACTAGTTAGCATATGATCCATGGTGGTCTAGCTTCAATTGAATCATGATCTTAACTATATGTTATTAAAATTGTTTTTGTGTGGGATGGTTGTTTCACATAGACTTGTTTTCCAATATTTACCTCCAGTTTTACAAATGTAAGAAAAAGGAAACATGATTACAGGTACGATACCATCCCAATAAATTTTAAATATTTCATTTACAATAGTATCATATAAATGTTAATAAAAAAACCCCTTACCATGTTTAACATAATGGGTTCATCATTATAAAGTACCAATGAAACTAATAAGAAGACATAAGATTGTAAACATAACTTACTCTTCAAATGAATTAGAAAAAAAATTTCCAAAGAAGATTTCAGTAAATAAGATAGACATGTTAACAACAATGACTTACCGCGTTTAAATCTTTATTTAAATGTAGAATTAAATGTGAAATATCAAATTCTTTATTTAAAGTTCGATTTGATAATTGACGATATTGTGTACACCATATTGTAGCATTTTGTTCAGTTTGAATAATGTTGAAAAATGATATCAACATAACTATAATATATGGTATATATATCCAAATCATAGTTGTATATTGAGAATAGACTTGATTTTATTAAATCCGAATATGTTTAGGAATTGAACATGGTAAAGTGAACACACTTGAATGTAGGTATTGTACTAAAGAGAACGATTTGAAATTCGATGGTTGTTTATTTGTTATTCCTGAATAAAAGTTTAATTGAAGATGTTGATTGATTAGATGTAAAGTTCTAAGATCATAATATGGATATTCTATGCAATATATATCTGTTTGAAAACTGTTATTTATTCTCAACAAAAAGGTGTATATTCAATCTATAATGAAAATGAATTCAGAATTACTGCCATTACTACCCTCTTAGTATTAGTACTGATGTTATAAACTCATTATGATAGTTGCCAAATTGAAAAATGAATGTAATGAAATAATAGGAAAACAAATTTGTAATTCATTGTCTAATTACCGGAAGTTATAATTAACTTTCAATGATAATAGTTATAATAATAATAATAATAATAATAATAATAGCTGGAATTAAAGTAACGAAAATTTTCTCAGTTTTTATACTCGTATTTGTTTTAATAAAATTAAACTGATTTATGGTTAATAACATAGATATGTGTATTTATTGAAATGGATGAACAATTTGATGAATATTATAAACTATGATAGATATAGTAACTGCAAATAATACTTAATTAAAATAAGTAGTCTAGTGAACATCTACCAAATTATTTATCAGGATGATAAATGTTGTTCAAATAAGATGATTGAAACAACGTTAGTTGTAATAATTCTGGTAAGCATTTTCCATAGGTGATGAATATTCCACTTGAATGTTTTCTTTGAAGGGATCTTTGAACAGTTGATTGTAAAAACTTAAACTATACAAAATACTTCGATATAAGTATTGAATTTCTTTGAAAAAAATTATCCTATCGAAGGTTAAGAATTGGTACAGTGTTATGAAGAAATCGTTTACCATCATTAGGTATAGATTATTCAAATGTGATCGTCGTCAATATTATGAATAGCAACTCTCCTACAATCAATTTCGATTAGGGTTGATTTTGTTTAAGCCATTTTATTAACTTACTTAACAGACAATGTTATTCGAACAGTTAAAATTAGCATATTTCTCTGTACTATTATTTCACTACCTGTATTTCATATCTGTATAAACATGTACTCTTGATCACATGACAGACTCTAACTAAAATGTTGATCGCTTAAAATGTCACTCGATGATTTATTCACCTTCACATGTATATATGTAAACGAATCCTATTATTTGTCTTTGCCTTAACTAGATGCGCCTTATTCGATTTGACTGTAAATTTGCCTCTGTATTTGATCGCATACACACATTCACCTGTGTGTTTCAAATTTGCATGATATGCTTATAATTCTGTTATCTGTGAGATATCCGCTAATAAATCGTAGTTGTCGTTTATTATTGTCTTCTAATTTCAAACACCGTTGAAATTTATATGTTAACGGTTACAAAGGTGATTGATTAATAAAGCAAAGCCACTATAGTATTATAACTAATAAGTATCCAATGCAACTGAGAAATATTAAGTTAGATTACGTTGGGTAAAATTTCATATTTGGAACGATCTTTTGAATGAGACATGGAATAATAAACATTTGGTGAGTTTCTAAAGGAACTAGACAAAGAAAGCATTGGATTATTAAATACCTTACCTCAAAATGAATGATATTTTTTAAAGTATGATTTTTCTGTGAAATACATGTCAAAAGTAATCATTATCTATTAATTTAATTAATATTATTGTTTTGTTAAAGGAAGATAAAAGAAATCAAAGAAATACATCTCATTGATTGCTTGTAATCAAGGATGTACTAGAAGTAACCTTGTAATTTAAGTCAATTCATTGTGAAATTCAGGAGAAAGTAACAGCTAAAACGTTAAGGAATGTAAAGCCTGGTTACTATAATCTTATAATGAAATCCCTTTATAATGACAATCCACCTAGCTTTTTTTTACTAGATCCGATTGTTCCTGTATAGTTCAGTAATCTAAATGAATTGCCAAATTAGGTCATGAAATAAAACATACAGCATGAAAATGAATACACTTGGTATTATTTGTTTTAATCTTCCCATTGATGTTTAGGACTGCAATTGATCAGTCTCCTATTGAAATATGTGCATCCCGTGAGGATTGCCTCGGTATTGCCTGAAGTCACAAGAATTATGAGCAAAGATGGACAGTGGCTAGCAGTGGAATCCAGGCCGTGCGTTTCGTCTTATTTGAGACGAGTAAGCTAGATGTAACTGCATCTCAAAGTTGATGTTAACTCTGCGACTCGAACCCAGTACCTTTCGTTTCAAACTCCATCGCGTTACTGAGTCCTAACAACCCCTTGCGTGTGTAATTAGGTGAAGTTTAAATTCACTTGGTATTGTTTGTTTTAAATCTTCCCATTGAGATTTAGGACTGCAATTGATCAGTTTGTTATTGGCATATGTGAATACTATGCGTATTGCTTCGATATAGTCTTACAGCATGAAAATTGTTTTTTTTTGTTTTTCAGAAAAAAAATTACCATAACAACTACATACAGATTGATAAACATGAATGTAATTTGTTTAACTCAATAAATTAACTTATAGATTAACATAAAAAATCCGTTATGAATCGATACAAAAAAAAAAAAACAAACCGACATTTTCAGATAAAGTGAGGGTGGATTTGTAAGATAAGATTTAAATGCCACTATAGCAACAAAATATATGTGGACCTTTTATTTATGTTTAATTTAGTATCATGTGTTTACATATTAGATAAATAACTAAACCTGGTGTGTACTGGTTGATGGGAATCATTTGAATGTTATGGAAACTTAATGAAGAAAAATATGTTAATTATTGCAATCCACATATTGTTTCGGAAGCAGTAATTGTTAAACTTACCTTTATCCTTCACTTGACATTCAATAATGTTACAAGAACGAGTGGGGTAGTTACAAGATATTCTTGAGACAATTTATTAATGGATTATTTTTATCATCAGTGAGAAAGTTGGTTTACCAAAGGGTATGATCAACTATGTTTAATTTCATCACAGTATTAACTTTCTCCATATCCCATGAATACCCAACTTTTTGCTATTGGAAAATGTAGTGTATAATATAACACCATAATACATTAAATAGGAATAATATATTTGTAAAACCTCAGCGAATGAATTGTTACACTGCCTTGTGGATTAGACCTTTAGGTTATAAGCTCCGGGTGTGGCCCATCCCCTCAAAAAAAAACCAGTGCATTGGTCTGGGCACCCGGGAAGTAACCCCACCGTCACACAAGTAGAATGATTTGAATGGCACACATCTATTTGGAGCCTCCTTGTACCATTGTTTATGTGTTTAAATTTAAAAAAATAAATAAATAAACTCAACTATATTGATGTTTAGGGTCATTAATAACTACTTGCAAAGTAATTAATACAAATGAGTTCAGTGCGGAAGTATATAATATAAGTTTCATTTGAATGGTAAATTTTCAGTTTCGAGGTAAATATGAAATGGTTTGTAAAAGTTTTGATAATTGCAGAGTCTACAAGGCTTTTTGGGAGTTTGTAGTCTGTTTCAATTGCCAAGAGATAACTATAAATCATGTCTGTTCTTTTAGGTTTTACGAAATTAGATTAGCTTTTTATCATTAAAAAAGAAATGCTCCCAACGAAAAGTCCGAATTCTCAGCTATCTCAAGTGTAATTCTATAGTGAACAAGAACAATTTATTGATAATACAAAATAACAGAATAACTTCATAAAATATGAAAACCATATTGTTAAGTCGGCTTCCGGAGAATTTCGATGGAGCCTACAGAGGCCCAAAAAGGAGCCGAAGAGACCCAGCCAATCAGAGTACGATAGAACATTCTAGAGTTCCAACGTGGCGTGCTACTATTGGTCGGTAGCATAATGTGTCGTTAATGGATTGGCTGAAATAGGATGTTGATTTAACATACGCTAACATCTATAAATACCTGTGATTTTCTGTACAAGATTGAACCTTGCAGTAAAGTGTTTCTCTCATACTCGTGTCTTCTCTCTGCTGTTCGTGTCGCTGAGTAGTTCTAGCCTGTGGGTTACCCGTATAGCTTAGGAAGCGAATATAGCGTTCAATCGACAAGACTTATCACATATATATTAAATACTTCATTTGCACATCTTCCATCAATTGTTTCTTACAAACTTCATCAATTCTTTATTCCTGTTGTTATTACAAGTAATCTTTGTTTACATTACTGTTCTCTTCTATTCAATCTTCTCAACTGTTATAAAGCTTGTTTTTCTTTGACTTTACGAAAGGACGTTAATTTACCTTAGACGAATATCAACACTAGATTCCTTCACAGTGTCTATAATACAGGACTTCAACATAACTCAGATTAAGAACATGTAATTAGCCTGACTGGAACGTAAATAAATTTCCCTACTAAAACCCGATACAATTCAATCAATAATAAAGACAGAAGAATATATAGCTTATCTAACGCTCGTCAAAATACAAGTCTGATCAAGCAAAGAAACGAATCATTATCATTCTATTCCACACATCATCAACCTTCTGCCGAACATTACAATTCCGTTGATGTTGTATACTATTTATATCTATCAATATGGGTAACATACACCATATTTCAAGATTTATTAAAATCGAAAATGAACTCGTAGTTAAATTTTGCAGTTGAATTTCTAGAGAATTCGAGTGTTATGTATGTATATTCTTTGTAAGTAATATACATTTACAACCGAATAGCTTTCTCTTTTTGAGACAAGACTTGTGGATTTCTTGAGAGAAACTGAGATTACAAAACACCTCACTATAAATATTGTGAGCATCCAGAAAAGCGTTCAATATCTAATTTTAATATTCACAATAATATCATAACTGATGGATAGATAAAAGCTTGGATATCAAGTCATTTCAGTGATAACAAACTTGATGAACAGTTTATAGACAAATGGTTCAAATGAAGTTCAAATTTGCCACTTAAAAATGACAACTATTCAACGTATTTAATAGAATGAACATAATTTAGGAAAAAAATTATGCCACTAAAAGAGAACAGGACATACATAGTTTGAAACGTTTCCTAAAATATTATCAAATTATCATGAAAGGCTATTTTTCTGAAGATTTTAGTACATTTATATAGTTGAAATCATGAGTCAGATGAAGCTAGATCATCATGGAAAACCTGGAAGCACTGCTTGACGGCCGTTTCGTCCTGTTGCGGGACTCCTCAGCTGTGCGCACTGAAGACATTGATGAATGGTTGCTCAATTTCGTGGATTGGTTGAAGTTAAACATTAACACTGTTAGATGCCGGCTCAGTGGTCTAGTGATTAAGCACTCACGTGCGAGACTGATAGGTCCTGGGTTGGAATCTCGCGAGGAGGATCGTGGATGCGCACTTCTAAGGAGACTCACAATAGGACGAGTTGGCCGTCCAATGCTTGCAGGTTTTCCATGATGATCTAACTTCAATTGACTCATGATTTCAACCATATTATCAGATTATCATAAAACATAGACATTATGTCAAATGTAATAGTTCTTCATAGTTTACTTTGCTAAGTATTAAATTAAGTTACTGTCTTCCATTAATACTGATCTTTCAATCTATTCAATTTTCATCATTATAAATTGATTAGTCTCTATTCATCACTCTATCTAATTAAATGAATGTACATATACATAAACATAGTCTATATTGGTATAATCTTGTGTGTATAATACTTGTTTGATAAGGTTATAATTTGGTTGAATACTACTATCGTAATATAATGACTAAAACTGGTTTTACTTGTTAACAAAAAAGAAGCATAGTAAAATATAAAACTGATTTAATTTAGATTCACTTGATATTGTTTGTATGTATCTTCCCATCATTGTTTAGGACTGCAATTGATCAGTCTCTTATTGACATATGTGCATCCTGTACGAACTGTTTCGATATTGCCTTAAGTCGTAAGCTTTATAGTCAAAAATGGATAGTGGTCAACAGTGATATCAAGGACGCGCGTCTCGTCTTATTTGGTACTCTTCAGCTAGATGTACCTGTCTCTCCAACTTGATGTTCACTCTGGGGATCGGAAGCAGTACCGTTCTCTTATCTCATTATCCACTTAACCAATGAGTCCACCGCTACCCATCATCTATCTTTTTGCTTATATTGATTTAGTTTAGGTAAACTTAACTAAAATTAAAACAATTTTTTTCAAAAGAGAAATTTTCGCTGAACCAATCTTTTTTATTTGTTATTCAGAATTAATTTCTATGATTCCGGTGTTCATCATGTTGTGCTAACGAGGTATGACAACTTGAACCGATGCATATATGTGCCTGGTCCTACGTTGTAGCTGACTGACTGACTAATTTGTTATTTAGAAAAAGTATTCTTGTTTAAAAAAATATTTTGTCAATTTAATTAATGAATTGTACAAACTAGAATGTTCTTTAGATAAAAAAGAAATTATAATAAGTCATAATTTTGTGAAAAAAACAACAAGGAGTATTTCTCTAATTTAAAGTCATCATTTTGATTTTATGTAGAAATTGTAGATTTCTTATTGAAAATATGAATTGGTTTCCCATCTAACATTATTGTATCCAATATATCTATGGAAAAAAAAGGTTTAAAACATACATAGATACAAGGTTAATCGCTTAAATACTCTTTATAGAGGATAAATGTGAAGTTGTGAACCGCTTGTTAAAATAACTCAATACAAGTCAGAAGCATATTTCTTTTAAGTGCAAAGAAGAGAAGAATGACCAACTTCTTTTTCTAGATATACTGATTAGTAAGAGAGAAGATGGTTCCATCCAACGTTCTATATAAAGAAATCCGACATGGACGGGGCAATATCTTAATTTCCATAGTCACTGCCCAATTCATTACAAATGTGGTTTCAAGTAGAAACGAAACTCTTAACTGATAAGTTAATGAATAATGGTTATTCATTAAAGTTCATAAACCACTGAAAGGGTTGCGATACGATTAGACCTGTGACGCTTCTGGAACCAAAAAGCGAGTTTATATTATGTTACCATTTAGGAGTGACTCAAATAGTCTCATGTTGAAAGGGAGACTAAAATTAGCCATAAACATGACATTTTATGCAGATCAACTTGTCATCATTGAAAAGACAAGGTCAATGTTTCACCAAAAACATAAACAGCACATAAGCGATTGTGTCACATCCCATTGTGTATATCAATTTACATGTATGTTCGGAAACACGTACATAGGGAGGAGCAATCGTGATCTGCGACTAAGGGTGGCGGAACACATACCTAAATGGCTGCAGAACCAAATGAATTCCAATGGTCAAATAAGAACCAGGATAGACAAACATCTTCCTTCATTGGTTCAAACTGGTCATAAGGTTGACATCAAGTCAGCGTTTGTAGTGTTGTACAAAAGCCTTCAAGGACGTATACTAAGGTTTATTGAAGCCTTGGCTATACGGAAATTGAAATCCCTTTTATGTGTTCAAAAACAATTTGTTCTTACCCTTAACCTACCCTGGTAATGCTGATTTGTTATCCAAAGTAGTCATCACATTGCTTTTGTGTACTTTATTTATTTTCTTTCTTTTTTACGGCTTACATTAACCTATCTAGTTGACCTTTTACTTTTCATATAAAAATGTCTTAACAAGTATATTAGGTGTGATCAGATTGTTCGAAATGTATTGCGCCAATATATCACGTAATTGTGATAAACTGCGTCTTCTCATTGCTTTATCGAAATTTATCAAAGGGACTAAATGTTTTAAATACTCTTTATAATCAAGAAAACAATGATTATTTAAACAAATAATAATTCTCATTGACTTCAACATAAGGGTTCGAATCTCGCGAGTGCGGGATCGTGGATGTGCACTGCTGAGGAGTCCCATAATAGGACGAAACGGCCATCCAGTGCTTTCAGATTTTCCATGGTGGTCTAGCTTCAACTGACTCATGGTTTCAACTTTGAAAAATACTGAAATCTCCACAAAAAACCCCTTCTAAGAGTCTAAAGTTAGTGCATTGTAATGATTGAAACAATACGTATAAATAAGTAAATTAAAATGAATTTATTATTGTGTGGCGGTGGAAATTTGTGAATTGAATTGAAAACACCAATCGATGAAAGTTAGACAACTATTAGAATGCTGAAACAACTGAATGATCATTTGGTTTTAATAAGAGACTACTAAACAATATGCACCCATAACCTCGTAACTGGAAATCGAATCTAGGACCTTTGTTATAAAGCGTGGACGCCTAACCTCTAATCCACTGGATGGAATCCCGGTTCTGTCTCCAGTCATGGATGGGCACTGCTGAAGATTCCTATACTAGGACGAAATGGCCGCACATTTTTTCAGGTTTTCAATGGTTATCAAACTTAGAACAGTTTATGATTACAGCAAAATAATTTTATGAGAACGTCCGTTTAAATGTAAATGAATGGTTTCATATTATTTAGGTGTCAAGTTAGTAGAAGACTTTAAAATTGGAATTATGTTTGTAAACATATCAGCTATTGAAATTAAAACGACTCCTTTTTACTCCACAGCTTTATATAAGTTTCTTCAGAATAAATAATCAAAACCATATAACGAACAGGCCTCTTAGCTTTGGATTAATCAAGGTCAAAGATATATTACCAATTGAAGAACAACAGAGGTCAAATATATTCGTTATTCTAGTGTATATGTAGTTGAATGTAAGGGTGAGGTAACATAAAATTTTCTTGAATCATAATCCTAAATCATCAGACGACTTCGTAACACTAGAAATTAAGTCTGTGTTAGCATTGCATTCTACTAAACTTGGAAATCGAAGTGACATCAGTGGAAATTTGATCCTTTGAAGTAGTTCTGGTTCTTATAAAGGAATTTTGACAGCTAAAGTCCTGTCAATATAAGATAACCCAAACAATAGAGATAGAAGAGATGAAGAACAATTAACTGTACCATGGTAATTAATAATTCAGTATTAAATCTGAATTTCATTTGATTATATCTATATTGTTTCCCATTTTTCGGACAACAACAATATATCTATATTTCCTCTGATCACTTAATTTGTTTGGATGTATGATGAGTAACCAGACTATAAGCACAACATTATTAAATTACATTTATCTGATCATTAACTCTCATTACATGCATGATGTGACAAGTTTGGCTTACAACATCTATTATTATCTAATTCCATCATCAACAGTGACCTGAGGGCCTATATGATCAATGATCTTCGCTCACTTCTGATCTGTATACACATATGTACACATGTTATCTTAGCATAATTTCGTTACATTTTACACTGAATGACTCATACTCACACTGCTGCAAATTCAAAATGCAGAAAAATTATTAACATGAATAAGAGATTTGTTCGGCTTATAGTTAATCCCGTGTGCAGGATTGTGGATGCGCAATGCTGAAGAGTTTCATACTAGGACGAAACGGCCGTCCAGTCATTTCAGGTTTTCCATGATGGTCTAACTTGGATCGACTGGTGAATTTAACTGTGAAAATTCCTGTTTATATCCATAATAGTTCAATTTACAGATGAATTAGTTAAATGAGAGAAAGAGAGAGAAAGACTATGATGTAATAAAGTATAGGAAACATTTATCCATTGATTTGATCACTATAGACAAAATGATAAAATCGATAATAATTACCGAAGGGCCATAGTGAAGTGATCGTAATGAAAACGACTAATCATATTATTTTGACATTATTTAGTAGAATGCATTACATATTATCAGCTTTGTTATGTGAATAATTGTATTTTTTGCGATATCATCTAATTATTACCACCATAACTTGACTATTATTCTCTTAGTAACTACTGTCAATTCTATCATTCTGTCTATAGTGATCATATCAATGTACAGATGTTTCCTATACTCCATTACGTCATATTCGTTCTCTCTATCTCTCTCTTGTTTAACTTATTCATCTGTAAATTGAACTAAATAACTTGATATATATATATTGAACGTATAATTAAACCTGTAAAACATTTTGCCTATTTTGCAAAAATCAATATGTATTTGACAGAATATATGGAATGAAATGAATTTATTCCATCCCACAATGCTTGTTATTTTTGTTTCATAAAGCATTGAAATCTAATCAGAAGGGGTGATGTGGAGATTTCAGTATTTTCATAGTTCTGATCATGAGTCATTTGAAGCTAGACCACCATGGAAGCACTGATTTACGGCCGTTTCGCCCTATTGTGGGACTCCTCAGCAGTGCGCAGCCACGATCCCGCCTCGCGAGATTCAAACTCAGGACCTACCAATCTCGCACCAGAACCCTTAACTAATAGACCACTGAAGTTGTCATTAGTATTAGGTAATCATAAATGAAACTCCGCCTGTAGCTCTTCTAGAGTTACTGCCGGTCCCAAGCCCGGGTAAAGGAGGAGGGTTGGGCATGGGGTTAGCGTCCCCATCCCGTAGAAAAGCTAACTCGCTAAAAAAACGCTAACCAGAAAAAATAATCCAAACCATTTAAAATCTGCCCTAAAAGTTGAAGGAATAATGACGTCTCATGATGAAAGCCGAAATTCTTCGGAAGTCACGAGACCGATGCACCTTCTAACAACCAGAGCAACACTCTTTATAGGTACATGGAACGTCCGGACAATGTGGGAGACAGGAAAGACCAGGCAAATAGCAATGGAAATGAGGAGATACAATTTGGCAGTACTCGGAATCAGCGAAACCCATTGGACACAAACTGGACAACAAAGGCTAGTTACAGGAGAGATGCTGCTGTACTCCGGTCACGAAGGGGAAAATGCTCCACACACTCAGGGAGTTGCTCTAATGCTGTCCAAAGAAGCACGAAATGCACTTGTGGGATGGGAATCTCATGGACCCAGGATAATCAAAGCATCATTCAGAACAAAGAAGCAAGGGATCACAATGAACGTTATTCAATGTTATGCACCCACCAATGATAGCAACGACGATGATAAAGATCAGTTCTATGAAAGGCTGCAATCAATTATAGCAAAGTGCTCACGAAAGGACCTCACCATCCTGATGGGAGATCTAAATGCTAAAGTTGGAGTGGACAACACAGGATATGAAGATGTAATTGGACGACATGGACTAGGAGAGAGAAATGAAAATGGGGAGAGACTTGTAAACCTATGTGCTTTCAACAAGTTGGTTATAAGCGGCACAATATTCCCACACAAACGCATACACAAAGCTACATGGATCTCACCGGACCACACCACAGAGAACCAGATTGATCACATCTGTATCAACAAAAACTTCCGAAGATCAATGGATGATGTGAGAACCAGGAGGGGAGCTGATATAGCTTCAGATCACCACCTGGTTGCGGCCAAGATGAGACTGAAGCTTAAGAAACACTGGAAAACTGGACAAACAGTACTACAAAGGTTTAATACAGCCTTCCTTCGAGATACTGACAAGCTCCATGAATTCAAGATAACTCTCAACAACAGGTTCCAAGCTCTACAGGATCTACTGAAAGAACAAGAAACTACTTTGGAGGACAACTGGAAAGGGGTAAAAGAAGCACTAACTTCAACGTGTCAGAAGGTTCTTGGTCCTAAGAAGCATCATCACAAGGAATGGATCTCTATGGGAACCCTGGAAAAAATTCAAGAAAGGAAGAACAAGAAACTAGCAATTAACAACAGCCGAACACGAGCAGAGAAAGTCAAAGCACAAGCAGACTACGCAGAAGCAAACAGAGAAGTGAAGAAAAGCATTAAAGCCGACAGGCAGAAATACATGGGAGAACTAGCAACGACGGCGGAAAAAGCTGCAAGAGAAGGGAATATGAAACAACTATATGATACAACGAAGAAATTGACAGGGAGATATAGCAAACCAGAGAGACCAGTCAAAGACGAAGAAGGAAAGACAATCATTGATATTCAAGAACAGAGGAAAAGATGGGCAGAATACTTCGAGGAACTGCTGAATAGACCAGCCCCATCGAATCCACTGAACATCGAAGCAGCCCACACAGACCTTCCAATAGATGTCACTCCACCAACGATCGAAGAAGTCAAGATGGCCACCAGACAAATCAAAAGTGGGAAGGCGGCAGGACCTGACAATATACCAGCAGAAGCACTGAAGTCAGACATTGAAATAACTGCAAACATGCTTCACCTTCTATTCAAGAAGATTTGGGAAGAGGAACAAGTGCCAATCGACTGGAAAGAAGGATATCTCATCAAGATACCAAAGAAAGGAGATCTGAGCAAATGTGAGAACTACAGAGGTATCAGTTTGTTATCAGTACCAGGAAACGTTTTCAACAGAGTGCTGCTGAATCGGATGAAAGACGCAGTAGACGCTGAACTTAGGGATCATCAGGCTGGATTCCGTAAGGATAGGTCGTGCACAGACCAGATTGTGACACTACGGATCATCGTTGAACAATCAGTTGAGTGGAACCCATCACTTTAAGTCTACTTTATTGACTATGAGAAGGCGTTTGACAGTGTGGACAGGAGAACATTATGGAAACTTCTTCGACACTATGGAGTTCCTGAAAAGATTGTCAACATTATCCAAAACTCATACGATGGACTACAGTGCAAAGTCATGCATGGAGGACAGCTGACAGATGCATTTCCAGTAAGGACCGGGGTCAGACAAGGCTGTCTACTCTCCCCATTCCTCTTCCTTCTAGTGATTGACTGGATTATGAAGAATTCGACATCTGAAGGGAAATACGGAATACAATGGACTTCTCAGAATTAATTAGATGATTTGGACTTCGCAGATGACTTAGCCCTCCTCTCTCATACACACGACCAAATGCAGATGAAGACAGCAAATGTAGCAGCAGCCTCCACATCGATAGGCCTCCACATTCACAAAGGAAAAAGCAAGATTCTCAAATGCAACACGGAGAACACCAACCCAATCACACTTGATGGCGAAACTCTGGAAGAGGTGGAAACATTCAAGTACCTGGGGAGCATCGTTGATAAACAAGGCGGATCGGATGCAGATGTAAAGGCGAGGATTGGCAAAGCAAGGGCAGCATTTCTACAATTGAAGAACATATGGAACTCAAAACAACTCTCAACCAATTTCAAGGTCAGAATCTTTAATACGAACGTCAAGACAGTCCTACTGTATGGAGCTGAAACGTGGAGAACTACTACGACCATCATCAGGAAGGTACAAGTATTTATAAACAGTTGTCTACGCAAAATACTCAACATCCATTGGCCGGATACTATCAGCAACAGCGTTTTATGGGAGAGGACAAACCAGCTTCCAGCTGAAGAGGAAATTAGGAAAAGACATTGGAAGTGGATCGGACATACATTAAGGAAATCACCAATGTGCATCACGACTCAATCCCTAACTTGGAATCCTGAAGGGAAGCGGAAAAGAGGAAGGCCAAAGAACACACTATGCCGGGAAATAGAAGCCGATATGAAAAGGCTGAATAGTAACTGGAAAGAACTGGAAAGGAAGGCTCAGGATAGGGTTGGATGGAGAATGCTGGTGAGCGGCCTATGCTCCTCCACAAGGGGTAACAGGCGTAAGTAAGTAAGTAATCATAAATGAATTATGCAATTTTAGTTATTAAAAAGAAATAATTTGAGGGATATTGTTAATTTGTGTTTATGATGACATAAATATTCATGAATCTATTGTCTCAGTTTTATAAAGTATTTTATTTCCAAAACCTAAACGCCTACTCTTTCATAAATGACAGTAATCTGTTGTAGTATTATGAAGAACATCTTCTGAACGTTGTGCTAGGAAATTGCTAAACCAAAACTATCGAGGTTTGTAACATTATATTATCTATTTGATTGGATAACAGCTCTCTTACGATCAATTTCAATTAGGGTTGGTTTTGGTTAAGCCATTTTATTAACTTACTTAACAGGCATTGTTATTCGAACAGTAAAAATTAGCTTGTTCCTTTGTACTATTATTTCATTATCTGTATTTCATATCTGTATAAACATGTACTCTTGATTATATGACAGACTCTAACTAAAATGTTGATCGCTTAAATATCACTCGATGATTTATTCATCTTCATATGTATATATGTATATGAATCCTATTATTAGTCTTTGCCTTAACTAGATGGGCCTTATTCGATCTGACTGTAAATTTGCCTCTGTATTTGATCGCATACACACATTCACCTGTCTGCTTTAAATTCGCTTGATGTGTTTATAACTTTGTTATCTGTGAGGTATCCAATAGTAAACTGTAGTTGCCACTTCTTATCGCCTTCCGATTTCAAACACCGTTGAAATTTGTATGTTAACAGTTACGAAGGTGATTGATTAAAGAAGCAAAGCCACTACGATTGTTTATTAAATGATACAAACCAAAAATTATCACGATTACCGAGACAGTTAGTTACAAAATGACTTTGTTTCGTTTTTAAATATGTCAATTTGTGTTCCATACACATATAATCTGTTATTTTAAAGAAGTTAACAAACTCTGGATGAATTATTTATTTATCTCGTTGAAGTTAATGAAAAATTACTGTGTGTACCACACTCCACTTGATGATAGTTATGCAGAGCGATCCACGATTCCTCACGTGGAATTCGAACCCAGGATCTTCGTGGATTGGGTGAAGTTAAACATTAACACCTCCAGATGCCAGCTTAGTGGTCTAGAGGTTAAGCATTTGAGCGAGAGACCTAAGGTCCTGAGTTCAGATCCCTCGCGCGGGATCGTGGACGAGCATCACTGAGGAGCCCCATACCAGAACGAAAAGGCCATCCAGTCGTTCCAGGTTTTCAATGATGGTTTAACACTCATCGATTCATGATCTCCATCAAAAACCTAACGATCTCCACAACCCCATACTGATAGTATCGATATTGTAATATGCTTTAATCCATAGCAGAAACCCATATATATATATATATATATATATATATATATATATATACGTCGAAACAACATGTATTTATCATTCATGTTGACTCATTATCTGCTGAATTTCATTATTGGTCACTTAACACCTAACATTGTAACTCATTTTTCTGTTGAAGTTTCACAATATCATAAAAGTCTCATTTTTCGGAAACTGAACTGTGAAACTGTTCTGAGTGTCTGTACTATTTAAAATAAGTTTTTAGATGATGACTGAATGGAGTTTCTTAGGAAGCACGAAACCAATTTATAAGTTAAACTATCCATTTAAATATGGATGAATATTCTAATGGTCTTAACCTTTCATTAAACCATAATCCTTAGTATCAGTGCTATACGAGACTGAATAAAAAAGATTAATTTTTATCCAGTATATAATAGGGGAAATGACAGTATGTGAAAAAATAAAGTCATAAAGGGCTTACTTTCATCTTGAATTTTCTGATCATAATTAAATTTTCTTATACTGTGCATCTATAGTAAAAAAACATATAGTGAAATGGAATCGCTTAAAGTCTTATAGAAAGTGAATAAACATAAATATTCTGTCTGTTCGCGTAACGATCGTAACCAGTAGTTGAAGACTTTGGGTGACATGGTTCAGAATCGATCACAATGGTGTAGGTGTATACACTCTCTTAAACTATCGGATCTAAATTGCTTTATACCTTTCTACGAACTAATTGTTTCTCCCTGTCTCGTATCTTTATATACAATCTTTATTTGTGTATATAACTACCATTAAAATAACTGTTTCTATGAATCTTGTGTTCATCTTGTTGTGCTAATGAGATGAGGCAACTTGGACCGATGCATTTATGTACCTGATGCTAAGTTGGAGCTGACTGACTGTTTCTTTTTCTGCAAAACTGAATGAATAAAATATAAGTTTTCTACCAATTGCTTTGTGTTCATAGTATCCACATCAAGTTTGAAATTTTACAAGTGTAAATCTACACATTCATGTGATTACAACTTATCTATAATAAGTAGAATTTTCGTTTGAATATTCTATTTAACCCTTAGTTAATTCAATGCTGTTGATCATAATGATTTAAAGGATAATTTAACAAAATTAAAAAAAGCAAAGATGTGTTAGGACTGCAACTGGTCAGTCTCTAAATGGCATATGTGCATACTGTGCGTATTGCCTCGATTTAGCCTAAATTCACCAGCATGGTAAGCAAAGATGGCTAGTGGCTAGCAGTCGAATCCAGGACGCGCGTTTCGTCTTATTTGGGACTCGTCAGCTAGATGTACCTGCATCTCAGAGTTGACTGGAACTCGAACCCAGTACCTTTCGCTTCAAACTCCATCACGTTTTCCACTCAGCTAATGAGTCCTGATAGCCACTTGCTTGTGCAATGGGGTGAGACTGACCAGTTGAGGTCCTAAACATCAACGTGGAAGATTCAAACAAACAATCCTAAGTGAAATTTTAAAAAATTACATTTAAAATGTTTTCGAAAGATTACTGGCTTTTTTTCTTATTACACATCTTACTTTTAGCTTGTTATTGAAGTATTGTGGTAAGACGTCATTCGATTTTAAACTCATTGAAACGTCCAGGGAATTACCACGTTTATTGATAGTATTCAATTCATTGAGTTGTTTTTGTGACTGGTGTGATAAGGTTGTTTTATTAATTGTTTGGTATATGGTCGATTGTTTAAGTGGATAATGTCTGGTTACATTGGAAAAGTTGTTATAATTATAATTTGAATTTGAAAAACTATATATTGAAGATCTTGAAACTTTTCGAAGTTGTCCATTTTTTAATAACATTTGATTACTGCATTGTTTGATGGAGGAAATCTTTATTAGATCTTCATTTTGAGTGGTATTAATATCTGAAAATAATAAAAGAATTCGGTAATCAAATTCCTGAAATAATTGGTTTATGGAGATGATACGACAGTTTATGATCTTACATAATAGATAGTAGGTTCCTGTGACAAATAAATAAATGAATGAAGTCTATTCTCTTCAACAAATCCATTGTGAATTCTAGAATTATGAATCCATAGTTATAATCCCAAATGTGGTCATGTTTAAGGCCGTTTACATTTATTACTAGTAATACTACTATTGTAGTGAACAGAACACTGGTTGGGGACAATCGAATGTATTTAAGCAAAGATTACAGACTATCTCAGTAAATTCTGATAACCGAACAATGAACAGTTAATTTGCAAATTAACAACCAGTTGTTTCAATCTTCACTGTTTCTTCTCTTATTCCATTGCTCATGCATTTTCCAAACGATTGCGCTTCATTTCAGTTCTTTCCTCATCGGTCTTCTGCCCAAATACATTCTATGTCTGACCCACACCATATGCTACTTATATGGGTATAAGTAGACCACACCACACTATTTATGGTTTCATTCAGTAATATATATTTCGTACAATATAGAACTCTCAGCATACAATATTCCAATAAGTTTCCCTTCCTCTTCTTAGGACACAAAAATGTCAATTTATAAGTGAATACAAGTATACATGAAACAGGTAAATAAATGAAATGTTTCTAAGGATATATGAATATTTATAACTAATGATTAACAGCATATTCAAGAGTGTAAGTTTTTTATTTGATCAGCTCTTACAACCTGTTCGTCATAAAGCATATTTGCTATTTATAACTAGATTTATAATGACATTAAAAGATTCAACAAATACTCCACTTGTTGCTTTCAGAACTCTCCTCAACACAGCGGAGTCTCTTTTTTCTTCAAAATCCAGGAATAAATAATGGAGAACGGTAGAGAATAATAGTTAATATGTCAGAATTAATAAATCGTAAATGTAAAATCTGGCTGGTGCCAAAGGCACGTATCCACCTTATATAATAAGTCAAACGAAAAATTCTTTTCAACATTCACAAAATATGAGGAGAACAAGAGAGATTAGAAGAATAACGTACATCAATACAAACGACCTTGACACTGTTCTATTACAATATCTCTTAATGTACAAACTTCCAAGAGCTATACTTGTCCAAAGCTGATGTTAACAACTTGACATTTAAAAGGATTAATTGTGAGGCCATCAACAGTGAACCACCCTTCAATGAGAGACAAGGATTCATTCATTTCAAGGGGATGTGAAGAGGTGGACATTAGTGTGCATATAGTGAAATCATCCGAATACTTAACAAAAGGGATTTCTATGGAAGATGGTAGATCGTGCAGAAACAATTAGGAAAGAAAATCTCTATGTGGCACTCTATATTGATTTAAGAAGGACGTTGAACACTTTTCTAAACATAGCGTACTGTTCTCCTTCAGAGGTTAGAACACAGCCAGTTGGTTATCGAGCTGTCAGTGTTAACACTGGCAAGCTTGTATATTATCCGTGGTCTTAGAATACAGTTAATGGCAGAATTCTACTCAAGGAATGCGCATCCAACATTATTTTCACCCTTTTCCGAACTAATCAACAATCTATGATGCAGGGCAATAGCAGCATTTAAAATGATTTTTCTTACATTTGAAAGAGAACCGTTATAAATCAGTGAGCTGCTTTATTAGAAGCGGAAGTGAGAGTAGCAATAGTTTCTCCATTGTTTTGAGAAAACGTGAAATTGTTGTTATGACTGTACTTTAGCATTCTTATAATCAGATAAGTTTTTTTGGTATTGGGATCATCATTATTTTCTAGCATGTGAACGTAGGATTATTTATACAATAAATTGAAATCCTTTAACGATGAGATGACTTATATGGAGTGTTAATTTATTTGTCAAATGAAATGTGTGGATAATGATCGGAAAAAATGTTGAGTGGGGGAGATAGTAATGTAAATACAAGTCCGAAAAATAAATGTTTGATAAAGGGTTACATAATATAAAGAATCCTATGAATTAGGCAGTAAATAGTAAATAGGAGTGAGTGCTAATTAGATTTCTCAATTGTTTACAAGCGCCATAATAATAATATAGCGGCAGTGAAATGCCACTAAGCCCTAGCCAAATCATCCGGGAGTTGGGTTACTGAATATCGAACAGATCATCGATCCCTGTTAAAGTCAAGGACAACAAAATGCGCATCAGTTAATCATATGCCATGGACTGGCTCATGCGGTGGTGGTCTCATTAAAATCTCTGTACTCATTCTTAATAATATATTTACGTAATCACGCTCTTTGTGTTACACAGTCTTCAAAGCAGACATAGTACTTTAATACGTCGAATGGAGTGATCCGCGTTAGATGCTGACCGCGAGGTGTGACTTCAACGTTAGCTTGTTCGTTAACCGTTCCCGTCTAACTCGAGTAGGCCTCCAACCATTCGACATAGATCATCAACATTTATGGCCTACAATAATAATGGCGATAATAATGATATGTGACTAAAATAAATTTAAGCCATGAAAATACAAAGAGGAAGACTGAATGTACGTTATTCAAGTTTTGCCATTATATAATCAGAATAATTAATAAGTAATTCGAAAAGGAGTTGACTAAGGTCGAAGAAACGGTTGAACATATTTCTTTTGGATGGGAACCTTCAACATTTTTGATTGGAATAACTGCTGCATCAGATATCTGAAGGGTTATGATTCTGATGGCTATAGGAAGGTAGCTGTTAGCCCGACACATTATTGTAAATGATTTCTCTATATTGTCTGTATAGCTCGTTTGTGATAAATGAGATGAAATCGAACTGCTAACAGTTTTTACTTATTTCTCCATTTAATCTAACTGGAGGGTGCTACAAGTTCGTACAATACTTGCTAACATGGCACGCTTCACAAGAGAATTTCTGTTGATAGATACAGAAAGAGGTGGTTGGGCATACGTAACACGTGTTTCAACCATCTTAACTGATGAAGTTTCACCACTTCATCAATCGATTTGCCATCCTTACCTAGTACCCGTTTCCTAACATCTGCATTACTTACCCGGTGGTCCCAGGATATAAGAGCAATTCTTAGAAGACACATATGATCGAATACTAGCAGCCTACGAATATCCTCTACTGCTGAGCAGTAAACCCGTCTTTTGGTCGGTAAACGGATATCTCGCCTACACCATAAATGACTCAAGTTGGTGAAAGCTCGTCGAGCATTCTGTATCCGTGCTGAGATTTCGTCAAACACCAGACCACAAGGGCTGATGAGACTCCCAAGATAATTGAAGCGGTCAACACGCTCAACTACTTCACTCCCTATCATTAGTTTAGGTGCCGATGCAACCCAATCCTGAAGTAACATTTCGCATTCCGAGGGAGAGAATCGCATCCCGAACATGCCTGCATAGTTGCTTTTAATGATCAGAAGACTCAGTATTTTGTGAGAGTCTTCACCGAATAAAACTATGTCGTAGGCATATTCTAAGTCAACAAGTGAGCCTCCCGGTAAAAGTTCAACTCCAGGAGATTGAGATGTTATCTCTAAAAGCATGTCAACGACAAAGTTAAACAAGAATGGGGAGAGTGGACAGCCCTGACGAACACCACTTGAGGTAACCAATTCTGATGACAGTTCGCCATAGGCTCTAAATCGACCAGTTGTGTTCGAGTAGAGAGCCTTTATGAGGTTAATGTACTTCTTTGATACTCCTTTCGATGACAAACACTGCCACAGAACCTCACGATCATCGGAGTCAAATGTCGCCATAAAATCAAGAAATACTACTATTGTGAGATGTCTGAATGTTTGTCTATGTTCTATGAGCTGATATAGAGTGAATATCTGGTCTGTACGACCATGTCCAGATCGAAAACCAGCCTGGTTTTCTCTAGTTTGCTCTTCACAAGCTTTGGTTAGGCGTCAAAGTATTATTGAAGCTAATATTTTAGACAATATAGCAGTCAGACTGATCCCTCTGTGATTGTCACAGGAGGACTTTTGACCTTTCTTATAGATGTATATATATATATCCTTTAGGAGAGATTGTTTTACAACGAAGTTTATATGAAACACCAGTTATCAAATTAAAATATTTACTTTATTATTTTAAACAAATAGACCATTTCAAAATGATTTTAAAATATAATTATACTTAATTATTAATAATAAATTACAATTATAATTAATTCTATAATATAGTTGAAATCATGAATCAATTAAATCTACACCATCATGGAAAACCTGGAAGCATTGAACGGCCGTTTCGTTCTATTGTTGGACTCCTCAGCAGTGCTCATTCACGGTCCTACTTCGCGAGATTCGAACCCAGGACCTAACAGCCTCATAATGATGGTGGTTTAGCTTGAATTGACTCATGATTTCATCTTTATAAAATTACGAAAATCTCCATAAAACCCCCCTTTCTGATAATTCTATAATAATGATAATTAAACTTACGTTTATCCAATGTTATGAATGTTTGATCATCATTTTTAATAACAGTGTTATTTAAATAATCACCATATATATTTGGATAATTATAAACAAGGGGATTCAGCACATGGTGATTATTATTTTCCAAATGGGAACAATTATTCAAATCAAAATTATAAAAAAAATTTTTTTGTTTTATATCTAAATTAAAAAAATTAATTTTTTTATAATTTTTTAATAATAAATTATATTTATTCGATGGTGCTGATTGTGTCCTTCTTAAATGAATAAATGGATTCATTATATAATTTGATCCAATATTTATTTTTGGTAAATTATAATCTTGATTTAATTGTTTCACGTTTTCTTTTGTTATAAAATTCTTTAATAAAATTTAAAAAAATTAAGAAAAACAGTTAAAATATTGACAAGAAATAGTTTATAGTCTATAATCATATACTCACTAGTTACTGACTGTAAGGAATGTTTCTTTGTGTTCTAGTGGGAAGCAGTGACCAGTGAAGTTCAACCAAGTCTTTTATAGAGATATCAACTCACTGAAGACAATTGGTGAACCGTTGCTAAAACATCGTGGATTGGTTGAAGTTAAACATTAACACTGTTGGATGCTGGCCGGCTCAGTGGTTTAGAAGTTAAGTGCTCTGAAGCGAGACTGATAGGTCCTAGGTTCGAATCTCGCGATGTGGGATCGTGACTGCTCACTGCTGAGGAGTCCCATAATAGGACGAAACGGCCGTCAAGCAGTGTCTCCAGGTTTTTCATGGTGGTCTAGCTTCAATTGACTCATGATTTCAACTAAGAAATAGTTTGTTTTAATTAAATGTTAAGAAAAGTAAACAAATAAATATTAATCATTTTAATAGTTGAGATCATGAGTCCATTAAAGCCAGATCACCAGCACCATCATCATCATGAAACTGATAGGTCCTGAGTTCGAATCTTGCGAGGTGGGATCGTAAACGCGCACTGCTGAGCAGTTCCACAATACGATGAAACGGCTGTCCAATGCTTCTAGGTTTTCCATGGTGATCTAGCTTCAATTGACTCATGATCTCAATTATGAAAATGACTTTATATATTTACAAAAACCCTTTTTGAGATAAATATAGAATTATATTTTTAGTTTAAACTTAAAAAAAAGACACACACACTCAATTGGATACTTTTGATGAAAATATAAATCTGTTAAATAATGAACTATACATAACTGATAAATTATTTGAGATAAAAAGCATCCGATTCCATTATTGTGTTCATCAAGAACTCATTTCATTTGGATAACTATTAAAAGACTTGAGGCACTGAAACACTCCATCAACCAAATATGGGATATATAAACAGTGCCTGACTTTCATATATAAAAGTGATAAAACTTAGGATTTTAGAAATCGTGAAGGTCTGATTATTCTTAATTCAACATATACTATCAATTAAACCGGAACCTATGGGCGAACACAAGAAGTTCTTGAATTTATAAACCTTGCGAGAGTACATTGAAACTGCCTAGGAAGTTACAAACACAAATGCGTTGTATCAGTCTCAAAACAGTCCTATATCATTAGTTAGTTTCATGAAACTCATCACGTTGCTGTTGACAGAATTTACAGGACTACCTGAAGACCCGAGCTATTCTTTACAGGCAATCGATAAATATTGTTTTTAATCAGAGAATCATGAGAACTGGAAAAATAGCTCTACATTATATTTTTATCAATCTTCATAGGCGAAATATTAAGTGAAACTCATCACCTAAGTTTTATTAGATAATCGGACAATTACATTTGCACAGTCAATATTGAGCCTCTGTATACCTTCTCAACAATCTTAAACTGTGAAAATGCTGTTTTCTGTGAGATATTCACATAACGTAATATGTAGCCACGATAAAACGAAAAATGTTGATATTCGAACATAAAAATTATAATTGATATGTATTAGTGAAGTGGTTATGTATCTGATTTCACTACTAATATTTGTATAAAATACTTTAACCCCTGTAAGAAACGTATAAGAGACAGCTATCCTCAAATAGCACTTTCAAAAAACCTGTTTTGCTCAGAAAATCAAAGGAAGCTATCACACAGTAAGAAAAAGAACTGTTGGCATGGAGTTTGCTTGATGTCCTGAAGTAAATTTTAGCAGTGTAGTTTCTAACATATATCTGGTAGGCAATGCGATAAACATCATCAAATTTATTCTTAGTTATTTCAATAAGAAGCAGCGTTGGCAGTCTAGCAATAATGACCATTGAAATATTTAAACTGAAACTAGGATTACTTTTGATTAACACTCATTTTCATTCACATAAATTTTTACGGAAGAGAATTCCATGGTACTACCAAGATTATCTGGCTCTTTCATCAGTGTTTCGAACTAGAAAACTAGTTTTGTTGGTTTTCTTATGTCTTTCTCAATTCATCATTTCTAGTCTTCCGATATTAATTTTTGAATCAACTTGAAAAATAAAACTCACTGGCTAGGCACCTGGGATTGGGCAGTGAAAAACGTATTGTTCGTTTCTAAGAAAAACATACAAAACATGTAACTGTAACGATAAGATAAAATCTTGATTATAACATAAGTCATATGGTTTTTCATGCTTCTATCACTTGTGGAGCTATTACCATTGAATGAAATCATTAAATGTAAGACTTCGAAAACTGAGTCTTTCAGATTAATCAAGATTACAAATGCTCTAATGAACTCACTTTGTCCCGACCGCCAGCACCATCTCCCTGTAATATTTCCTGAGATAGTGTTGAAGTTTGATTAGATCTCTGTTTATTGAATGGTTTTAGACAAACCATATCTAAAAGTTAGATACGATAGTTACAATATTGAATTGATACTTATGTACTTAAGTATAAAAACAAGAAAAACAATTTTCCCACAATTTTCTATCAATTCTCAAGAGATTTTAGTAGTACACTAACAATGTTCAGGTAACTTATTCAGACAAAGTAATGGTCACGTAATTAGTATAAATAAAATGCAGTGGTAACTAATGGTATTTTGTTAACGACTCAATAAACATTGAGATATGGCACATAGTTAAAATCCCAGTCTATTCCAGGGTACTTCATCATTCCAGTATAAAGTCATCTGATAGATTTTGAGTCCCATTTTGTGCGTAAAGTTCTGTGGTATTATATCGGTGAACAAATCAAATAAGGCGAAAATCAGTTTGAAAATTGTATCCAAATAACTGAAATTCAGGTGTTTTTGAAACCATGTAACCTATTCACAAAAGGTCAACAAAACATGCCAAAAGTTGTGATGTAAAGAAATATGAGTTACAAAAACATTATTTCATTGAGTATGTACGGGAACACTTTTCACAATGGCTACAGAGATCGATTTTCAGAAAATTACCCATTACTGAATAAAACAAGATCAGTCTGTTTCTGGATCCTCTACTTAGTGAAGACAGATTAAAGTAGCAATTGGTGAAAGTCGTTCCTGGTTCCAAACCACATAAATGTGCCAGACGTAAACATCTGCCCCATAATTAATTTATACGATAGATTTGTTTGTTTATTTAACTATTTCAATGAATGGAATTATATGTTCATTAAGAAAAAACGAATTCGTATATGCTTTACATCAGATCATCTCTTTAATACTCTGCTTATGACCATCAAAATTTGTATTAAACTGTCATACTTAAATTTTGATATTCTATAATTTTAAGATAGCAGCATATTACTGACACTATCGGCAACATTCTACTGTGGAAGAGAACAAACCAGATTCCATCCAGTGGAGGAAGAAATCAGGAAGAAGCGCTGGTAGTAGATAGGACACACATTGAGGAAAGCGGTCAACTGTGACACAGGACAAGCCCTCACATGGAATCCTGAAGGCTAAAGGAAAAGAGGAAGACCAAAGAACATGTTACACCGAGAAATGGAGACAGTCATGAGAAGAATGAAGAAAAATTCGATGGAACTAGAAAGGAAGGCCCAAGACAGATTGAGTTGAAGAATGCTGGTTAGTGGCCTACGTTCCATTGGGAGTAACAGGCGTAAGTAAGTTAGTAAGCAGAAATAAATAATTTTAAAAACAGAAGTGTACTTCATGTGACATTACCTGGTTCTTCATGATTAGCAAAGGTTGAACTTGAATTTTTGTAACTTTTTTTGAAAGAAATAACTCCATCTGAGAAGTAACCATTTTGTTGATTCCTTGAAAATATTCCATAATAGTTATGTTCTTTCTGGTACATTAGTATATATATATATATGTATATTGTATAAAATTATAAAAAACGATCACGAGTGTATTGTCAGCTATATTGTTTATAATTGTTTAATAGAATTTATAAATCACAGAAAAAACACCATTATTTTATGTGCTTAGTATTTCGCGTATTCATATGATTCAAATTTTGATAGTTGAATTCATGAGTCGATGTAAGCTAGACTATCATGGAAAACTTGGAAGCACTGGAAGGCTTCAAGACGATTTCCTGGAGTTCTAGTGAAAAGATGTGACAAGTGAAGTCTAATCCATGTCGAGTAGACACAGGTATATACCTCTGAGAATAAATGAATGGTTGCGCAGTCATTAATGGATCAATGGAAGTTAAACAGTAACACCACCGGATGCTTCTTCAGTGGTCTGAAGGTTAAAGGTTCGCTTACGCAACCGAAGGTCGTGTCTTCGGATCCAGTGAGCGGGATCGTGGACGCGTACTGCTGAGAAATCGCATATTAGGACGCAACAGCCGTTCGGTGCTTCCAGATTTTTCATGGTGGTCTAGATTAAATCGACTCATCAATTCAACTATAATCTCCCCAAAACTCCATTCTTTTCAATAATTAAAATTCTCGAACACATTCGTACAATTTTAATATATATTCCATAGGAATTTCATTTCATAAACATTTGAAAATGATATTGAATTCTTAACCTTGGACTTTTTTGTATTCATTTGAACACTGAATAACTATTTAAGGGATTCCTCTACGATAATCAATACATTCTAGACTGAAAGTTAGCACAAAATACCTTTAATTATTTAGAAAAAGAATATTGAAGGTCGCAAAGCTTACAATGTGTATTTTAAATTTAATGACAAAATTATGTGAATAAAAATCTATTGAGTATCCAACAAACTGTCAAATCATTAAATTATAGAAAAATTTTCTGTAAGAACGGTTCAGGATTTTGGTTATATCTAGAGCTTTGATTCTTGCTATGCCGTGTGCTACTAGACCACTTGAACGATCAAACCCGCAACGTCTCAAGAGAGAAGACTAGTAAGTAGGAATTTTATTCCCCAAACAGTGTCAAATATAGTACAAAAGTCTCATGTATTTATAGTTTTTGACTGAAAGTAAATCATCATTTCGGACAGCTAATAGGCATATAGGGGGTCCTTCATAGTCATCCAATAGGAGAGCTACACGTCGACATTCTAGAATGTTCCCCTAGTGGTGATTGGATGGAATGTCTTCGGCTCTTTCTGGGCTTTCTGAGTTTGCCAACGAGCCATCATTACACTTTTTATACAAAAATATGTAAATCTCCTTCCTAGAAACTGTTTAATCAAACACTTATGTAGAGAAGATCTGTCCAAATTACAAAAGCTGTTAGATCTGAGTAGTGAATTAAAACATGTATGATTTCTAGGATAATATACAAAGAACCAAATGAAGTAGATAAGCTAAATAAAAACCGGAGATTGGTTTTTAATTTTTAACATTTTAGTACTCGAAGATGTATATTAACTGTGATCGTTAGTTTGATTGACAGATCTGCCCATACATTTATTTTTATTTAGTCAGTTTTAGCATACAAAACTATATCAATAGCTCAAAGGCAAACCTTTCAGTTTATTCTTTAAAGCCACTTGGTTTGTTTTTGAATTTGCTAAGACCTACTAAAATGAAACAGGGTGTAAACTGTGTAACATATATGGGATTATGATGATTATTTTTTGAGTTTACAAAAATATCCAAATTAGACAATCATTGAAAATCTAAAAGCACTGCATGACCATTCCATCCTAGTGTGGGACTCCGCAGCAGTGCGTATTCATGGCCCTGCGATGTGTCGATTGTGAATTCAGAATTGTATGCTATTGGACCCCAGCCCAGAGGTCTAGAGATTGAGCATTTGAGAGCGGGACTTAAGTTCTTGTATTTAATTTCCGATGGTGGAGTTGTGGGTGTGCACTGTTAAGGAATCCCGTAATCGGATGAAAAATCTGTCTATCAATTCCAAGTATTTAATGGTTATCTAACCCAGATCTGCTCATCATATCTATAAAATTAAACAGTTTCGACAACCCTATATTAAGAATGTTATTTTCATCACGATTACATTACAAATGTGGAATTGCATCTGAGTTCACTCTCTAAATATAATTTGATGTGAAAAGAAGAGAAGAAACATGAAGTTGCCGAAATTCTGTCTTACTTGAAATGATTTTCTAGATTCTGAATTGTTCTGTGTTTGTTTTCCTGATTTAGATGAATCTTCAGTTAGATTCAGATCTCTACAACATGCCTAAAATTTCAAAAATAAGAAAACGAAACACATTTATAGAAAAGGAGGAATTCCTTTAAGACAAATGTACCTCAAACTGAAAAGTCTATTGTTATCAGAAACACGAAATCAATCTATAATTAAAAAGTTACCAAATTATTTAATTTTGATAGTTAAATTATTAATAGTAATTTGGCTATGAAGTACAGAATTCCCCCAACATATTGAATCTAAAAACATCATTAATGATTAGAAAACAGAGTAAATGCATTTATGATATTGAGGAAAAGCTATGCATACTAGAAGGGGAGAATAATGTGTTGTAGTAAACAATAAGGCCAGAAAATTGCAATCTTAACATAAGTAGAATTTTGGGGGGGGGAGATTATAATTTATGGACGACCTTTTAGCAACACTAAAATGACCTTGGAAAGTCCATATACTTACTAGGGTTAAATGAAGGTTTTGTATTAGTGTAAGGAATTACAATTACAATTTACAGTTGAACGTTGGGTGAGGAATTAGATTTAATGTTCTCAACACGAAATGACGTCATCAATAATGCCTAAATGGTACCTAGCCAAATGAGTGAATGAATTTTGCGCCTAAACGCAAGATCTTCTGTCTTAAGTATAATTGATTCGTCCATAAATTATAGTCTCTCCAGATTTAATTGAAATAAATGTGTTTTGAACAAAAGTAATAGTTGACTAAATTCAACGAAAGCAAATGATGAAATAAGTGCGATAAAATCACCATATTAAAGATAACATTGATAAGTTAAAATGTAATCTAGGAGAATAAGACATCAATAGAGTCAACACATACAGGGTTCGTGTTTCATTTCTAGTCGAATACAAATTCAGCTGATGTCCTCTGAATTCGAATAATGTAAATGACACAAGGTAGAATCAGTATATTTTGTTTATTGACAGATGCTCTACGTTTTATACTCTTTGTTAATATTTACAGTGATAATAAACTATTGAAAATAGCGTTATATATATTCTAATTTTCACTTCACATTTCATTGAAATTATGAACCAATCCAAGTTAAAAAAAAACCCACTGAAAACCTGGAAAAACTGGACAGTCGTTTCATCCTGGTACGAGACTCTTCAGTTGTATGCATCCACGATCGCGCAACCAAAAACCTAACCCAAGATCTTCCTCTCTGAGCGATTGCTTATTCTCTAGACAACTAAATTGAGAGCCAATCATATTTAAGACTAGATTCAATCAATCCATGATATTGTTCTACCATCTTCCATTGTTTCTAAAAATCTACTCTCGAAGCTGGTCACTATTGGAGATATGATATTTGCGAACATGAGTTTGTAGAGAACGTTGTATTTCATTAGAATCTATTTATCAATATATCCATGTTGTATGTTCGTGAAACTTAATAAAAATTCATTCCGTTGTTACAAAATATACTTGTTTCCGAATTAAAAGTAAAATCACCCTAAATAAATAGTGTTATATACTGGTTTCCTGATTCTGTCATTATCATCTTGTTTGACAGACAGTTTCAGAAAAATATATCCATTTCCTAATATGACAGGGGTTAATGGAGATTTTCAACTTCATAGTTTAAATTCCGGGATGATATTAATACGTTAACTATCGAAAACCGGAGAGAGTCAGTTAACAGTTTTGTTTTAGTATGTGGCTCTTCAGCATTGTGCATCCACAGCTGTACCTCAGAAGTCAAACCCAAGACCTTCAATTTGAAACGCGAATGCTTGATCACAAGATTACTGAGACGGCATCCAGTGTTTTAAATGCTTGATTTCAGTCACCTTTTAGTACTGAATAACTTTTTTCCGATTTACTTGGTGGGTAGCTGGCTCGTATTTGACATGGTTGAACTCCGGTTGCCACGGTTTTTCACTGTTATCTACTGATTATCTTTGAAATACTTCTATTGCATCTTATACATGAAATTTCGAAATAATTTAATACAAGCCGGAAAGTTTCAGGTCGACATATGCATATACTGACAATAACTGTAGAGAATGAATTCTTTGTCGATTGCTGAATTGATTCTTTATGTTATTGTAGAAAGCCATGTTAATTAAAAGTTAGAAATGGTGACTTTCGATTTTTGTCGTCATCATTCTTTTTACTGCATTAAAACTGTTGAAAAACTTAAGATTTATTTCATCATAACTGGAATCTTTCCTTAAATTGGTGGAAAATACCTAAATGCTAGATACCACATGTTATTTCTTTAGTGTCAGTGATGTAAATGGTTCAGGAAATATAATTGTGAAATTTCCGTTGTTATTCAGGATTTAATTTATGTCAATGGCATTAAGAGATTTTTTTGTTTCCATAGTTGCCTTTAAGTAAAACCATTTATTTCTGTTTTTGTAGTCCTATTGAAAAATATCTACGTTACGCAAATGAGCTACTGAAATACCGTTTGAGTAGCATATTTGTTACAACACAAATAAGAAGTACAGTGTTTGGAGAAATGATATTTAGTATATGCTGCTTTTAGTCAAAACATTTCTTACGATTCTAGGAAGTCAGCGTTAAGTTTCATCGAAATAAAACATGCATCCGTATGTAACTGAAACATTATGGAATGGATAAGAGGAAATAAAACTACATTATTTCGATTAAAACGAAAGGTCAATCAAACAATGATATGTATGTAAAAATTTGATGAGAATTGCATCGAGCTCACCGTGCGTTTAACACAATTTCACAAAAACGGTACATATAGCATAAGCTATACAACTCTCACCGAATTAAACACGGAAAATGACGTGCATATCACCAGAAGTTTCAGTTTATGCTAACTATCTATAACTTACATAGGTACCACAAACAGGACAAACTTTCTCACGAAGTAATGTGGTAAAACGATGGATAAAAGGCTGGGCAAAGTTTGAAAATAGAAATGTTAATAAACTGTTGACTACGCACATCAAATGAAGTATATGGGTGACATACAGTTTTTAAACAAAGATAGTGACCAAGTTGATACTATGTAGTTCATGCTAGTGAACAAATTTTATCAATCAAGTTTTACACGTAATTAAAAGAACTTGTAACTCAGTAGCTGTGTGTATTTTTAACTGTTGATAGGTAGTTAGAAACAGTTAATTAAAGTAAACTGTAATTTTGATTTACCCAGCGTAATGCTTAGAATCATAATTTGACTGAATTCAGTAATCGCTCCACAACCAATACTAGGCTTAAAAGATATTCAAAATAACAGAATATGTATAAAAAAAACCAATTGTTTCAATAATATTGTGGTGTCTGCTACTAATGTCTACAGATATAAGTAGTACATATCATCGATCGAAATTAAAATGCCTGGAGGCAGAAGGTTGAAAAGATCGAAGAAAACAGAATGAGAACAGAGAATAATGGCTGTGGAAGCGAAGAAACAATGAAGTATGAGAGGATTCATTGATGTTTAAAAAAGGGAACAGTCAAATTTGAGACAATTAATTGTCATTTTGCAAATGAAGTATTTACTGTATGGTTCTCAGATTATACTGAGATGTTCTGTAATTTGTTTGTTCAAATACATTCGATTGCCCCCACATGTGTTCTCCTTCACTACAATATCATAGTTAAAGCCAGCTGTAATCCAACATATAACAAGCACTTAAGCATTACACTTTATAAGTGGTTTTATGCTCTAAAAGATATTACCAAACTAATCGTTTACTGAAAATTCATCATTCAGAGATATATCAGATATGATCGATCCTACAAACATAAAATGTTAACGAAGTATGGAACTAAATGTAAACTAAAAGTGATTAGTCACGATGTTTGATATTTTGGTATTTCAAAAATTTTGAGGTAGTTTTAAAAACCTAAATTTCACGAATCTGTTGTTAGTATAGAATGGTTAACTGTGTGAACAGTCGTACTTGTTATATATAGATTAAATAGTAGAATATGTAAATAATCATTTTATCATTCAACTCAAGGTAAAAAACGATCAGAGTTACATATTATTTATCAGTTTATTGGGATTCTTCATTGTGAAATAACAACATTAAATGAACAAATGAAATCAGACGAGGGTTTTGTGGATATCATAGTAATTTTATATAGTTGAAATCATGATTCAATTGAAGCTAGACCACCATGAAAAACCTGGAAGCACTGGACGACCGTTTCGTCTTATTGCGGGACTCCTCATCAGTGCGCATCCACGACCGTCCAGTGCTTCAATGTTTGAATGTTTATTTCCAGTGTGGCACACTTCAGTAACATTTTCCTCTAACATATATATGTGAATACTATTCTACCACGATATTCATAAAATAATATTGTAACTTACAATACAGTGGTTTGTTGGTACATCTTTCTTAGGCTGTGTCTCCTGAAAAAAAAAAACTTTTATTATTAAGAACCACATCAATACAATGATCATGCATCACTTGCTTGGCATTTTATTCATAGCTAAATATTTTTCATGAATACATTTGGCGAAAGTAGAGCATAAGAACGAATTAAAGAAAACCGCGACAATTTCTTTCACAGTTATTAGCAAATCAGAAGACAGCTTCCATAATTATTGGATCTGTTAACGTCTTCTTTAGGTAACTCAACATGTAAATTGAAATGGCAGCAATATAATTCCATCCTTATAAATGTAGATTATCTGTCTTTTCTAACTCTTATGAAGATCCAAATAGATTTTCAACGATCTCCACATATTTCTTGATTATGATTGCGTATTTTAATACAGACAAAGGGTTCAGCGTTGCAATATTGATCACGAGCTTACATTAGCTATTATGTCAAGAGTTCTGCAGCCATAGGAATGAATAAATTTCATGCATTAATGCAAGAGGTATTGTGTGATTAATCCTTCCATAAAACCTAATGCCACTAGGTTAAGGTTTATTTCAGGGTTATATGTTTGAAGATAGGATTCAAGGAAACCTTCGGGTCATCTTTTCTGTACAACCTACAGAAACAGAATCGAACATTCTACTCTATGGTACTACAAATGAATTTTTCGATTTTATTTTATAAACATGATGAGTAGTATGCACATATATTTCTAATGATGAATATATGTAGTACTTGAATTTCAAGCAAACCTGAAAGTCGTATTCTCAATGTTTATTGACTCCTTCCTACACTATACCCTTACCGTAGCTTTCGAAAATTTTTGATTATCTCTCTACTTTAAGCAGTCTATTAAATAATTGGCTAAATGAGGGAAAAGCTTACTTAATCTGGAACTTTATTTAATATCATATATCGAAATTGATGACTGTTTTTAGCTGTTCTGTTTTAAATCAAAGATATTCAGTATTGTAAAAATAAGACCAAAACAAATGCTTCATCCTTAATACATAACTTGTAACTGCATGTTCGAGGTGTTTTCAGTCCCGTCAACAGAAAATAAGTCAATAAAATTCAGAAACACGATGATGAAAAAAACTGATTGATATTTATCTTCCCTTAAAACGTAAATGGAACTTAGGAAAAGACGTTTGTAGTGGATAGGACACACATTGAGGAAATCATCAAACTGTGTCACGAAGCAACAGCTAACTTTGAATCCTGAGGGCAAATGGAACAGTGGAAGGCCAAAGAACACACTGGGCCGAGAATTGGGAGCAGACACAAATAGAATCAAGAGCAACTGGGAAGAACTGAAAAAGATTGGATGGAGAATGCTGGTTGGTAGCCTATACACTTCCATAAGGCCTAACAGGCGTAAATAAGTAAGTAAGAAAATGTTAATGATCATAAAGAGATTCCCTATAATAAAAAGCTTTGTTGTATTCGACTATCGGGCAACTGAATAATTAAAATAGCTTCGCAACAAGTAAGAGACGACTCGAAAATTTCTTTTTTCCACAAATTTAGGACATTTTCGCAAATCGTGTCACGGACTGATCTTAGTCATACAATTACTGAGCATCAGCAAGGACTGGATAGCTATTTACCCCGATATAATGAGAAACTTACACACGGTAGAATGCCGAGGTAAACAATTTAAGGTAACAAAAAATAGGAGTATTCGATCTCGTTACTTTTTTATTGCCCGATTTCGTTTCACGCTTCTGCGTTATCTTCCGTTTACGTTTGCCTTTTTTCTTTGACTGTAAATAAACAAATTATTTGAAGAATAAATATATGAATGGTGTACTGTTCATAGTATTTTAAAAAGTACTATTTAAGTATATATTAGTCATTTGAATCTGTTTAACATGGTACAACTTAAGCCTATTATCAGTGTACCATTTCTTCAATAATAGGAAATAATCTAGAATTATTAGTATAAATTCAAATCGGATTGTATTAGGAAAAACTTAACCAAGGCAGAATCAGACTAAATTGAAAACATTATAAGTAATGAAATTAACACTTATATTCGCATTGTGGTGAACGAGAACACATGTGGGGACAATCGAATGTATTTGAACACATAAAATTACAGAACATTTTAGTAAAATCTGAGAACCATACAGTAAATACTTCGTTTTCGAAATATCAGTCAATCGTCTCAGACTTCATTGTTACTTTGCTTTCACAGCAAGTATTCTCTGTTTTCATACTCTTTTCTTCGATCTTTTCAGCCTTCTACCTCCAGGTATTTTACTATCGATAGATGATATATACTGATTATATATGTTAACATCAGTAGCAAACACCACAGTACTATGGTATAGTTTCCCCTAGATTTAGTATAGTTTAATGAGATAAATCTGAAAAAACGTTACAGCTAAGATGTTAGTATTGTGATCTGAGACTTGAACAGTTATATTTAACTATAATAATACAATCATTCCTTTTTTGGAAACCGCATCTAATGATCATTAGTGTTTTGATGAAGTCCCAAATTCAGATCCTCAACCAGAATGTTTATTAAAAGTCGCTAAATTAAACTTAAAATTTCGGTTCGATTTTTATACAGTCATAAGTTCAAAGAAAATACACACTTTTTTTTGAAGTTGGTTTGTTCTCTGAGCTGGATGGTTTGGTCGTGGAGCTTTCATCGTCCTTCTGAACGACATCATCAGCACAAACTACAAATCTTCTCCACCATCTCAAAATACACACTTCTTAAACATTTCAAATCACATTACCTATGATGTGATAAGTTGATATGAACCGAAATTTAAAGCGTTTTTCAGATAAATATCAACGATGAGAAATCTTTTTTCACAATTAAACACAACAAATAATGTGATAGTGTACTTACCTTTTGCAAAACATACGCATAATATGCAGGTAACTCATCACAATTTGAACTATCTGATCCAACATCACTATTAGAAAAAATGCGGTATAAAAATTAATGAATGCATCCGAGGTAGATTTAAAATTGAGGCAGTATGTAAAAAATGATTGCTTATCACACAAACAGTAGACATCAGTCATTTACAGAGGCTACTGATTTAACGTTTAAATTCACTGTCTATCACGAAAGATTCTCTATAAATTAATCTTACCCTACTTTTTGTCGATGAAATCAACGGAGATATACACTTTGGAAATGATGTGTTCTTATTTATTAGTCATATAAGTCTATTATATTATTCGTACGTAATATTCTTTACAGAGCCCCCAAATGCTTTGGTTCGGCTGAGTGGGGAGAGTTAGCTCATCCTCTCGAAATGCTCTCACATGGCCACACGTATATAGCCTCTGTCAGGGAAGTCCTACTCACTGCCTTCTCGTGTCATTACTGATGTTTACAAAATTGAGAGGACAAAAAGCGAATGTCCGGTGCTTTAATCGGGTTGGTGAACACAGAAAAGTCACCTAGGGGAGTTGGGAAACCTGATTCCAAACCAATGGTGCACATGGGCTCCAGTATCCTGAGGGAACAAATGGCGTATGAATCAATCACTGGTCACCGACTCCCATGGGACTGAATTTCCTTACGATGCTCCACTGCCTTGTGGATTAGACTTTTAGGTCAAAGGCTCCGGGTGTGGCTCTCTAAGAAAACCACCTTGCTTCAGTTTGGGCACCTGGGCAGTATCACAGCCCTCACACAAGTCGAATGAGATTTGTGTGGCGCATATATATCTGATACCCCTTTGTAGCAATATTCATGTCTTTAAATAAATAATAAATAAATTCTTTACAGATTCCGTCTGAGATATTATACGTATAACAGAAACTACAAGTGGGTACACCTCTTGCTTTCTCACTTGGATCTATACTTGATAGAAATTTATTAACAGAAATATTTTACGTTTACTTCATGTCATTTTAAGTTGAACTAATTTTTTTCAGATCTCTATTCTAGTTTTTGATGAATAATAGAGAAATTAAAAGTTGTAAGGTTGATAATAATAATAATAATAGTAATTGGTAAATAGTTTCATGCAACATCTTGTTTGATCATTCATTCATAACAACAAATCAAACACTGTCACTTGTCACAACTTGAGAATTATCTGTTATATTCATTATAAATAGTGGTTACTGTCAAATGGATACCTTAAAATAAATATGTATTCTACCTACACTTCATCTTGTAGTAAGTTACCGGGAGTAATAATTCATACTCTAGGTGAAGACTAATCAGTTTCTTGGATTGCGTAACTTAAGTAGAATATAACATGAGTTCATGAAGGTGTTAACTAATATTTATAAAATTAACAAAATGTATATTAACTAACCTACTGTCACTCATTGAATCGTCTGAAGAAAGCTTATCATCTTCAAATTCATTTGATTTAGATATTTTCATAGAAACAAAACGATTTTTCAAATATTGCATAATATGTTCCATCTAAATTACAAAAATATCTTTTTCAGAAAACAATACACTGTTACAACGGACATGTTTAAGCAATTCAAACAATTAACGAAATCCTGTTTTCATGTTAAAAACTCTTATACATTTGATAAATATCTGATTCTTCAGCAGTGCGCATCCACGAACCCGCATCGCGAGATTCCAACCCAGGATCTATCAGTCTTGCGCGCGAGCGCTTAACCACTAGACCGCTGAGCCGGCATCCAACGGTGTTAATGTCTAACTTCAACCAATCCATGAAATTGAGTGGTTAAGCGCTCGCGCGCAAGACTGATAGGTCCTGGGTCCGAATCTCGCGAGGCGGGATCGTGAATGCGCACTGCTGAGGAAACCCACAGAAGGGCAAAACGGCTGTCCAGTGTTTCCAGATTTTCCATGGTGGTTTAACTTAGATCGACTTGTGAATTTAACTTTGAAAATTCCTGTTTATACTTATACAAGTTCAATTCACAGATGAATGAGTGAAATGAGAAAGAGAGAAAGATTATGGTAAGCAGAGATGGATAGTAGCTAGCAGTGGAATCCAGTTTGACGCGCGTTTCGTCCTATTTGGGACTCGTCAGCTGGATGCACCTGCATCTCAGAGTTGATGTTCACTCTAGGACTCGAACCCAGTACCCTCGCTTCAAACGCCATCGCATTATCCACTTGGCCACTGAGTCCTGATAGCCACTTGCTTGTGCGATGGGGTGAGGTTTGAATTCACTTAGCAGGTACATCCAGCTGACGAGTCCCAAATAGGACGAAACGCGCGTCAAACTGGATTCCACTGCTAGCCACTATCCATCTCTGCTTACCATGCTTGTGAATTAAGATATGTCGAGGCAATACGCACAGTATGCACATATGCCAATTAGAGACTGACCAGTTGCAGTCCTAAACACATCGATGGGAAGATCCAAACAAACAATACTAAGTGAATTCAGAGAAAGATTATGATGTAACAAAGTACAGGAAGCGTCTATTCATTAATTTGATCACTATAAACAGAATTATAAAATCGATAATAATTACCGATGGGCTATAGTGAAGTGATCGTAATGAAAACGACTAGTCATATTATACTGACATTATTCAATAGAATTCTCTACATATTATCAGTCAACCAATGCATGTAATTGAGCAACCGTTCACCAATGTCTTCAGTGCACACTACTGAGGAGTCCCACAATAAGACGAAACGGCCGTCTAGTGCTTCCAGGTTTTCCATGGTGATCTAGCTTCAACTGACTCATGATTTCAACTATAAAATTACTAAAACCTCCACGAACCCCCTTCTGATAAAATATCTGAATAATAAACATTTGTCTTGAAGATCTGTATCTTCAGCAAAAATACATCATTATCCTTACTCTTATTCCAAAAGGTCTTCATGATAATGACCAAGTTAATTTTAATCCACTAGATTTTATTAGCTAAATATCAATTTCATAATTATCTTTGTCTAATTTTGTTCAGTATTCGAATCACATTCAATCTATTTTATGTATCAGATAACCTTATCTATATAGAATCTATCTTTTTTATAATCACATTCTTCAGTTATGATGTAAATGTATCATCTAATCATATCTAGTTAAATCTAAGTGAAATACAAGATTTCTAGCTAGTTAGTATATTTAAAAAATAGACTGATTTAAAATGATCATTTACTTGTTTGATTACATATATAACAATGTTACCTGTTGTCATGGTAACACGGCATGTTAGTGTTTTTGTAAGAGTTAAACAATAACAAACCATATGTACAATAAGAAAAAACTATTAAAATAGATTTAAATATGATAATTATTATTCAGTTAAAGATGAAAGTAGATTTTTATTTAATTATTATTCTGTTTTGATTGAGTTAATACAATTAAATTATCTACGCTATTATATCAAATCTGACGTTCATAATGGATGAAGATAGTGGTTACTGATGACAGTTACAATTAGCAAAATTTTAGGACATAAAAAGAACATTATTTTAGTAGTACATGCCGCTAAGGGGAGGGGAATAGTTCTTTTCATTACATATTATCTAAGTTGATTTGACCAGTTATGAGGAATGCAAATTTTACGTTATAATCTTTTAAGTGGTAAAATCCAGCAAATAAAGCAGCTAGTGAAATACTAACCCACAGATTACACAGATCAATCCAAAAACCTTTTAACACCAGTGAACTACGTTCAATGTTTTCTACGCGTCCAATTGTGACACCGAGGCTTAAAGATGAAGTACCTAGAATGACCACTTCATTTTGTATTTATCAATTCGACTGCTCCTGTGGAGCAAGTTATATTGGTCGAAGTTTTAGGAATTAACATTTTCGGGTTCGTGGACACCTCCCAGCGTGGCTAAGTAAAGGTCTGATGAAGAAAGTAAACAGCTCAATATTGGCCCATTTAGTACAAACCGGTCATAGTGCCAGTATAATCCAATCCTTTTCAATTATTTATAGGATAAGTAATTTTTTGTCAAAGTTTGTCAGGCTTAAAGTCATTCAAACGGCGGAGGCAGTAGCCATCAGGATGAAGGAACCGGAGCAATGCGTACAGAATAAATATCAGTTTTATAGTCATTATTCTCTACAAATCAACTGCATTTGAGATACGACTGAAAGTAGAATGCACTGAATGATTACTTTGTTTTGAAGCAATATTTTTCAGTAATGCACACCGACGACCCAATTATGGATCAAACTTTAGACATTTAGGTAGCAGAGTGTGTGGTTGAGTATAAGACCACTAGGTTAAGAGACAGTGGCAAAGATCTCTGGATCCAATAATTTGCTATATAAAGTAGCTCTTTTCTAATCTACTATACACTGATGCTCACCGTTAAAGTGTACCATGCTAGAATGAAGCAGCTGTTCAGGACCCTTCAGTATCCCGACGTTCTTCAAATGAAGTTATTTTGTGGTGGATACCAACTATGATATGACTTAAGAGATATTTGGTTGTTCAGATACCGTTAAAATCAATTAGCCTAAAAACTAAAAAAGCAATAAGTTTAAAGGTTAAAAAACTGTCATAAAGCTTAAAACTTCTAATCGGAATGAGAGTTTGGATGTATAATGAGTTCCATATTAAAATAACAAGAGTCCAGTGCCCACCGACTTTCAGGGTTTAGCTAATTAAATTTAGTTTGTGAAGTAAACTCTCTTAGATGGCAAAATGCATAGTATCTAAAACTTTGTTAGAAAACCGATTCGTGTTTAATAGGATGTAGACTTATAGATTTTCATGAACCTTCGATCATAGTATTTTAAATTATATAAAGCGAATCATTTATCACAATTGATAGAGATCGGTATATCTTGTTGAAAGTGGACTAGGGAAAAAGTCACAGTACTTCCAATAAACCGGTTCATCTCACGTTTTAGAAAACTAATTTTAAATACTAATAGAGATATATTTGAACGAGCCAGTGAATAAAGTATCGAATTCTGTTTTCAAGACTAAAACTTCAAAGGAATCGACATTGAATACTGAGGTGATACCTGGAATTTATGTAAAAATAGAACTTAGAGGAGATTTAATCTTAAAAAAAAATAAAGATGGCATATTATGATCAGTAAATGACAAGTACAAACCGAATAACACTAATCAAGAAAGAACTGCATATTTATCCGTAGATAAAAGCTATATAATGAGGGGGATCTTATATACAATGACTTTGCTTTTAGTTCCTCCATTTAGTTATACATTTCTTGAAGATGTAATTAAGGATATGTTTAATTATTTACACTTTTAAAAATCATTTTAACTGAACTGTGATTCCTTTAATAAAACAAAAAAATCAGTTAACACGACAGAATTTATTAAAAAAACGTCATTTCACGCGACGTTTCTGATTGTAATGGTAGACCAAACGACATTTAAACCAAAGAAGGGGTTAGTTTTCTTGACATTACAAGGTCATATTGAACACTATGATAGTAGCTTCTAGATGATTACTACTGATAGTCTAACAGGATGTTTTACTAAGCATGAACAGAGTAAAGAATTCATCAAAGAAACGCTAATAACATGCTTTCGATTGAAGGCGTCACGGAAAATGTTTGTTTATGAAGAAACGGAATGTCAAACATGATTTAGGAGCGAATTTTTCTTCGTCTTAGTAGATAATTCTGAAGAAATAAGTATAAAATTTATTTATTCGTTGATACCAATGACTATTCACCATCGAAGTATGTAGAAAATATTGTCACAGCATTACAGTTATTATTACATAATTTGTAAATTACCTTTTTATGATCTGGATCAATATAATCTAGTAATGTGTCACAAAAGTGTGAACCCATTTTCTCAAAATCCAAAGAATTGAAATGATAACCTTCTTCTAGATCATTACCAGCTGTACCACAAAACGTTGCCTAAAATGTTATGCATATTTAATAAAATAAAATACTGCATAGAAGTAATAGAATGTGCGGAATTTAGGAAATCATTTGTGAAAAATATTGTCGGTGATGTTTCTGAACTATATTTCTTTCTGAAACATTTTATTTACCATAATTATTTAGATATTGAATAATGATTTAAGTAAAATCTAACCATTACGAAGCAAATAGGAATGTAGAAAATAAGTATCTTGCTTCTACAGTCCATTCAGGTCTTGTAGTTTATTTATTTGAACACATAAATATTGGTACAAAGAGGGAAAGAATACATACGCTCTACACAAGTAACTTGATTTGTGTGTGAGCTGTGATACTCCACGGGGTGCCCAGACCGAAGCAGGTGGTTTTCTTATGGGGGTCTTCGACTTAAAGGTCTGATCCACAAGGCATTGGAGCAACGTCAGGAGATGCAGTCTCATGGTAGCCAGTGACCAACAATTGGTTCATACTCCATTTGTACCTTCAGGATACTGGAACCTATGTCCACCAATGGTTTGGAATCAGGGTTTCTCAACTTCCCTAAGTGGACCCTGCATGTCCACCAACCCGGTCAAAGCACCAGACATTCGCTTTTCGTCCTCTCAATTTGGTAAGCAACATCCCCACCTCAAGAATGCAGTGAGCAGGACTTCCCTCTCAAAAGCTGTATTAGTGTGGCCATATGAGAGCACTTCGAGGGGGAGGACTGACTCTCCTCAACCTCAGCCATATCAGGGCATTTGGGGGTATTATAATATTGTTCTTCGAGAATTTATCTCCTTAAAATCTCTTAGAATCTTATCGTGTAATTTATCAAATAGTATATAACAATATCAGGTTGATAAAAGAATATAATTTCGTATCGTATTCTTTTCAATCTGATCAGATATTCCAGCTTAAATAATGATATTCAATGTTGACAAGAATTTAGAGTTTTTGTTAGAACACTGTGAATGATTTTTGTTAAAACTGACCTAACTCAGTAAGCATTAGTCTAACGAAATACGAAGGATACAAAATCAACTTATAATTTCTTTAAAAAAACTACTTATTATCGGTAAACAAAATTTATCAGTTTAGATTATTTTCTTAAGCGATTAGTGAAGAAGGACTCACAAACAATCAGAGGAATTTTTTGAAATATAGGAATCTGTAAATTACGCTTATCTAGTCATGTACTTTTTTATCCCATGAATCATTGACCTTTAATTGATCAATAAATTACTATCACATTCTCTTGTTACTTACTTACTTACTTACGCCTGTTACTCCCAATGGAGCATAGGCCGCCGACCAGCTTTCTCCAACCCACTCTGTTCTGAGCCTTCTTTTCTAGTTCTATCCAGTTCTTGTTCATTCTTCTCATGTCTGTCTCTATTTCTCGGCGTAATGTGTTCTTTGGTCTTCCTCTTCTCCGTTGACCTTCAGGATTCCATGTGAGGGCTTGTCTTGTGACGCAATCGGGTGATTTCCTCAAGGTGTGCCCAATCCACTTCCAGCGATTCTCCCTGATTTCTTCCTCTGCTGGAATCTGGTTTGTTCTCTCTCACAGTAACTTATTGCTGATAGTGTCTGGCCATCGGATCCGAAGTATTTTGCGTAGACAGCTGTTAATAAACACTTGTATCTTCTGGATAATGGCTTTCGTACTCCTCCACGTCTCCGCCCCATACAATAGAACTGTCTTGACATTTCTGTTGAAAATTCTAACCTTGGTGTTGGTTGACAATTATTTTGAGCTCCAGATGTTCTTCAGTTGTAAGTATACTGCTCTTGCTTTGCCGATCCGCGCCCTCACATCTGCATCTGATCCACTGAGTTCATCAATGATGCTGCCCAGATATGTAAAGGTTTCCACATCTTCCAAAGCTTCTCCGTCAAGTGTAATTTGATTGGTGCATATTGTGTTGTATCGGAGAGTCTTGCTTCTCTCTTTGTTTATATTGAGACATACTGCTGCTGAGGCTGCTGCTACACTGGTCGTTTTCTCCTGCATTTGTTGTTGCGTTTGTGATAGAAGAGCCAGATCATCCGCGAAGTCTAAGTCGTCAAGCTGCATCCTGCCTGTCCACTGTATCCCGTGCATTCCTCCAGATCTTGACGTCTTCATGATCCAGTCGATCACCAGGAGAAAGAGAAAGGGTGAGAGTAAGCAACCTTGTCTAACACCGGTCTGTACCTCGAATGAGTCGGTGAGTTGTCCTTCGTGGACGATTCGGAAGTTTAGTCCATCATGGGAGTTCCGTATGATATTGATTATTTTCTCAGGCACGCCGTAGTGTCGAAGAAGCTTCCATAGTGTCGTTCTGTCCACGCTATCAAATGCCTTCTCGTAGTCGATGAAGTTGATGCAGAGTGATGAATTCCATTCGATTGATTGTTCCACAATGATCCGCAGAGTTGCGATTTGATCTGTGCACGATCTATCCTTACGAAATCCAGCTTGTTGATCTCGAAGTTGGGCGTCCACGGAATCCTTCATCCTGTTTAACAATACCCTGTTGAAGACTTTTCCTGATGTTGAGAGAAGAGTGATGCCCCTGTAGTTGTCGCACTTGCTCAGATCGCCTTTCTTTAGTATCTTGATCAGAATTCTTTTTTTCCAGTCTATTGGTACTTGTTCTTCTTCCCAAATCTTACTGAAGAGGATGTGGAGTATCTTGGCAGTTGCTGCTACATTTGCTTTCAGTGCCTCCGCCGGGATGTTGTCTGGTCCCACTGCTTTGCCGCTCTTGATTTGTCTAATGGTCATGCTGATCTCTTCAATTGTTGGTGGGCCAGCATCGATTGGGAGGTCTGTGTGTGCTGCTTCGATGTTGGGTGGGTTCAGTGGAGTTGGTCGATTCAAGAGTTCCTTGAAGTGTTCTACCCACCTGTTTCGTTGTTCTTCAATGTTGTTGTTTAGTTTGCCTTCCTTGCTTTTCACTGGTCTTTCTGGCTTACGGTAATTTCCAGCAAGTTTCTTTGTTGTATCATATAGTTGTCTCATGTTTCCCTATCTTTCAGCATTTTCCGCTGTCATCGCTAAATCTTCCACATATTTACGTTTGTCGGTTCTGATGCTCCTCTTCACTTGCTTGTTTGCCTCTGTGTATTTTGCTTGTGCCTTGGTTTGTTCTACTCTGGTTCGGCTGATATTGATTGCTACCTTCTTGTTCCTCCTTTCTTCAATTTTATCCAGTGTACCAACAGTGATCCATTCCTTGTGATGGCGCTACTTTTGGCCCAGAACCTCCTGACATGTTGAAACGATTGCCTCCTTTTCTTGTAGTCCAAAATAATTGTAGTTTGAGCATGAATTTCGTATTTCATTATCCCCAACCTGAATATAACAGTTTGGTATAACTGTATTTTTGTCGTTCCTTACGTTTTATTGTCCCGTTTTTCGTCTATCTATTCGTGTACCTTTCCGAATTAGTTGAATCAGAAATAAATCGGATACTACTTCCTCATACAATAATCTTCACTTTTAGCTTGTCAATCAGTTACGTTATTATTCAGCTATAGGATTGTACTTGTCGCCATGCCCTCAGTGCTCTTTAGTCTTGAAGTTGAATTTGCGTGTTTGAGTCACAAAGTTTATCTCAGTAACCCAGAGGATGAAGGCCATGAACTAGTTTCTACCTGTAAGTGGCTACATATAGACTAGTCAGAAGATAACGTGGTCACACCAGGTTTATATTTCAAAAAATGTGATCAGAAAGAATTATCTACAAGCGAAGGATGTCAAATAATACGGAGGTACTATGTTTTGTAATATTTTAAAAATCGACAGAACAGAATATGTCTGATGAAAATGGCAATGTACTTTATTATCTATCAAACACAAAAGTAGTCAGTGATGATTACTTCCTTATATTATTTTAGATGAATGAATTAACAGAACGTTTTTACAAGGTATCCTTGTTTAGTGTAAGGCAGAGATTTGAACACTACTAGTTAGCTGTGGTAAAATCAATAACAAATATCTGTGTGCAACAGACTTCTAGTTTGTGTTATCTAAAAGTATTAGCGTAACTTGAAAAATAACTACTAACCCGTTTGAATAATAACACACAGATGTCAAAGATGGGAGGCGAAACTCGACTCTCACGTCTTCGTCGTGCCTCCTGGATCATGGGGCTGTTTCCATAAACTAACGTGAGCGGTAACCCGGGTGGTAGAGATCGGGCTAATCACTCTCTCTACCTATACCCACAAATGATTATGAAGGCTACAAAGAATAAGTGAGTCTGCCAAAAAAATAAAAATATGAAAAAAGAAGAAAAAAAGATCTACCCAAAAAGAAAGAATAAATGAGTCTGCCCGAAAAAAGACGGAAAGAAAGATATAATGATTCTGAGTAAACAATGCAAAAACAGCTATTGAGCTCCGGTAATTGTACCGTGCTTCGATGTAGCATTCTTCTCCAAAAGGGCTCACTAGGCTTCACCATGTTTCTATGGCTGAAAGGGGTGAAATGTCAAAGAAAAACTAGTTGTTTTGAGTTTCTTTACAATAGCTTACTCCGTAATTGGTTTTTCGGAAAGGAAATAATAAATTTCCATTTTATTCTCTGCAGTTAACCAGTTGAGACCAGGACGTAATAAAGAAGAATATTTTGAACTAAAACTCCCCGTAATAAAAGCAGGTATGAATACCAGTATTGGGAACAAACCATTTATAAATCTCTGTTACTGGTGACTAAGGGTAAGATATTGTTGAACATATCAGTAAAATAATTATGTGGAAAATTTCTTGCTTCCTCTGATTATTTCAGCATTTTTGAAGAAATGAAAATTAGATGCTTGGATGTCTCTGAAAACGCAATTGGTTTCTGAATGTGATTCTACTTGCAGTGATAAAAAAGATCTTAGATATAGATTTATCTAGGCCCGATGGAGATTGATTAAGATTGAACAATTAAAAAATAGAAATTTATTATGAATAATGGATAGATTTTCTTTTCTTTTATCAGGCTTTAGTATTTATGTGTGTCATTGGTTTTTATGGCTAAATTAATGATAACTTTTTACATTTCAAGAAACACGAGTACAAATTATCGGATGTACCAATATTTTTAACTGTAAATAATGATGAACATTTAGTAAGCATGTTCACGAACGCCATATAACACAGCGAAAAAGTTTACGAAAGTATTTACAGAGCTGAAAAACGCCGATTTATTTAGTGTTACAGATTAAATCAAAAAATGAACTCGATGGTAATCATGCAAATAACATCAGTATATTAAAAATTATTTAGTATGATCTTGAAAATTAGTCAAGAGGAAAGAGAATTACATAAAAGCACGATTGCAATCTACTACATAGCCTACAAATCCCGGTTTCTATAAACGCTTTTCATGGTTTTGAGAGAATACTATATATATATATCAGTAAAGTATTCATGAATATGGGAAGTAATGCAAGTTAATGATGATTTACACAACGTGTAGTTCTTATTAATTTGATTTTAATAACATGTACTCTTATGTTTTTAGCATTACACTTACTTCTAGAGTATAACTATTTACAATTCCTTCTCTCCACATCACAATACGTCCAGTTCCTTCTTTTTCTTTTTGCACCGCAAATTTACACTTTTCATAATTGAACTATAATTTATTGAAAAACATGAATAATTTTTAATGGAATGTTAAAAAGACATGACTTTAAATAACAGAGAAGATTGCGAAATGAAAAAAAATTGTAAAAATCACAACGAATGTAAACTGTAATTACCAAGTATACTTTTGAACGTGGAAGGTAGGTTTACGGCCTGTTTTTGGGACATAATTATAAATACTATGTGGTAAGTTAAGATAACGAGTCAAAATTTATGTTAGCAGATTATGGAACGTCAGTATTGATCATGTTTGTCTTAGATAAGTGTTGCAATAAGTTTCTTCAAACATTTGGCAAACCTGAGAATTACTATTGTATTTCAGTGTGTGTCAAATAGTGAAATCTAGTCAATTGACTCAAGTTACAACGAAAACAAAATAGTTTTTTATTATAATTTTCTCCAAATAAAAAATCAGTTTGTACACAAAGTGAAACACAGTATACTAGTCACAATTGATTGATCACTGGGTGGTGATCAATGTGGTGCGTGTCAAGTCCTTCTTAGTGCTGATCGAATGCTATCGATCAAGTTGCAATGCGGCCACTAGTCTAGGTGGCTCGACACTGCGTGCACTATGTTGAGATAAGATAGTGGTTGGAGGTGGTCGACAGGAAACCCTGGACCCGGGTCTCGTGCTACTTGGCACTCGTCAGCAAAGTGTACCTGTAATCTTGAGGGAACTGGTGCCCCCCGACGGATTCGATCCCGTATCACTCAGCTTCACAGTCAGAGACGTTACCACTGAGCTATCCGGGCCGCGACTAGTCAATATAGGTTCAACTCCTATATTGGAATGAACTATTTCTAAACAAAATCAATACAAGGTTTCTGGTTATCGCACATTAGAACTTATGTATGTGACAGAATAATAAGGATTTTATGGATAGATTTTTCTTTTGTGTATGTTTCAATGTAGTTCTATTCGTTTATGAAATATTCATCAATGAAATGCAAAATTTTATAGTGTGACACTATGTCTAATTTATTATTTGACATTGAAAATTACCTTAGCGTAACTTGTGACGTCACGTATAAACAAAGAATAGCATAGCAACAGTTAAAGATTTATAAATTCATAACTCAGATTTAATGATGACTTGAAAAATTGAATAATAGTCTACAGTTTGTTTAAATAATCATTAAAAGAATGAAAGCTCTGGATATCTGTTTCGTGCTAGCATGGAATTCTCTCAGTTGTATAAATCTACAACTGTAAGAGGGGTTCACGAACTTAGGGATTCATAAAGAGTTTTTAACCCCCAATACAATGAGTATGTTCGGTTTTAGTCCATAGACAAATCGAGCAATATTATTTTACATAAACACTCAACACTCAGACTAAGTCTGACCTCGAAATGCTTAATCATTTTTTATCTAACAATCACGAGGATGTACCCAATTATAAACATGAATAATTTCTCAGTGATTCATTTTATCATATTTTTACTGATTACTAGTCAGACGTCATATTGTCCTCTTTCCTAATTAAACGAATTATTACCTATACTTCATGCGAATTTTGTTGATTTAAATAACACGAATGCAAATTTTATCAACCATACAGTTTGACTATTCTAACTATGGCCACACCAAGGCTGTATTTGACAATTAAGGGAGTTATTTTGAAAGCTATCTTCATTTAAATTATATACTTCAGAGTTATCCTCTAATGTTAATGTCCATGAGACAAATATCACCATCAGTACTGGATATCGGTCATGGAGTATCATGAGTTGATTAGGATTAGATATGCTAATCTTTGGGTGATGACTGAGTGACATGAAGGTTAAGCAAACACCGCAAGGTCTTAAATCCTCAATTTATTTCCTCGTTCGTTCTTGGATGCGTAAAGGTGAAGAGTCTCATATTAGGATAAAACATGTCTAATGGATTCTGGTTTTCATTGATTATTCAGCAAAGGTTAGTCCGTTATGCAAAACCTCTAGCTTAACAATCCTCAAGCCACCCTAGAATAAATATTCTATCAGTAGCATTATAGAAACTTGATTAAAGCCTGCTCTTTCAAAATGATGAGACATAAATTATTGGTCGGATTCTATTTAGTTTCAAGCATTTCATTATAAAGTGTTAAACTTTGCTGAATATGAAGAATATTATGTAAACACAAACGAGTTGATGAGAGAACTCTAGTGTTTTGGTATTAACCACTTCAAATTAGAAATAAAAAAATAGTACCATTCGACCTTAAATTATCCAGCGATTGATCAATCAGAACTGTTTTAAAAGTAATCAACTTACAATATAAATGTTGAAGATAACGTACATTTTTCCTGAGTCAATTTATTTTTTATCATGTGACATTCCTCTATCACCTGTTTTCACTCTGTATCATAAATCAATCTTATTGAAGAGAAGAACTCGTGTGATGGGGATTACTTAAAGGCCCGTCTAGTATTTTAGTAACAGAAATAAAAGTCAAAAGATGTGATTAGATTCTATGGGCGATATTGACCAGTTCATTTTTAGATATTTTACGCTTTTATAACTTACATGGAGATCTGTTTATGTATTATATGGTTGTCATGTTATCTACTTCAGAAGCATAACCTCCAATGTTACCATATAACAAAGAATCATTATGTGTCAAACGTGTGATATCATATCACTTAAAAAAGCAAACAAATATAACTCACCAATTCTGGTATATTTTTACTTAACATAGCAGGAAATATACGTGAATAATACTGATTTTCAAGGGTTTGACTTTTACATCCATATATAAACATTTGTTGCTTTCGACTATGTCCATGTAGATCACAATAAACAACAACTTCATACTGTTTCATGACACTTTAACATATATAGAGATGAAAATGAATTATAAATTTAAACACTAAATAATGTTAAATGAAAGGAGTGAAATGTACTGAAATTATTCAAACGAAAGCCATTGATCCAAATATGAATAATACATAGTTAAATGTAGCTGCCTGTAAAATAGGGAGTAAAGATAGATTACAACATGGAACTCAGCGACTTCTGAAATAAGCAGTGCCTTGGTACCATTGCACTTTGTACTAATTAACTTCAGCATAAATGAATTGTTTATCTATGCCAAGTGTTATGTCCTATAGCTCGTCAATTGTCACGTGATAAAATCGCCAGTTACAACACCGACTTATAAGATCTTGGCTCTGTGCCAAATAAATGACGCATTAACCAGCACAACCAGCCTAGAGTCAACTCTGAGTCTTTATTGGTTCTCCTCACCTAGCCATGCGTGTTTGAGTCCAGAACACAATTTCAGCTTCCTCTGTATGAATCAGGTATGTCAGACATAAGTAGTTTATATACAAGCAAGTCAGACCGCATCATACCATAAAATATAAAATAAGTATACAAGATCAAGCTAAAATATGGCTGTGAGTGTGAAAAACTGTAACTAATAGATTGGGATTAATAAGAATAGTAAATCATATAATAGTAGCCAGTAGGTCAAATGAAAAGAAATACAAACATATATAGTCTGGTTACTCAATAATCATTCCATGTCCATCTATTCATCCAACTTTCTGACTACTTACTCAACATTCAAACTTAGCATTTGATTTTTAATTTCAATGGAAATGTAATTCACAGATAGCGAGTTGAGAATATATTGCTCCTTCAAATTCTTTGAATCCTCTTATTAAATGCTTATCATAAAAGAAGTCTACCATACTCAAGGAAACATTTCTATTAATCGTGACTGCGTTACGGGTTGAATCTAAGCTTATAATTGATTGAACGGTGATTATCCTTCGAATTATTAGCATTTTATTTATATATTGAGGAAATAATAATTAGTAATACCATTTTTCCCAAAACATCAATATATTTCATTAACAGTAGACGGGGTTTTTGGAAGAAAGCATGGTGAGATCGAATAAGATAGAATGTGTGCAAATATTTACATTTTGTTGTATCCCGTGGAGAATTATGAATGGTAACTTTGAGGACTATTTATGGACCAATATGATATGTATATTTCCTACTGTATAATTGTTAGGTAACTTAACTATTCATATTCATTTTCCTTTTATTAAGAGCTTTATTTTGACCCATAGACTATTACTGTACGATTGACCATTCCTGAGTTATTATCAGTCAACTAATTACTGTTCCCCCTATTCACAGGCACATTTGGCTAAATATTGTACAAATTTTATTTTCTATTTTATGGTACGATGTGGTCTGTTTGACTGCTATATAAACCCAGTATGTTTGTGAATAATGATTCATATTTCAGAGGCTGTTATTGGTGTTCTGGACTTAACTGACTGGGCTAGGCTGACAGCAAAACTGACAAGTACTCAAGACTGTTCATACGGCTTTTATGTATCATTGGGCGATCAATAAATTCACTGCTCTCCAATTGGGCTATCATATCACTCATACATAACCAGCGCACGCACACAGGCAATCGATATAACACATTTCAAACTATTAATTTGGCGAATAAATCAGACTGAAAAAATGAATGACTTACTTTATAATCATTTGTTTAGTATGCCAAATTGTAGGAAAGAAACGTTTTAAACTAGATGTATATTTTCGATTTAAATCACAACCTGATAGTGAACAACGATAATTTCCAACAATTACACCATCAGGATTTAACATTGGAACTAATTTGAATACAAAATTAGATCTTAATGCCTATTCAAAAAAAATTGAAATACAATGATAATTATTATTTATCATTCAAGTATTTAAAGTTTAATAGACTGCAGAGCTTGATGAGAATATTCTTCTTTACTGAAACTGAAGAATAGGGTTTGAGAAAGTAGACTACCTAAATAACAGCAATATTTACACTAAACAAGTAACATCTGATGATGCCATTCTCTTCCCAATTATATAGATGAGATCATGAGTCAATTGAAGCTAAACCATCATGGAAAACCTGGAAACACTGGACGGCCGTTTCGTCCTATTATGGGACTCCTCAGCAGTGCGAATCCCAATTACATTGACATTATTCATTAATTATACAACATTAGGGAAATTGAGAGAAATGCACCTAGTGAACTGATCTCTAACTGATCGTCGAAATTCGTAAAACCATGGCAAAGATAAAAGATCTTCATTGACAATAAATTTAAAGATTCTAAAAACAGAAGTCAAAAATGTTTGGAAAAAACACTTCTTTGAATCTTCTCTATTCAACCTATTATTCGTCGATTTGTCTGGGAAAAGCTTAACTTCAGTGTGTATTCATAAGCTTACATGCTCTTTTTGATGCAAGTTATACTGGCTACAAAAATCAACTTCTTAAAATGTATCCCCAAAAGTTACCCTTTTCTCCTTACCATCAAAAAGGTGTATGAAAGCAAGTCTATAGCTCAATTCTTGAACAGCTTACAGATTCAGGTCATGTTACTTCAATAAAATCATCTTTCGAAGTTGTTACTAATATGAATTGATTTCAAATTTAGACTTCGTGTAACTCTTAGAGCGTTGTATATGGATAACATAAAAAGGACAAAAAATATTTGGTTATAACAATAAATAATCAGTATGAAATCTTTCGGTAAACTTATGATAATACACTTAACAATGTTTGTTTGAATCTTCCCATTGATGATTAGGACTGCAACTGGATTCCACTGCTACGCATTATCAATCTTTGCTTACAATGCATGTGAATTAGGGCTATATCGAGGCAATACGCCCAGTATGCACATATCCCAATTAGAGACTGACCAGTTTCAGTCCTAAACATCAATGGAAAGGTTCAAACAAACAATACTAAGTAAATTTCAACTTCACCCCATCATACAAGCAAGTGGCTATCAGGACTCAGTGTCCGGGTGGATAACGCGATGGCGTTCGAGCCCCAGAGAGAACACCAACTCTGTGATGCAGGTACATCCAGCTGATGAGTTCCAAATAAGACGAAAAGTGCATCTTGGATTCCACTGCTAGCCACTATCGATGTTCGCTTATACGATAATACAGCCTAACTCGAATTAAAATTAATTCTTCATGTTGTGATGAGTAGATTTCGATTTCTCATAGCCTAAACAATATTTTGATAAGCAAGAAACGTTTAAAATGAAATGGGACTAGAACATTATATGGGAAGACGACCAGTAACTGTATTTCGCGAACTATTCTTTATTTAAAAAAGAAACTCAAATACACAGGTATTACAGTGATAGCTTGAAATCGTTAGATTATGATTTATGTGAGATTATTCTTTGTGGAATATTTATTTAAACTTGTTCAACCTACATTAAGGAAGATGATTATGTTGGTAAAATCTCAGAGATTGAATTATCAGTCTAATATCTTGATTAGCAGACAGGTTCAGGATCTTTTAAGGAAATCTAATCAAACATCAAAATGATCAAATGTGAATAAATGGTTCACCGGTTAACCGATTACTTTACAAAATAATTGGGCTTACATTAACTCGGCACCCAAATACTTTGTAACTAATAGTTTAAATTTAGGTAAAAACTCTTATAAATTGTTTAGCCGATGTTCACATTAACTTTTTATATATGAACGAAATTTGTTAAGCGGATAAAAATAAAATTACATACCTTCGCATCTGGATCCGTACTGATAAGAAAATCCATTAAACCTTTCATCATCCAGCTACCTTGTGTTTCACCAGGATGTACACGTGCTGTAATTACAACGCAACGTTTCTTCTCCGTTGGCTTGTTATTATTATTGTTATCATCAGTAGGTTGTGCTTGAAAACCTGATTGTGACTGAACAAACACACTTAAGTCAATAAATGAAATAGATCAATGTAGCGCAATATATATTTATACTGTAAACTATAATAAGTTATTTGTGCACAAATAGCACTAATATTTTCACAAATTTCCAAGCCAGAAGATGGTAGCATCAGTTACTGTTATGCTGATAAGTTCATCTGATGAATTTAAAACAAACCATGTGTTTATGGTTTTTCATTCTGAGTCAAACTGTAAGTTTAAAATGAAGTGTAAATAATTTATTAAAAAGAGACTCCTGCCTTAACCCACCTTCTTTCAATATAAATAATTTCCTACACTTAATCAGAAAGTATCAGAATAGTTTCTTATTAAATATGATAACACCAAACAAGTATTTCGGTTGTTTTAAGTGGTAACCGGAAATGTTATTCTTTTTGAGAATGCTTTATGGATTTATGAACTCAATTCTTTCTCTTTTAATTTTACCTAACATATATTTATTAGTTAAATTCCTGAGTCTATCTAAGTTACATCACCATCGATAACCAGAAAGCATTAGACGACTGTTTCGTCCACATGAGGAATCATGGATGCGCACTGCTGAGGAGTAATATACTACGTATTAAATGATGATCTAACTTAGATCGACTCATGGATTCAACTATTAAATTTACTAGGATCTCCACAAACCCCCATTCTGATATATTTATTAGATTATTATTATTAACCTTGTTATGGTAATCACTATTCCAGATATTACGTAACAAACAACATTTATAAACATCTGATTTATATAATTCAAATGAATATTAAGACAAAATTTTATACATAGAAAACGTTTTGAGTAGTTTGGATGGCTGCAATCCATTTTCATGAAAATAAATACTTACACTTATTATAAATTATACATATCAGACCTCAGGCATGTTTACATATGCATATATATAATTATCAGAATGAGGGTTTGTGGAAATTTTAGTACCTTAATGGTTGAGTTCATGAGTCGATTTAAATTAAACCCCCCTGGAAAACCCGGAAGAACTGGACGGCCGTTTCGTCCTAGCATGGGACTTCTCAGCAGTACGCATCCACCATGCCAGGTTTTTCAGGATAGTCTAGCATAAACCGAATCATAAATTCAACTATATATTTACGTTTCCTATATACTCTGGAATATAGTTATATGATGCATGGTTGCCTTATTGTCTTTAAACTATAAAATATATGCAATATTTTACAAATGTAGAGATATCTCTATGAGTTCTAGTGGGAAGAAGTAACCAATAGAGTTCAACCTGGTCCGTTGGGACATATCAACTCATTGAAGACATTGGTGAACGGTCACTCGAAATCGTGGATTGGTTGAAGTTAGACATTAACACCGTTGGATGCTGGCTCAGTGATCTATCGGTTAAAGGCTGTGGCTCGAGAATGGTAGGTCCTGGGTTCGAATTTCGCGAGTGCGGGGTCGTTGATGCGCACTGTTGAGGAGTCCCATTATAGGACGAAACGGCCGTCCAGTGCTTCCAGGTTTTCGATGGTGGTCTAGCTTCAATTGACTCATGATTTCAACTATGAAAATACTAAATTCTCCACAAAACCCCATCTGATCTAAAATGTAGAATAGACAAATTTGATTGATAAGACTTCAGATGCTTATTTGAAATTTTCTTAGAATTTCTTGTTCATTTTCTGACCTGATGTGTAAAACAATATGTAAATCATCGATACATTTGATTTTATTCGGGAATTGTGGTAAAAATGGAAATGAAATTTGAACGGTTAGTCACGTATTAAAACTCAAAATTTATAATCAGATAAACAAATATGTACACGATAAGAAAAGATGGACAGTGTCTAGCAGTGGAATCCAGGATGCGTGTTTAGTCCTATTTGGGACTCGTCAGCTGGATGTACCTGCATCTCAGAGTTGATGTTCACTCTGGGACTCGAACTCAATACCTTTCGCTTCAAACGCCATCGCCGCTGTTCATCTTTGCTTATAATGCTTGTGAATTAAGGCTATATTGAGGCAATACGCACAGTATGCACATATGCCGATAAGAGACTGACCAGTTTCAGTCCTAAACATCAATGGGAGGATTCAAACAAATAATATCAAGTGATATATGTACACTGCATAAATTAGTTCTTGCAATGGTAATAATACGATTTGATAACCTTCAACATTGTAAATGAAGTTTAATATAAGAAAGGGTTTAAAATATTTAGAGAAAATCTAACAAGTTGTCTAGCTTAGGTGAAGTTCATTAGAATTAGGTGAAATAGGAAATGTGAACGGTATAAGTTAAAATTAGTGGCTAAAATGCATCTCACTGGTTGTGATACTTAGTTACCTTTAATTTGATCAGGGTCACTTGTTCATAACTTGAATCAAACAGATGCTCAGTGGTTCATGGGTACTTGAAAAAATATACAGCTCACCCCAATTCATGATAAAGTTAAGTTTTAAGATGTTTCCTATTTTAAAATTCACCTAATTTTACGTATCTTACACCAAAATGTCTCTTTCCCCAGAATACGTATTATGAGGACTTATGCATGTCAGCTCGATGATCTAGAGGTTGAGCGTGTGCATGTAAGACCGAACGTCCTGGGTCGGGTTTCCGAGTGCAGGGACGTGAATATGCATTGCTAAGGAGTCCCATAAGAAGACGAAATGGCCATCCATTGCTTACAGGTTTTCAAAGGTAGTTTAACTTAGATCAGTTCATGATTTCAATGAAATACATCAATCTCTACAACCCCTTACTGACAAATGAATGTAACTATAAAGCCTGTTTTATTAAGATAGTACCTACTCAGTTATTTGGTGGTAATGTAATAAGTCCCTGAATATGTTTTGTATATTAAAACGTATGAAATTTAACCAAGAACAAGTTCAGTGTACAATAAAACACATCACTAACCTTATTCATAAGTTGATCAACATTGTTATTATCATTACTATTACTATCATTGCCATTACATTCATCATAATCATCTGGCTCTGTAATGGTTAATAAAGGTACTGGATTGCTAGCTAATGTATAACAAAGGGTTGTTTGATGACATATTCTTTTAATTGACGAATTTAATGTTAATTTATTTAAATATTCTTGAAGTTGGGTATATGTGTATGGATAACATGCAGCGAAGTATACAGTATCATTTGGATAAGGGAATTTGAATTTCCATGTTAATGAATAAGTATGAGGTAATATAGATGTATCATCTTTTTGTGGTTTGTTTTTGAACTGCAGTTTATTGTCAGCCGATTCCATATATCTATAATTTTAAAGAAAATACGTTATTCTAGTGAGGCAGTATAAATGGAAGGAAGTATGGGAAGTATACTTTTTTAAATGATAGGATTCTTTACAATAAAATACATGACTTTATTGTACTAACTAGTTTCCTGTTGATTTCAATCCTGTAGTATGTTAATATTGTTAATAAGTGTAAAGGATTTACACTACAATCATTTTAGTGGTCTAGTAGTTAAGCGCCCGCGCGCGAGACTTATAGGTCCTGTGTTCGAATCTCGCGAGGCGGGACCGTGAATGGGCACTTCTGAGGGGTCCCACAATAGGACAAAACGGCCATTCAATGCTTCCAGGTTTTCCATGGTTGTCTAGCTTCAATTGACTCATGATTTCAACGACATAAAAATTATTAATATCTTCACAAAACCTCCTTCTGATACAATCATTATATTGATCATAAAGCAATTGATAAACCACTAAAGTACATATATTTTATGTAAATTTAGCGCATAAATCATAGAAAACTAATAAAAGAATATTTCACCAATATGTGAATTTATGAAAGCAACATAAAAGTGATAGTTTAAACGAACGCTGAAAAAGAATTATTTGACGAAATATCAATTGCATTAAAAAATTAAAAAGTTTAAACTAACAACTACCTAGACTTTAAATGTTTGATTTGTTTGGTTGCTCACACATGTTACCCTTCGTGAAGGAGCATAGGCTACAGACCAGGATTCTACAGTCAAGTCTATATTTGGCTCTACTTTCCAGTTGTTGCTATTGATCCCTCTGATTCGCGAAAAAATATGCTTTTCGGTCAACCACTTTTCCGTTTACCTTCGGCATTCCGAGTTGGAGCTTGGGTAGTAATGTTGGTTCATGGTTTCCACAATATGTGTTCTATCCACCCCTAACATCTTTGGTTAATTTCCTCTTCAACTCAAAAAGGGTTTGTTCTCTCCCATATTAGTTTGTTCTTGATGGTATCCGACTAACAGACATTCAGTATTTTACGTAGATAATTGTTTATAAATACTTGTTCTGTTTTCATGATGGTTGTAACAGTTCTGCAGGTTTTAACTCCGTACAGTAGAACAGTCATAACGTTTGTATTGAAGTTTCTGACATTGATGTTATCTGATAGTTGTTTTGAGTTGCATATGTTCTTCAGTTGTGAGAATGCCGCCCTTGCTTTACCGATCCTTGCCTTTACAACCCTATCAAATCCACCATGTTCATCGTTGTTACTACTGACCACGTACGTAAAGCTTTATGTGTGGGTTAGTGTTCCCTGCTACACACGCTTCTGCTACACTAGTCATCTTCACCTGAATTTGTCGGTACATATGGGATAGAAGAGCTAGGTCATCTACTTTCTAGCTTCATCCAAGCTTCACCCAAGGTATTCATAATCCAATTTACCGCCAGAATAAAGAGAAAAGGAGGGGGTAAGCAGCCTTGCCTGATTCCGGTCTTCACTTGGAATGCATCTGTCAGACGTATTTCATTTATTCGTGACCAACAACGAGTATAAAGAAGAGGACAGTTTTGCTTTCTGGTGTTTATCAACTAATAGACGGTTAACAACTGTAAAATTGTAAAGAATCATTAACTGACGATTTCTCACTGCGTTCAGTGAATATGTGAATCAAGACTTCTAAGTATTGTTTTAAAAACTTTCAGGTTCTTCAATCAAACTTCTTTTTGATACTTCATTAATCTGATTTGGATTTCTATCATTTGAAACATAATTGGAAGTCCTCAGAATTTACTTACTTCAGCCTCCTTGTCTTTCTTCGATCAACAGAGTTATTTGTTCAGACGATTTTTTGAAACTATGTTCATCACCAACTATCGATAAATTCAATAAGGGGTGAAAAAGCATAATATACAGGGGGGGTTGAAGTTAGTCTTGAACTTGACTTATACTTATGGTCATAGCGGACTACATTAAAACCCTTGGTCCACTTTATAAGATCTGTTTGTTGTCGAATGGTTTCTATAAATAGCATTCAACACTACATGAGTCCTCAAATTTTACCTAAAGTGTCATAGAGCCTCATTTATCTATTCAATATGCAGAGTTATACACAAGAATAAATTTAATATAACAAGACATTGTACAAAGGAATTGAAAGTCATTAAAAGGAATAAATATCCAATTGATCCTATAGAACCTTCTATCTCTTTTTTATTAATAATGATGAAAATATAAACATTGACTAACTTTGTTTGATAATAATTTATATCACTACCAACGCGTCGCCAACCAATACCAGTTAATTTAGCCATTTTCTCACTGTACATTAATGGTCTCATACCTTGTGAAAATAAACTAGTAGACTGTAAATTATAAGTAAAATTTAAAAAAATAGGATTAATTTTTTTCCATCAGGTAATTCATTTTCATATTGTCTCACTCTCACTCTCTGTCTAGTTGATTTATTAATGTATAAGAAATAATATGAGTTATTTTATAAGTGCTTTCAAGGTTTTCCATAGTGATCTAGCTTCAATCGATTCATGGAATTAAATTATCATTTTTATGAACAATTCACTTCTGATAGTGTAATGTAAGCCCTCAAATACCCTGGTACCACCGAGAGTGGGGAGAGTCAGCTATCCCTCTCGAAATGCTCTCACATGGTCACGTGTATACATTTTCTGCCAGAGAAGTCCTACTCACTGTCTTCTCGAGACATTACTATTGTTTACGAAAGTGAGAGGACGAAAACCGGACGTTCGGCGCCTTAACCGGGTTGATGGACATGGAAAGTTCACCTGAGAGTGTTGGAAAACCCTGATTCCAAACCAATGGTGCACATGGGCACCATGATCCTGAGGCAACAAATGGCTTATGAATCAATCGTTGGTGATGGGCTACCATGGGAATGCATCTCCTTACAATCCTCCACTGCCTTGTGGATCAGATCTTAAGGTCAAAGGCTCCGAGTGTGGCCCTCTGAGAAAACCAGATGCTTCAGTTTGGGCACCTGAGCAGTATCACAGCCCTCACACAATTCAAATGAGATTTGTGTAGCGCATATATATATATATATCTGGTGCCCCTTGTACCAATATTTATGTGTTTAAATAAATAAACAATCAATTAATTAATGTGTAGGTTAGATAATTTTTAGTATTACTTTAATATATTTTCAAACGTAATTGTTGGAATCCTGTAATGGATAGCAAGGATAATAAGTTGTACTATTTATGTTTTATTTTTGTCAACTATTCTTTATCATATAGGACACATATCGAATACATATTTTATGAACAACATTGTGCTAAAGATTTGTATATTGAAAATATAACTGTACTTTTTTGAAAGTTTACATCTTGGAGATTGTTAGTTATGTTCATAACTAGCCAATCAAATCGTTGTTTAAGTACCAAGCTTATCAATCTGGTATGATGTGTTTGTAGACCATCCCTGTTGCATGTGACCTGCTAATTGAAGTATTAGTGTTACTCATAATTTTTATTGATTTCCATAAGACACGGAATATTGTTCAAAACGTTGTAATATTTAGTTTATCCTACAGATATTCTACTAGAACTGTAAACGTGTTACTGGCAACCACAGAGTCTATATGAAAGCTATAGTCAGAACATGGGCTTTAAAGTTGCCAGTATCACGTTTACACTTCTAGTAGAATATGTGTAGGACAAATTAAATCATATAGAGATGTTTTATGACTATTGAATAAAGAAAACTCCATTACACTTATGATAAAAGGAAAGTTCACATGTCTTATAACTTTGATAGTATAACAGATGAAAACTATACAAATATCAAGCTTCTACTTTATTGTACTTTAGTACTTATAATACACTGAATTGATGATGGAGATATTACTTTACATTGGATAGTATATTAATTCAACGATATAAATATTGTCCAGATCAAAACGAGATTACAGAGATAACAATCGATTATAATAAATGCAAGAATAAAAGCTATTAATCAAAAGGTTTTGGTTATACTCTTTTCAACATCCACGGTTTTATAAAAATTAACTTTATAACCATCATATATTAAAACTCTATTGAATCATTTACTTTGAACGATCATTATTGTTAAACACGGATAGATATACTTGTGAAATCCAATTGTAGTACAATGAATACCTTTCTGGCACAATATTCCCACACAAACGCATACACAAAGCTACATGGATCTCACCAGACCACACCACAGAGAACCAGATAGATCACATATGTATCAACAAAAAATTCCGAAGATCAATGGAAGATGTGAGAACCCGGAGAGGAGCTGACATAGCTTCAGATCACCACCTGGTTGTGGCCAAGATGAGACTGAAGCTTAAGAAACACTGGAAAACTGGACAAACAGCACTACAAAGGTTTAATACAGCCTTCCTTCGAGATACTGACAAGCTCCATGAATTCAAGATAACTCTCAACAACAGGTTCCAAGCTCTACAGGATCTACTGAAAGAACAAGAAACTACTTTGAAGGACAACTGGAAAAGCATAAAAGAAGCACTAACTTCAACGTGTCAGGAGGTTCTTGGTCCTAAGAAGCATTATCACAAGGAATGGATGTCTATGGGAACCCTGGAAAAAATTCAAGAAAGGAAGAACAAGAAACTAGCAATTAACAACAGCCGAACACGAGCAGAGAAAGTCAAAGCACAAGCAGACTACGCAGAAGCAAACAGGGAAGTGAAGAAAAGCATTAAAGCCGACAAACAGAAATACATGGGAGAACTAGCAACGACGGCGGAAAAAGCTGCAAGAGAAGGGAATATGAGACAACTATATGATACAACGAAGAAATTGGCAGGGAGATATAGTAAACCAGAGAGACCAGTCAAGGACAAAGAAGGAAAGACAATCAATGAGATTCAAGAACAGAGGAAAAGATGGGCAGAATACTTCGAGGAACTGCTGAATAGACCAGCCCCATTGAATCCACCGAACATCGAAGCAGCCCACACAGACCTTCCAATAGATGTCACTCCATCAACGATCGAAGAAGTCAAGATGGCCATCAGACAAATCAAAAGTGGGAAGGCGGCAGGACCTGACAATATACCAGCAGAAGCACTGAAGTCAGACATTGAAATAACTGCAAACATGCTTCACCTTCTATTCAAGAAGATTTGGGAAGAGGAACAAGTTGTAATCGACTGGAAAGAAGGATATCTCATCAAGATACCAAAGAAAGGAGATCTGAGCCAATGTGAGAACTACAGAGGTATCAGTTTGTTATCAGTACCAGGAAAAGTTTCAACAGAGTGCTGCTGAATCGGATGAAAGACGCAGTAGACGCCGAACTTAGGGATCATCAGGCTGGATTCCGTAAGGATCGGTCGTGCACAGACCAGATTGCGACACTACGGATCATCGTGAAACAGTCAGTTGAGTGGAACTCATCACTATACATCAACTTCATTGACTATGAGAAAGCGTTTGACAGCGTGGACAGGAGAACATTATGGAAACTTCTTCGACACTATGGAGTTCCTGAAAAGATTGTCAACATTATCCAAAACTCATACGATGGACTACAGTGCAAAGTGGTGCATGGAGGACAGCTGACAGATGCATTTCCAGTAAGGACCGGAGTCAGACAAGGCTGTCTACTCTCCCCATTCCTCTTCCTTCTAGTGATTGACTGGATTATGAAGAATTCGACATCTGAAGGGAAATACGGACTACAATGGACTTCTCAGAATCAATTGGATGATTTGGACTTCGCAGATGACCTAGCCCTCCTCTCTCATACACACGACCAAATGCAGATGAAGACAGCAAATGTAGCAGCAGCCTCCACATCGATAGGCCTCCACATTCACAAAGGAAAAAGCAAGATTCTCAAATGCAACACGGAGAACACCAACCTAATCACACTTGATGGCGAAACTCTGGAAGAGGTGGAAACATTCAAGTACCTGGGGAGCATCGTTGATAAACAAGGCGGATCGGATGCAGATGTAAAGGCGAGGATTGACAAAGCAAGGGCAGCATTTCTACAATTGAAGAACATATGGAGCTCAAAACAACTCTCAACCAATTTCAAGGTGAGAATCTTTAATACGAACGTCAAGACAGTCCTACTGTATGGAGCTGAAACGTGGAGAACTACTACGGCCATCATCAGGAAGGTACAAGTATTTATAAACAGTTGTCTACGCAAAATACTCAACATCCATTGGCCGGATACTATCAGCAACAGCGTTTTATGGGAGAGGACAAACCAGCTTCCAGCTGAAGAGGAAATTAGGAAAAGACATTGGAAGTGGATCGGACATGCATTAAGGAAATCACCAATGTGCATCACGACTCAATCCCTAACTTGGAATCCGGAAGGGAAGCGGAAAAGAGGAAGGCCAAAGAACACACTACGCCGGGAAATAGAAGCCGATATGAAAAGGCTGAATAGTAACTGGAAAGAACTGGAAAGGAAGGCTCAGGACAGAGTTGTATGAAGAATGCTGGTGAGCGGCCTATGCTCCTCCACATGGGGTAACAGGCGTAAGTAAGTAAGTAAGTAAGTAAAGTAAGTAAGTAAGTAAGTAAGTAAGTAAGTAAGTAAGTAAGTAAGAATACCTTTCTAGGTTCTTTATATTTCATTAATTAATAACAAAATCACATGGGATCCTCAACGCCAATGGAGAAAAGGAAGATCAAAGAACACATTACGTCGAGAAATGGAGACAGATATGAGAATGAATAAAAGTTGGATAGAACTAGAAAAGAAGGCCGAGGACAGAGTGGGTTGGAGAATGTTGGTCGGTGTCTTATGCTCCATTGGGAGTAACAGGCATAAGTAAGTAAATAATTATTAACAAAAACATTAACAGTAATCCTGTATTGGTCCAGAAAAAACATCTTTATAAAGGCAGGCATTTCAATTTATATCATTATTTAATTACCTTATAAAAATTTACAATGGTAAATCTATAACTATTATTATTCTCTGTATTTTGTACACGAAAATAAAACCATTGTGTATATTTTTTTGTATATAAATCTGGTCGTAGGTAAAGTTCATATTCATAAGGACCACTAAAATAGAAGGTAATAATATCAGAAAAAAAGAAAAGAATTCTGTTTATGGTAAACTATAAACAAGTTTACAAATGTTATATAGTTGAAATCATGAGTTCATTGAAGCTATACCACCATGGAAAACCTGGAAGCAATATACGACCGTTTCGTTCCATTGTGAAACTCCTCAGCAGTGCGCATCCACGATCTCGCTCCGTGAGATTCGAAAACAGGACTTATTAGTCTCGCGCGCGAGCGCTTAACTACTAGACCGCTGAGCCGGCATCCAATGGTGTTAATGTCTAACTTCAACCGATTCACGAAGTTGAGCGACACATCCATCAATTTCTTCAGTGAGTTGATATCTCCCAACAAACCTTGTTGAACTCACCTTTAATCAGAAGATAACTCTTGATTCATCGTGTCACCACCTAATATAACTTACTCTTGAAATGTATCCATATAAGTATTTTTATAATTAAACCTAATCCATTTATGTACTTTATTTTTCATCAAATTATCAATGAATTACCTTCATAAATGCAATAACTTTATGTGATATAAAATAGAACACTAGAATCTTTCTTTTTATATCCTTTACAATACCCTAATAGTTTATTATCATTTCTATCCTTCATTCTTTTGCTCTAATTTATAATTCAATCAGATTAGAAGAAGGTACTTATATGAATCCTAATTAGAATATATATCTATAAGATATCATCACATGATATATATCCATTAAACTGTTGATTACATAATAATCAGTGTTGGCATTACAATGTTTAATTATTCACAATTCTAATTTATTCCCTAAACTTTTATATATATTCTCTTCAATGTTATATATCTAATAGTTTTAGGTGATAAGTACATTTGTTAGATTACATTGGACGAGTACATAATTGGAGACAATGTTCATTAATTGTTTCATAGTTCATTGTTCTTACATGTTGATACTAATTACTTTCTGTTCTCATTCTTTTCTCCTCGAACTTCTCGATATTCTAATACCATCCATTCTATTCTTGACTAGAGTTATATACTGCTTATATAGACATAAGTAGCACATACCTTATATATACATTCTTTGATATTTAATTCATTAACAAATATATAAATAGAGAGACCAATCTGTAAATATATGAATTTATAATACATTACAAGGTTTCTTAAATCTACATAGTATCGAATACAATCTAAAATGCTTTATCTTATAAGAACAAGTAAAAAAGTGCATTGAACATGAAAATATAACTCTAATTAGGATTGAAACAATAAGTAATGGAATATTGTACGATAGATGAAATGATATTGTAAGGATAGCTCGTTGGCAAACTCAAGAAACCCAGAAAGAGTCGAAGACATTCCATCCAATCACCGCTAGGGGAACATTCTATAATGTCGACGTGTAGCTCTCCTATTGGATGAGCAAGAAGGACCTCTTATGTCCCTATCGACTGTCCGAAATGATGATTTACTTTCAGCCAAAAAACCATAAATTCTTGAGATTTTTGTACTATATTTGACACTGTTTGAAATAACATTCCTACTTTCTAGTTTTCTGTCTTCTCATTTTCCGACTTGACAGGGTTCTAGCGTTCGAATGCTCAAGTTATACACAACATAATAAGAGTCTAAGTTCATGATATAACAACTGGAGATGGGGATGGGATATAGACACAAAACAATCTCTTTTTTATGTTTTTAGGGGATTTACATTCAGTTTTTTATATTAAAATCTACAGTCTGTTTAAGGGAACATTTAGACTGTTACGAAAATTACTTGACACTTATTTTTTTCAGAACTTAATTTGATTAGCACCATTACAGTTAGGACTTGGCAAATTAAATTATACTAATATGAGACTGATTATATTTTAGAAGTTTATTTCCAAATCGTTGACCATCTGGTCATCCAAAACCTGGAGGATTGTTTAGTGAATTAAATGCGGCAAACAAATCTAATACCATTCAGATTAGAAATTTTTGCAGTCATTTTTTTCAGTCATAACAACTGATGCAAAATTAATTTCTGACCAACGTAAACATTCGTACCAGAAAGTATTCATACTTTCAATATCTGTTGGGATAAAAGTTCCGTTTGTTAAATAACATAACATTAACTATAATCACTGTAGAAACTACTTGATGTAAACAACAATATCATTCAAAATCACGAGGTTGAGCTGCAAGAGTTGCGAAATTTTAAAATATCTCTAGGAAAATTCAACACGAGACCAAAACATGCATGGAAACATTTTATCCAATTAGGAATGAGCACAAGTTTCCTTAAGATGTCTAGTAGGATCAAAGATCACGTATCCCATTTTAGATCGGATAATCACATTCTCACTGCTGGATCTCTTGCCACATTGTACGATGGTCCAGAATCTTCTTTCAGATATTATGTTAATTTACAACACCCTTTCAAAGTCTTTAATCTCAGTACTTTGACATGATGATGCATATCTATTCTTACTGTTATAAGTTTATTAACTACAATAATTTTGATTTTTTTTAAGTAAAAATCCTAGGTTGTGATCGGCTGATGAGATCCTTACGAAATAAAGTGAATTCCTTTTATCCTTCTCAATTCTTTGTTCTTTTATTCTTACAGATATTTAGTATGTTTCTACAACTATCCATATGATCTAATTCAATAATAAAAATACACACGAATTTCTTTACATACCTAACTGTAAACTAAAGTGTCTTGTACTTTCCGGTTTTTCCTCATGTGTTTAAGGTGTTGTGTCAATTTAGTCTGTTAGAAGTAGTTGGGAATTCAATTGAGGGTTAAATTATCAGACAAATCGAGTTTTCAACAATTGAACTTTATCAAATTGAATTTTTCTATATCCAAATTTGTCAGTAATACATATTTAAGTTTTGAAGGATAGAACAATCACCATCATCTTACCTATTTGGAATTAAATAACAAACAATTCACATATCGAATTGCTTAGTAGTAATAATTAATGTGCACATTCAGATAAGTGGTTCAATTATTCATTATGCAATAATAGAGGCAACTTTTCAGATCTAGGAAGATTTTACTTATAGTTCAATATTGAAGATAGCTCTTCTTGCTTACTACTTTAATCGTGTCATGTAACAAACTAAGGGACACAATTCGAAATTTTTTTCCTATATATTAGGTAATGGTTTATCCTGCGGTTCCACAATTAAGTATAATTACCGACATATAAAGTACTTAATACTATTCTTGATATAAATGTCATTTAACTTTATTGGTTTTCCTAACCGATTCTGGTTGAAGTGTCGAGGATACTCAATGCTCAGGAGTTTCGTATTGAGACGAAATGGCCTTCCAGTGATTCCAGGTTTTTAGTGGTTGTTTAACCTTGACTGTTTTGTGATCTCAATTAAGTTTAATAATCACTACAATGCCAAACCGATCATTTAATTTTATTCGACAATTTTTTGTGCTAATTGAGTTAGTATATTGATATTTAACTAATCATTCTGATTTTTGATAATGATCTATATACTTTTCATCATTCAAAACTTGATATGAATTTTCAGTACAGAATGTCGGTTGCATGCTAACTGACATTTATTTTTAAGATGTATTATCATCTTCAAAATAATAAATAAGCCTCAAGAGATCATTATATGTGGGTTTCAATAGATAGATCAGAGATTAGATAGTTATGTTATTTTGAGTACTCTTAGTCTATTTGAGAGTAAATTTATAGTTTAATCGTAGTCGTTGATAAATTTTCTTCCCTAGAATGTAGATTGAATTCTACTGATTAAGCATTTCTACTACGAAATCAGAGGAATTCAAAACTTCAATGTTGTGAATTATTACATAATGAATTTATTATTCATATTCTTTACAAATTGAATTACGCTTGACGGAAAGATTTGGAGGATGTGAAAACCTTTACACTTCTGGGCAGCATCATCGATGAAAACAGCGGATCTGATGCAGATGTGAAGACACGGATCCGCAAAACGAGAGCAGCACATTTAAAACTGAATAGCATCGGGAACTCAAAACAATTGTCAACTAACATCAAGATGAGAATTTTCAATACAAATGTCAAGACAGTTCTAATGTATGGGGCGGAAACTTAGAGAACTACGAAAGACATCATCCAGAGGATACAGGCGTTTATTAACAGTTGTCTACGCAAAATACTTCGGATCCGTTGGCCACACACTATCAGCAACAACCTACTATGGGAGTGAACAAACCGGATTCCATTAAGGGGAGGAAAAAATCAGGAAGAAGCACTGAAAGTGGATAAGACACTTATTGAGGAAAGCACACAACTGCGTCACAAGGCAGACAGACACGAGAAGAGTCAGTCAGTCAGCTACAACATAGGACCAGGCACATTTATGCGACGGTCCAAGTTGCTATACCTCGTTAGTTCAACAAGATGAACATCGGATTCATAGAAGTAGTTAATTTAGTAGTGGCAATATATAAATGATAGGTTGTATATAAGATTATAGTATAGGAAGGAAGAAAGTTATGAAGCAATTTCAATCTCAAGGTTTAAGGGAAGATAAAAAGTGTATACACCTACGCCATTGTGATCGATTCTGAGCCATGTCACCCAGAGTCTCCAACCATTGATTACGACAGTCATGCGGACCCAACCAAGTAGTCTGCATCTACCAACATGGCTCACATTAGAAGTTAGTGACTTCAAGCACTGATGCCACGTTTTGGTTTGGCCGCCCCTAACTTTCTTCCTACCATCCCCTACACTAGTCAGCATTGCGCGTCGTGGTAATCGGTGTTCAGGCATACGTAGCGCGTGGTCCAACCATCTCAGTCTATGAAGATTCACGACCTCATCAACTGATTTACCATCATTTCATAATACCTTGTGTCTAACCTCACTATTACTTACCCGGTGATCCCAGCAGATGCGAACATTATTTCTAAGACATCTTTGGTCAAATACTAGCAACTTACGAGTATCTTCTACTCTTAAAGGCCATGCTTCACAACCGTAAAGTATAACAGAGCGAACTGCTGCACATGGTACTCGTCCCTTAATTGATAGACGGATATCTCGTCTTCGCCATAGGTGACGTAAGTTGGCAAAAGCCAAACGAGCTTTTTGAACCCGTGCTGAGATTTCGTCAGACACCAACCAATAAGGGCTGATCAGACTTCTAAGATAAGTGAAGTTGTCGACGCGTTCGACTACTTCACTCCCTATGCTTAGTTCAGGTGTTGACGCAGGCCAGTCCTGGAGTAATAATTTACATTTAGATGGGGAGAAACGCATCCCAAACATCCTGGCATTATTAATCAGTCCTAACAGAAGACTTACCATTTTGTCAGCGTCTTCACCAAACAGAACTACGTCATCTGCGTATTCTAAGTCGATTATTGAGGCTAGTATTTTAGATGCTATGTTAGTCAGACTAGTTCCTCTATAGTTATCACAGGATGAATTTGGCTCCTTCTCATATATATATTCAGACAACAAGTGATTGTGACCAGTCGGTTGGGTTTACGTCCAACTCCCGCATTTTAGTCAGAATATTAGTTAACCTAGTCGATAAAATTGGGCCACTATGTTTAAAGACTTCTGGAACCAATCCATCTGGACCAGTTGCTCTTCCTTGTTTCAGATTAGTTATATCCTTTTGAACTTCAGGTAGGGTCGGGGGGCCTACTTCAATATTCTATTCAGGTTTTCTGGAAATAGTGGGTAGTTGTGCAGTAGCTGAAGGCCAGCTAAACTGCTCCTTAAAGTGTTCCGCCCGTCGTTCTAAACGTCTGGGCTGAGATCAGATAAGGGTTCCGTCTTTTTCCGAGATTGTCTCACTTACACTTGACTTCTTAATTCCGGTTTCTTTTATTAGTCTGAATAGTTGCCTGGTGTTGCCTACAGCCGCTGCCTTTTCCATCTCTTTTGCTTTCGTTGTCCACCACTGCTCACGATCGTTCCTTAAACTTTTAGTTAACCTAGATCTAATTTGTTTACGCTCTTCGTCGTGTTCAGAGCCTGATAGGATGAGTTTACGCGAATTCATCAGTGAAATAGACTTAGAAGAAATCCATTGTTTTTTTTGGGACCCTACGGTTTAAATTATTAAGAGATGTGACTGCTGTTTCCACAGCTGTTCGTATATCTTTCCAAACAGAATTTGGGTCAGTCTCGTTTACAGAACTTCCTAGATGTGCACTCAGTTGTTCCTGGAATTTACATTTGGCTTTCTCGTCCTCCAGTTCAATCCTAATGGGTCTTCATAGTGTACTTTTCCTGCGTCCAGTGAGGCGCAGACAAATGCGCGCTCGTGTTTAAGCGTAATCAGAGTCTAAACAAGTATTCCAATATGAGCGACAATCTTTTATCGAGCCTCTCCAACGATGACTGATGGCAATATGGTCTATTTGAGTCAATCTTTGGTTTGGTGCAGGTGGTCGCCATGTTAGGCAACGTCTCTCCTTATGCTTGAAATTAGTGTTTGCTAAAAATAACCGATTGTCTGAGCATAGTTGCAACAGACGATCACCATTATCGGTTCGTTGAGCTGGAATACTAAAATGCCCACCTAAATGTCTTTCTGTTTGATTCAAGCTGCCTAATTGGGCATTAAAGTCACCCGCTACGACTACTATGTCTGAGCGCTCAGCTTTCTGAAGAAGCTCAGAGAGTTTTCTGTAAAAGTCATCTTTCACTTCATCATGGCTGCAGTCAGTGGGAGCACAGGCAGAAACGACGAAAAGGCAACGATGTGTGTCCCTATCCTTCCGAGTTCTTACGGAGCCATTTAGCCGGACAGCACACAGGCGACTGTTAACGGGGATCCATTCTAATAGTGCCTGTTCTGCCCTTATACTTAGTGCTATGCCTACACCTGCGAGTCCACGAGAACTAGCCAAAGGGTCGCCAGATACACGGAGGGTGTATTTCGTTGGCTGTCCATTTTGGCGAGGTGAGGTCAAATGAATGACCACACTAGGATCCTGAATGCGTGTTTCGGAGACACAGCATACGTCAATGGCACGAGGTTCTAGGGTCATGAGAAGACTGAACATGTAATGAGAAGAATGAAGAACAATTGGATAGAACTAGAAAGAAAGACCCAGGACAGAGTAGGTTGGACAATGCTGGTCGTCGGGCTATGCTCGATCGGGGTTAACAGGCGTAAGTAAGTAAGTATTATTTGCAAACTTCATTTGAAATCGTCTTTTAATAATTAAGTATTATGTAACTTACGTGCATATAGCCTTTGATAAGTTACCACTTTCAAAACGTGATTCAAACTTTAAAAATTTAGAATCATTTAACAAATTGGTTGATTGTTCAATAATTCCATTAGATTTAGAAGCTGTAAACTAAATGTTAAATGAATAATAGGAATATAGTTACAGAATAATATAAAAGTATTTCTTGGATAAAAGTTATTCACAAAGTATGTCATTTAATTTAAAAAGAAAAAAATGCATCTAGGAAAGTAGAGTGTGTTATGGTTGATGGAAAACTTGTCTTTGGACGAATTCATTTTAAAGATGATTCTAGACTAAGAAGTGTACTGAAGGGGACTAATCTATTAGTTGAATTGATTTAACTTTATTTAATAAATTGTTCATTGAGGTATTAACAAGTGGACGAATATTAACAGGGTATTACTTCTAATTGTATTTGACAATTTAAGTGCACGTCCTGAGGAATATACATTGAAAGAACGAAAAGTAGAGTTGGTGTTCCTATCGCCCAATACATCCTCGGACACACAGAACCTGAAGTCATTTTGATTTTAACAATGCAATCACTATTCATCTGCTTGTTGGTGGATAGAACGTTAAAGTTAGTAAATCATTCAAAGTTTTCAGTAAGCATATGATTTTGAAAGACTGATGGAAGATGTGCAAGTTATGTATTTAATCTATGGTTTCCATATTTTACGAACGTGCTCTGTAATTTTGCACTCAACAATAAATCGGTCCTTCCTACCTAAGTATTTGTTCACTACATACTGACTTTTATCTTATCTACCCTATTCATCTAATCTCATCTTTTAAAAAAGTTGTTTAACGAGTTGAGTTGACGTACATTTCCGGTGTGTCTTTTTATTGATTATGACTGAATTTACCACTACCAATTGTATATAGAAGAAGGTATGCATAATTAAGTTTGATATACAACTCGACTTACAAATTTTCCAATCATTGGTTCGTATTGAAAAACAACCGTGTTATTGTTATTATTCTCATTATGTTCTCCTGATACGGTTGGTTGAATTTCTTTACCCGCTAAAAAAATTTAATGAATTTAACTAATAAGAGATAGTCATTATGTGTATCGTTTTTTTTGTGTGAAACAGTATATAACAGAATTATTTTATACTTAAAAATTCACTCCTTACTAACACTTACCTGTGACCGTCGAATATTTTCCACTAACACGAATCTCCATACAAAGACAATTTTGTTGATCAGTATAGAGCTAAATAAGTTCAGTGAACAATACAACATAAAAATGCTAACTCATATAGTCTGTATAAAATCACTTGGTATTGTTTGCTTGTATCTTCTCATTGTTGTTTAGGACTGCAATTGATCAGTCTCTTGTTGGCATATGTGCATCCTGTGCGGATTGCCTCGATATCGCCTTAAGTTACAAGCTTTATACATCCAGCTGACTAGTCCTAAATAGGACGAAACGCTCGTCATGGATTCCACTGCTAGCCATCTCTCATCTTTGCTCACATGATTTGTATTCATAAATATACGCTGTTCTGTATACATCAAATTACTAGAATCTATAAGCAGTATATTCTACTTCAGTTATAAAAAAAGGAGAATAGTCAACATATCAGCTATATATATATATATATATATATATATATATATATATATATATATATATATATATATAACCCCCTAAATAGTAATACGATTAAATTCACATTAACTAAATCTTTCATCAAATCTACCATTTGAAAGAAGACAATTGAAACTATAGTTATTTGATATTGATAAACATTCAGTGTAAGTTAGCTAGTAGTATGAATTACATTTAACACAGAATAACTTTGATAAGATACTTAACTTTACAATCTTGTTTTACTTAATTAAGGAGAAAACGGAAGTTGACGATATAAAAAAAGATATAATTAGAACAATGTACGCGATATTATCATTATATAAAATACTTTGAAAGTAGCAAATTAACTTTCTTTGTACTTATATATATATATAAGGTAATAATTAGATTATAAAACGGAGGGTTGATCTCAAATAAATTAAAAAGTTACGATCATTAAACTTCATTAATTTTAATGGTAACCATCATATAAGGGTGCAAAAAGAAAGATGGTTTGCAAAAGCACGAGTGTGAAAGAGCGCGATGAAAAAAGCATACATCAATAAAAGTGAGCATTGACAAAGGTAACCATCGAAAACAAAATTTGCAGATACAAACCAAGTGCTTAAAAAAAGTGGGTTATCAATATTATATCAAAATTGTATTTCAATATAAGTAATAAAATGCATTGTCTAAACATTACTACTGTAGAACCTCACAATAATGGTCAAACAGGTCAATGGGATTTTTGGTTTTGCTGTTGAAAAGTGATGTGTGAGATAACGTAATTGGAGTGATAAGAATAAGAAATGGCTAATAAATTGTTGTACGCCTTTTGCAACTCGCCATTTTGATGGCCTCCCGTATCGGAATGAACCACTTTCAAAATTATTTTTGTTTGATGCTCGTGAAACCACCTACTATAGCTTTAGTTATTCAAGAAAATGAAGATTAGGCAAACATCTTACTTAGTCTTTATCTTATATAACTTATTATTGTTGTATATATTATTACCAAACAATCATTCACTAATCATCCGGCTTTTTATTTGCAGGTAACTTTTCATGGAGTAATTGACCGAAACATATTGTTAAAAGTGGATAAATTAGTTTTCTTTAAACCGAATGGTCAAAAAGGTCCATTAGTACCAAAGGATTTGACCAATACGACATTGTTGACTTCTCAGTGACTAATTATTTGTAAATATCTCAGTCCTCTAAAAATTCGGTCACTGCTCAAGTAACTAGGTGGTACCAACTCTGACCATGGAGTTGGGCAGCGCTGGTTTAAATTTCACGGGAGTGTCGGTTTCCTTGGAATTGAAGGTACGCCTTACTTACAGGTATCAAATAGCACAAAACTCAAGTCCTGAGTTTCTTATTGTCTACCTTTAATCACCTAACGATAGTTTCACCAGTTAAATAGAGTTATACAATGAGTATAACTTGTTGCCATGTACACAAACGTGTGGTACACGTATATATTGTGCGAAAAGGACTTATAAATTACATGTGAACGATTCGCTAGTCAGGTGCTTTTATTAAACGTTTAATGTACCCCAATGGTCTTAATAAGTATTACTAACGTTTCTTGGGTTTGTTTTCGGTCCACAGACATCAGCAATCATCTCATATATTTGCTAGAGTATATTTGGGTAGCTTACAAGTCATCTTAAAATAAGAATTAGTTTTAATTGTTAGCGGAGACACGTAGATTTAGACTCTAAAGTACAAAGCTCTATAGGATTGAATAATCTTTTGGAATTGAAAATTTATCATTAAGACGGCTATATTACAGTACATTGTCGAAAAATGTGTATAAGTGTTTGATACGATAGGCCAAACTTACAAAGAGCCTCGAAAAATCATAAGAAACCAGTGAAGTTTTGAAAACTTACTGGTGAAACGAAGCGAACTTCATGACTCATTATTCGTCTACAAATATTTCCTCAGTTAGTAGCAAATAAAGTAAAATTTAGTTGGAAACCAAAGCGTAGTATTTACAGCCCAATAAATGAATAAGATCAAATGATATAAAAAATATTGAAGGAGTCGATTCAGTTGGTTTGAAGTCATATCTCTTAGGCTTACGATTATTCGATAGGTATCAACAGAGTAATCCACATCTCTTCACAAACATCTCTCATGCAGGCTGTGGGTGGCTCTACCAAACAATAGCACATATTGATTCCGTCAAGCCTATCTTTCGTTTAACCCGTTTTTGTCGTAAGGTGTAGTTCGAAGATACCTGTGGTCCACTGTGCGAAATAGAAGCGCATGTTCTGACTTCAAATGCAGTTTCGCAAAAAGCGGAATAAACAACAGAAAGACAAAAAGTTTGTGTGCTCATGATTTAACTGGTGCAATCTGACAGAAGACAAATGAAATTTTGAGAATAAATAAAAACTTTGACAAAGCTGATAAAGACAGAATTTCAAAATCAGTACCTACAATATAAACCTTATGAAAAAACTAAAACAAAACTCACTTGGCTTGTATAGTCTTTCCCTCTCTAGTGGTGGTTTATTTATGTGAAGTATTCGATCAGGTATTAACTCGAAATTCAGAGGCCTGAAATGTTATGAAAGAATTATGTTCGATTTATTCAAATGCTATGTAGGAATTGGTGCGTTTTACCACCACTTTAATTTATTTCTGTAGATTATTCAGCACTCTTTGAAAGGTTTCTAGATTCAAGCTTGATATGATTTTTCACGATGTCAATCAAATGTAAAGGTCCCTTCTTAATATGTAACAGCTGTTTTAAAAATCTCACCATCTACAAACCGTGTACAGAAATGCACACTGACCAAATGTAAAAGTATTATGGATGGGTGTGGTTTTAGTATCCGACTAAACGTTTGCATCGGAAACAAAGGTGAACTAGCTAACTTTCATCCTGATTTTACAACTGACTATGTTCAAATGCTGATGACACAAAGGCGTAGAATGAAGTCAATGATTCGTGGTAAAGCAAGCGGCAAATAGCCTACTTATTCCGAGGATAGTGTAACATCTTTGTTTCGGATATCTGTGAACGTTTAAATGAATTTTTAGTGATTATGTTCTTTGTGATTTGTCTGTTTTTCATCCTTACTAACGCACACTCTTCTCATTTCAAAACTATTCTTTTACAGTTACTTTTTGGTCCTACATAGTTTAATACTTTGTTAAGTGAAAATAATTTTCAAAAAACTTTAACCGACTTTGATATTATACCTGAGTTTGTTTAGGCTTTATTTTTATCGCTCTTCAGTTAACAGGCAATACCTCTCATTTTAAAACCATCTTACGCGTATTCTGTCTACATAGTGTTCACTTAAGTAGAAAAGACAAGTAACGTGATACTTGATACTTGAACAGTAAATCCTAATGACTTACGTGGAAAGACATGATCTTTTGTCAAAGGAACAACATGGTTTTCGAAAAGGTCTATCATGTTTGACAAATCTTCTCATTGCAAGAGAAGATTGGGCTGAGGCAAAAGATCACAATATTCCTGTAGATGTCATTTTCATAGATCTAAGTAAAGCCTTTGATAAGGTTTCCCATTCTGGTCTTAAATTGAAACTAGAAAGTTTTGGAATTCATTATGCAGTCATAGACTGGCTAAGTGACTTTCTTCATGAAAGGAGACAACGGGTAAGAGTAAATGGGGCTCTCTCATCGGGAGAACCAGTAAAAAGTGGCGTCCCCCAAGGCACGATCCTAGGTCCTCTTCTCTTTTTACTTTATATAAATGAATTACCAGCTATAGCTAAGTCATCCGTCCTACTATTCGCCGATGACATTAAGATTTGGAGACCCATATATAGTATGTCAGACAGAATAGTTTTACAGGAAGATCTTAACTCACTAGTTGCATGGATGAATGGGTGGTCACTAGAAGTAAACCCTAATAAAAGTGTTGTGATGCAATTAAATAACTACGACGATTCGTATCACTACACAATATGTGGACTAGTGTTGCCCAAAGTAAGAAACTATAAAGATTTAGGAGTCATACTAAGTAATGATCTCAAAACAACCAGTCACTGTAAGGCTGCTGCTGCAAAAAGCTATAGGGCATTATGGTCTATTCGTAGATCTTTCCGGTATCTGGATGGGGAAATGTTTAGATTATTATACCCAACTTTAGTACGGCCACATTTGGAATATGGGATTCAAGCAGCGAGTCCTTGTTTCAAATATGAGGCGGATATGTTGGAACGAGTCCAACGCCGCGAGACAAAAATGGTAAAAGGCTTATCTAGCCTATCTTATGAAGACATACTGAGACACCTCAACTTATTTCCGTTATCTTACCGGCGAATACAGGGTAATCTAATATTGGCATATCGTATCCTGAACGATGACCTTGGTACTAACATGTCCTATCCTTTCCTCCCGTCTAGGGCTGAGCATTTGAGAGGACATTCAAAGAAAGTCCAAAAACCGAGATCAAATCGTCTACGTCTGGAGTTTCGTTTCTCGCACCGAGTAGTGAATTACTGGAATTCTCTACCAGAACACGTAATATCAGCACCTTCTGTTGATATATTCAAGACGAGATTGGACCTCCACAGTGTAACAAACTGCAAGGATTAAAATAGGTCACTAGACCTTCTATCCTTATTACTGAAGACTGAAGAGTGAAAACCTGCAGTGGATTTCTTTTTTCTATAAAAGCACGAGAATTCCAGAGTCAGTGAAACTTATAAAGAACTTTATTATGTAGATAATGACTTTAGTAATCTCTTGGTTGAAAAAACTTATAGGTTCATATACCTTATACATATGGAATCCGAAGATGGTTGTACACACTAAAACCTGTACTCTACCTGAAACAAAAAAAACATTGTCAAAATAAATTCGTTCTGCGTAATGAACGAGCCTCGTATCATAGCAGTTTACTTCTATGAAATATATATATATATATATATATATATATATAAAGTTACTTTGACTAACAATTTAATTGAGTTTGGCTTCCAGTTTGTCAAATGATTGTTGTCTAGTGATTTCGGTTTACTGAGTTTGGCAGCTAATTTTCCATTGTTGAGTAGAGAATAGTAAATTTGTCGTGTTTTCAACACATCTTTTGATTTTTCTTCTATATGATAAAATTTCGTGGATTTTCGTCTTACTTAGAATCCTCCCAATCCATTCCTCTCTGATAGGATTGAATTTTTCGGAAAAATCAGACGTTTTTACCGAAAATCCATCATCTTTTTGAAGTGTTTCAGCAATCATTCTAGTAGTACAAGAAAGATTTTCATAAATACGCACACTTCCAAATTCACGGAAGACCTTGATGTTACTACACAATTAGTAGGTTAAAACGCATAACCATCCGCAACCACGGGTCAAATGTTAATAGGCACTTAGGATCGGAATAGAACGTATAATGCTTTCAGATTTCAGATTTATGTATCATATTATATTATTACCGCATGCCAAACCTGACACTTGCAACGAACTTGCGTGCATCAACTGGTGAGTACGGGTATAATTAATTGGCTTATTACATACCAGAGCATTGAATCTCTAGCATGCCTCTCCTAATGCAATCATGTCCAAAGGATAGTCGCCATTCTTCTGTTCGAACTTCACATAATTCCCACTATTTTAGACGCTAAATGAATTTTCGATAAAAGATCATTTGCATTAGTGATATTAGTGAATTCTGTCACGGTTGAGCGAAGTGAGTTCAGAAAAGTCTCCTAGAAACTGAATAAGACGTAGTAAACTTAACGAGCTAACTTAAACATTAGTTGTAACTCCACCTTTCTGTTTTTATGCTTCTACTGTTTGAATTAGCCTAATAATGTCAATAATATGAATCTGAATATCATCAAAAATGGATAATATACTGGCATAAAAGTCCAATGACTTTTTAATTTAAATCAAAGATAGTAACACTGTACACGTTGTATAATATATTTTATTTTCCTGTTTCTAGGATCAAACACTTGCACTGAACATGCGTCAAGCTATTTACCACCGGCTATCCTTAAGGATTTTAATGTGGGTCGTCAAAATTTATTTTTACTGAATCATTCTTTGCTATCGTAGTCCAGCTCTGTTTAACTTTTAAATATTGTTCGCACGGAATTTCTTCTTGGCATGTTGAGAATTAAAGCAAGCATTTTGGAATTATTATATGCATCAAACGATTAGTTACTGCCGCCTTCTCTTTGATTTATCTTTTACTTTATCATTTCCCGGACGATTCATAATATTCTCTAGGTAACTCCTGGTGCGCATAAACCCCACTTTGTTTTGTATTTGGTATTGGTTCTCAGCCATGCTATCCTTGAGGCTGAAAATACAGTAACTGAGATTCTCTTCAACATCTAACACAATAGAGAAAATCAGAAATGCTGAATGAAGAAACTCTTAATCTGTATGACATAATTTTATCATACAAGCGTCGTCACCCTACATGTCCTTTTTCCTTTTCACATTACACACATTTACCTGTTCCAAGCTCAAATGTGACAAACATCATGTTACTGATTGTAACAGTAGGACGCGTCAGTGTGACTTCCACGTAAGATCTCATAGATTAAATAGTCATATTATGGCAAATCTACAATTTTAGGGATTAGATCTATTATTCTGGCAGTATTCGCTCCGGAAAGCTAATTATTCGGAAGCTCACCAACCGGAGGTTTTGTTCACAGTTTCGAAGACAGGTTTTCAGATAATCCAATGCAGCCTTCCTTCTCATTCTGTCTTCTAAAGTTTTCTAATGTCAGTGTTATCTTGAATTCGGATGGAGATTTCGTTGTTCCTCTGACCCTAGGATTATTTTAGGTATACATGGTCAGTATTCGACAAATTATAAGCCCTTTTTCAAATCTGTAGCAGTTTCACAGTCTGAACTCTTGTATAATCATCTGCTAAGAAGCTATGAACTAATGTTGTGACTTTTTGCTAACCTACTTTTTGATCACGGTCGTTTGACCTTGGCTAATTGTTTGTAGTATTGTTCAACGCGATGAATCTGTCTTCGGTCATACCAGGTATGAGTCTGGTTACACCTTGGGACTTTGGTATAATGTTCTATGACGCAGAATAAGAGTTTATCAAAAACCTATCAAAAATATAGACAATGTTTGCAACTGTTTTTTATCTTTATTTCATCACTGTCCTCCACTTTCCATCACTTAACGTAACTTTATTGAGATTACTTCAAACATGACAGTTTTATCCTGGTATTCGTGCGCTATTTTGGAATTATGACCGCCAATTTCTAATGGCATTCCATCGCTTAATTGCTTTAAAATAGATTTTCACCTATGCACATTTCGCTGTCAGGTGACTGGATCGTCCCGTAACAGCCCTTAATACACTGAAACATTCCTCACTGTTGGTACTTATGATATCAATGAAGTCATCAACAACTTTCTCGCTGGCTAACTGTGGAAGAGTAATTGCTTCCCGGATCAGTAAATCCTACTAAAACAGAGTAACATGCAAAGCCAATGAGAAATAGTCTTCAAAATTATTTTGCATGCTGTGGGATTTAAAAGGATACGTGTCTTGTGAGGGTACGTTTTGCATTCATCACAAAGCGTTCTTTTCTCCGCAAAAAAATCAATCTAGCCGTTGAAATTTATACATGAAGAAGATCATTCTTGATAGACGATCATTTTAAACAGAATAAAAGGGAGGAAATAGAGAAGACTGTTATGTATTGTGCTGTACGGCATTTTCAACATTCCATCGAAGGAAGAGAATTCACGCTCTTTACCGATCACAAACCTCTTACCTTCTCTATAAGTTCATCTTCAGACAAGTACTCACCAAGAGAGTCTCGACAACTCGACTACATTTCGCAGTTTACTTCAGACATACAACATATTTCTGGAGCAAACAATGTAGTCGCAGACGCCTTGTCTCGAATTAGCTCCTTGAACAGTTTCCAAGGAATCGACCTTCTTAAACTCGCTCAGCTTCAAAAAGAAGACATTGATCTGCAGCATGAGTTATCCTCGACAACTCTTAAACTAAGTATTAGGCAGATGGGAACGGGTAAGGAAACCTTACTCTGTGACACATCTACAGGTAGGGATCGTCCAATTGTACCAAAACACTATCGCCGCAACGTCTTCAATACGTTGCACAATCTTTCTCATCCAGGTGCTCGTGCAACAATCGAACTTATAGCCGAACGCTTTTGTTGGCCTGGCATGAATAAAGACGTGGGGGAGTGGTCACGCTCCTGTGTAAGCTGTCAGAAATCTAAGGTAATAAGACACAACAAATGTCCCTTAGGTTCTTTCAAAACCCCTGACGCTCGTTTCGACCACGTCCATCTAGATTTGGTAGGACCCTTACCCGACTCAAACGGATACTCATATCTCCTAACATGCGTAGACCGTTTTACTCGATGGCCAGAAGCAGTACCGATTAAGGACATTACTGCTGAAACAGTGGCTCGCACTTTCGTCGAACGATGGGTAGCAAATTTCGGCTGCCCTTCCACAATCACTACAGACCGCGGACGCCAGTTCGAATCTGGACTTTTCCGTTGTCTGACCACACTTTTAGGAATCACGCGCTTCCGAAAGACCGCCTACCACCCACAAGCAAACGGGTTGGTAGAACGTTTTCATCGATAATTAAAAGCTTCATTATCAGCTTCAAACGTTTCACAGTGGACAGACGCTCTTCCACTCGTCTTGCTAGGTATCCGCAATGCAGTGAAAGCTGACATTGGATACACGGCATCTCAACTCGTTTACGGAACGACACTCCGACTCGCAGGAGAATTCGTGGATCCTTCAGCTTCTTCATTGAACATGGATCTAAACTCTTACACGAGTAGGCTTACAAACGCTATGCGTTCAGTTAAACCTGCTCACACTCGACCTCAATCAACTGATGTTTTCGTTCAACCCGAATTACGACATAGTACACACGTCTTCGTTCGTCGAGACTCACATCGACGACCCCTCGAATCAGCATACGAAGGACCCTTCAAAGTCCTTCAACGCGAACCTAAGTACTATGTAGTTGATAAGAACGGTACTAAAGATAGCATCAGTATCGATCTACTCAAAGGAGCGTACTTAGAAGCGAACCCTAGCTACGTCGATTTTCCTTCGGTACAAGCAAACGACACAGCTACTACACTCGTAATACCCTACACGACAACCGACACACAACTTGATACTTCGTCAACGTCGATAGAAAAACCTAAAACAACGCGTTCTGGAAGACGAGTGAGATTTCCAGAAAATCTTAACGAATATTGCACGTAGGACATAAGCTTTATCTGGAATTACCCTTTCAAAGTTTATTATAAATTTTTTTTAATATGCTCATTTTTTATTTATGTAAAAAAAAACAAAAAAAACATTTTTATATATATATATATATATATATATTTATATATTAAAAAAACAAAACAAAAGAAAACCTTTTTTCCGATCGCTTTTACGCTGTTTGTAAGTGTATCAGTTTATTTTTTTCCGCTTATCTTGTGTCTTTACGCAAGTACGAGTGTATTTTTAACATGCACTCACACGTTTTATTTTTCCTCTTTTCCAGGACGGCTGGAAAAGAACGACGAAGTTTCGCAAGGAACAGAAATTTTCATTGTACTATATTTCTTTATTTGCTACGTTGTACATTTTGGTCCCATAGTTTAAGGAAAGACGACCAGACGCTGCTAAACGAAGCAAGCTATCAGAAGAGCGTTTGCCAACGACAAATTCGTTGGGTTTAAACTTCTGGCTGGTCACGTCTTAGGGGCATCACTACCTCACTAGGGGAGGAGTGATCTGTAGCTGTAAATAATTCCCCAAAATCAATAGCTCATTAAGTGTTCGACATTGGATGCTGACCACGTTGTTTAAGTGGACTTGTTTAGCTGAAGGCTTTCGGTCATGCATCCGCACCAGATCACGTTTCAATACTGCGTGGGACACAGCTCCTACGTTTCATTAGCCAGCTCATAGAAAAGGTCCTCGATATATTGGTAACGAATCAAATATATCTTTCCAGCCTATTTTCGTCCGACTTCTGATTTCTATCTGACTGGGAACAACCGAATTTAGAAGGTGCTACTGGTATCTAGTTGTAAAACTAGAATATCCGTTGCATCATCACTACAATACAACCTGATTGAGATCATCACTAACGACATAGCTAAAAATCTAACATTAGCCAACTTCGTTTCACAACTCAAACTTTAGTACTACAAACCATACCCTTCTCTTCCTATTCCTTTTTAAAATAAA